GATACTTTTTTAAAATCACGTTTCTTATGATGGTGTTCGGCTTGCTGCATGCACTTCTATTCCTGCCAGTGGCGTTGGTTGTGTGTGGTTCACGTCCGAGGACAACTGAGGAAGACTCTGGCATTACACCATCAAACATTTCTATGATAACTCTCTACAAGGATAGGGAGCAGAGTGAGTCAAGGCATTAGTCGTGTGATGAATGACAAATGTGAGAGGGATGTAGTTAGCCATATGCATTTTTATTCGTCTTTTTTTTCACTAATACAAAAAGTGGTTGCCGGTTAACTTATCCGGACTTAGGTACAAACTAATACAATGATTTACAATAATTTCCGGATTTCAGTTATCTCCCTTTGACCATTCCCTTGTTCTCCATGCCCAGTACACATACAAATATAGAATCACAACACCCGTATACTTGTGCAGTAGACCAGTGTTCTGCAAGAGCAGCTGCACACAATACATCAACAGCTTCTAATATACATTCTACATCTGATTAAAACCCCTTTATCTCATAATGTACTGGTTTCTTCATCACGGAGAGGTCACTGTGCTTTTGACATTGATTTATCGCGAATCTTCAACAACTTTGGCTTATATGCAGCTGACATGCAACACGTGTCAATGATGAAACAGAGCAATGTTACATATATATCTGTTTGAGATAAGCTAGTCTACTAACTATTTCTATTGTGATGTAATCCTGACTGATCGATTCTTCTATTATGATGTCAGCAGGTCTGACTACATTATCTAAAAAGGCGTGAACCGTGCCATATTAACAAAAAACAAGACATCCAACATTTGACTTTTATTTCTAATTTAAATATTTTTACATAATTTAGTTGTGTAATGTTTTAAATAAAATTAATTAAAACAAATCCTAATAAAAAAGAAAATGTATAATGATGTGAACTACTGGCTGACATGCAGGTGAATCCTTTTGTAACAATCTGATATGTGGAATGGAGGTAACGTACTGCTGTACCAACATGGCAAGAATGACACATTTAATATCATCCCAAACCATTGTGTCATAGAAATAGTCATCAATTTTATAATTTTGTAGAACGTTTTTCATAAAAAAAATGTCCAAATTTGTTCCTTAATTGAGAGATAAAATGTAACATTGTTACTGCGACAAAGAAGAATGTAATGCCAAACATGATAAAGAAATGTATTAATAATGAAGTGTGGAATGAGTTTAGTCCACAAGTTGTATTCATCTTCTACATGGTTTGATGACTGACTTCTCAAGTTTGTGAAAGCAAGCAAAAACCACAAGTCTTAATCACAGCATTACATTTACCTATAGTGCTCCTACATGTCAGCCATTTGGAAAGCAACCAGAAGTTTGCAAAATGACAGTAGTAACAGTTTCAGATTAAAAAACTCTTTGCTTTTTTTTTTTTTTTTTTTAACAAAGACAGGTTTTAAATAAAATGTGATCAAACTGAAAAAGTAGATTGATTTTGACCCAGTCACTGACGCTATCTGTCATTGCCGAGGAATTATAAGTACCAAGTTGGAACCACTCCATAGTATTTTGTATCACATACAGCCTAAAACTTGTTATGGTTCTGACAGATTTTTGCCATGTCATTTACGAGTGAGCTCAGTATTGGTTACATATTTATATTCAAAATAGTATATTACATCATTCTGTAAATATTTCTTAAATCTTTACTGAATCAATATTACTGATTGGCCTGTGTACTTGTCCAATACCAAATAAAAGAGAAACGTTTTGACAGTTGTCTCTTTTTTCAAATCAATCTGACGAGGATGTAAAATGAAGTTTATTTTGTGTGGTGATGAGATGAAGAAGTCCAAATGCTGTTTGGGTGTTGAAGGTTTATTGAGATGTAGTCTACGGAGAGATGGAACACTCACATGCCTTCAGGAACCGATACATACTGGCTAGAAAGGTGGTCATATTTATACTAGCCATGTTAATTAACTGATAAAGTAAAATTACACATTAGCTAACAGGTAAACAAGGATTGAATAATACATGAGTTATTGACATGGTGTTACACATATAAATCGCAATAGATCCGACTGTTTACAACAATATAAGGTTACACTGACCTTCACAAAGGCTACTTAGATAGGTCTCGGGTAATGACAGAACCAGGGAACAAATTAATACATGATCAACAACAACAGAAAAATTAACTAACATGTTAACATATAATAGTTCATTTGTACTCTTAATTAAATAGAAAATTAAAGGAAAAATTGACACTGGAAGGAAAGAAGACACCACGCTTTAAGTCATTGTGTCCCTTGGACCATGCGGAATGTGAAATTAAGTCTCTTTAAAATAGAGTACGATAACAGAATGTTTAAAAACAATAAGGCTAATATCTTGGATGATTATGACTAGTAAGTTAAAACTCTTCTAAAATAGTTACATGTAAAAGAGATGAATTCACAGTGTTTCATATCACAGTTAACTAAACAATTACAGTATATAGTATCACAGATGAAATGTACCCAATGACATAGATGAATGATCTTATCAGTTGTAAGAAAAGTATTGATATGTCAATTAAATATACACTGTACAACACATTGAACATTTTTATGCGTCACATCATATTTAAAACACAACAAAAGTCTATAAAGCAAATTAAATAAACTTTGAGAAACTTTATAAAGCAGTAATGTAAATCCTGCAGAAACCAACACGGATCATAAAAAATTAAAAAATAGATATATATATATATAATGTAATATATCAAAAGTAGATATATGAAAATTGAGCAATATCTGGATTTATACCATAATAACAAAACATTGTGTTGACCATATACCATACAAAACTGAACTGTCCTACTTTTTTCATTTTTGATTTGAGCTGCGGTTTATTTGCATTGCCCTGAATATTTCATGATAAATCAGGGTCTATGTGTTAATGAACATGTTACAGTGCGTTGTGACAGAATACATTACTGTGCATGGTGGCGTCTTTGTCTCAGAATATGTTACGATACATGGTGATCTCTGTTTAAGAGTAAGTTACAATGCACGGTAGTACCTGATCAGAGACTATGCTACAAAACATTGAGGCTTCATTGTCTCAGAATATGTTACAGTAAATGGTGATCTCTGTTTTGGAATGTTACATTAAAGGATGGTGTCAGGTCTCAGAATATGTTACAGTAAATGGTGATCTCTGTTTTGGAATGTTACATTGAAGGGTGGTGTCAGGTCTCAGAATATGTTAGGGTGAGGAGTGATCTCTGTTTTGGAATGTTACATTGAAGGGTGGTGTCAGGTCTCGGAATATGTTACAGTAAATGGTGATCTCTGTTTTGGAATGTTACATTAAAGGATGGTGTCAGGTCTCAGAATATGTTAGGGTGAGGAGTGATCTCTGTTTTGGAATGTTACATTGAAGGGTGGTGTCAGGTCTCAGAATATGTTACAGTAAATGGTGATCTCTGTTTCAGTATATGTTATGATACAGGGTGATCTCTGTTCAGAATGTTATGCTGAATGGTGCTGTCTGTCCTCAGATTCTGTTTCAGTATGTGTTATGATATAGGGTGATCTCTGTTCAGAATGTTATGCTGAATGGTGCTGTCTGTCCTCAGATTCTGTTTCAGTATATGTTATGATACAGGGTGATCTCTGCTCAGAATGTTACGCTGAATGGTGCTGTCTGTCCTTAGATTATGATATTGTATGTGGAGGTTTTGTTGTCTGAAGCTGTGTTACTATACATCATGGTCTCTGTGTCTCAGAATATGTTATTGTACATCACATATTGGGTTTCACATGGATATTAAAATTGTACAAAAAGACACAAATGAAAAACATGATTTTATATAAATTTGTTTAAGATAGAGCCAACAATGAATGAAACTGCATCATACAGCTGTTTCAACCCTCTAGGACTCCTCAGTGATGTTGATAGCATAAACATTAAAACGAGGAAACGACTGAGGAAATTTCAAAGTGATTGAAAGAAAGAGACTGAAAGTGAGGAAAGTGCTTTAGGACTCCTGAATATACTTCTGTATAAGGTGGTTTTCATGTTTTATGGGTGTGATACACAAGGTACAAGTGTTTTTGTAAATTAAAACCATAAACTCTTACTTATTGCATTGTTCTGTAGAAGTATACTTACAATTAGAGATTGTCATTTAAAAAAATATTGTCATAATATCTTGTAAAAACATGTTATAAAATAAATAAAAACATACAATAAAAAACTAAACAGTTCAAGTCATACAGTTATTGATCAATGTATATTGTGTATTATACAGATACTATAAACTACTTGTCAGTTCTGTCAATATTACAGATCTACAGATTGAATGTATTTTACATGTTTGATATGAAACTGTATGTTAACATCATAAACATTGACCATGAGAAAAAAAGTCGTCCGTTTTCAACTGGTGACAAATCCCTTTGGTTCACACCTTTGCAAACAATAGGTTCAACTAAAACAGAGAACATCAAGGTTTTTTGTGCATTTACCAAGTATTCTGCCAGAGAAAACAACAGAGAACAGAAATCAGAAGTTGGGAACCTTTCTGAAGGTATTTGTAAGAAAATATAATTCTAAATTTACTCCTGTTTTAAGAGTACAAACATAAGAATGCTTGTGTCTGTACAACAGATTGCAATCGTTCGGGAAATGCCAAACCCTAGCATTCCAAACAAAGGCATGTATACGATTTAGAAAATAAACCAAAATCCATGCATCTCCATCAAACGAGCATATATGATCAGAAAATGCACGGAAATCCATGCATCCCGAACACAGGAGTGTAGACAATTGGGAAATAAACCAAAATCCATGCATCCCAAACAAAGGAACATATATGATTTAAAAAATTTATAGGAGACACACATGTGAATAGCACCTTTTAATAATATTGAGTTAAACAGAGGTGTTAATGGTTGGGTAAGGCTAACCCTTGGCATCCTCTACAAAGGAGAATGAATAGTCACCAGGAATTTTCCAGATATTGATTATGTTACAGTATCACACATGTTTTGCTTGCTGGTTTGCCTTGCTGAGGGATGTCTTGTCTTGAAGAGGGGGTAGTTTTGACCTCTACAGCCATGCTTATCGGAAGGGAGAAAGTTGCAGGAGTTGGAGTGTTTGGGACAGAATTGACCTGTGAAGAAGACAGCTTTGGTTCATTGAAGTTCCTAGAGGAAGAGTTTGACTGGTCCTTGTGTTGTTCTGTGATCTCCTGTGTAGCCGTATGAACAGTTGATGCAATGGGTGCTAATTTACCACCACCAATTCTTGAATGTGAAATGTCTGTGGTCAGTGCTCCCTGTGTTTCTGCATCAGACAGAGGGATGGTGGGTAACTTTCTGTATCTCTTTTCAACACTGTCAACACCTGAGTCATTAGGTGTCCCCTGTAAGGTGATGTCTAAATCAGTCTCAGAAGAGTCTTTGGCCTTAGACTTTTTGTGGCTCTTCTTGCGTTTTTTCTTTGGTTTCTCTCCCTCTTTCTTTTGAGATACATCCAGAATCTTTGCAGAGACTTGACTGGTGGTTGCATCTTCCTGAACCTCCTGAGTGAATTGTCTAACAGCTTGATCTTCCTGAACCTTCTCAGCAGGTTGTCTAACAGCTTGATCTTCCTGAACCTTCTCAGCAGGTTGTTTAACAGCTTGGTGTTCCTGAACCTTCTCAGCAGGTTGTTTAACAGCTTGGTGTTCCTGAGCCTTCTCAGCAGGTTGTTTAACAGCTTGGTGTTCCTGAACCTTCTCAGCAGGTTGTTTAACAGCTTGGTCTTCCCGAACCTTCTCAGCAGGTTGTTTAACAGCTTGGTCTTGTTGAATTTCCTTATTTGCTTGTTTAATCGCTTCCTTGTCTATAGTTGAAGAACTTTGCTGCGACAGGGTCATCTGGGTGTATCTCTCAACTTCAGCCACATCTCCAGCTGCAAAGTGATGCGAAAAAATCAAAGAACACTTCATCATATTCTTTAATCTTACAATTAAAGTATATAAATCTTTAAAGCTGAATTGAAAAGAAGTTCTTATATCACGATGTGTCAGAAAAGTTTTTAGAAAAATTTTGACAAAAGCCTTGATGTCAAGGCCAGTCTGTATGTGGTCAAACCTCTTGTCTAGATCACAGCCTGTATGTGACAATGCCTCTTGTCTATACCACAGTCTGCATGTGACCAGGCCTCTTGTCTAGACCACAGTCTGTATATGACAATGCCTCTTGTCTATACCACAGTTTGCATGTGACCAGGCCTTTCCTGTCTTAGACCACAGTCTGTATGTGACCAGGCCTTTCCTGTCTTAGACCACAGTCTGTATGTGACCATGCCCTTCCTGTCTTAGACCACAGTCTGTATGTGACCAAGCCCTTCCTGTCTTAGACCACAGTCTGTATGTGACCAAGCCCTTCCTGTCTTAGACCACAGTCTGTATGTGACCAAGCCCTTCCTGTCTTAGACCATAGTCTGTATGTGACCAAGCCCTTCCTGTCTTAGACCACAGTCTGTATGTGATTAAGCCTTCTGGTCTGATACTACAACACTTTCTATAACCCAGTCTGTTTGAACCAAGCCTCTTGTCTTAGACCACAGTCTGTATGTGACCAAGCCCTTCTTGTCTTAGACCACAGTCTGTATGTGACCAAGTCCTTCCTGTCTTCGACCACAGTCTGTATATGACCAGGCCTTTCCTGTCTTAGACCACAGTCTGTATGTGATTAAGCCTTCTGGTCTGATACTACAACACTTTCTATAACCCAGTCTGTTTGAACCAAGCCTCTTGTCTTAGACCACAGTCTGTATGTGACCAAGCCCTTCCTGTCTTAGACCACAGTCTGTATGTGACCAGGCCTTTCCTGTCTTAGACCACAGTCTGTATGTGACCAGGCCTTTCCTGTCTTAGACCACAGTCTGTATGTGATTAAGCCTTCTGGTCTGATACTACAACACTTTCTATAACCCAGTCTGTTTGAACCAAGCCTCTTGTCTTAGACCACAGTCTGTTTGAACCAAGCCTCTTGTCTTAGACAACAGTCTGTATGTGACCAAGTCCTTCCTGTCTTAGACCATAGTCTGTATGTGACCAAGCCCTTCCTGTCTTAGACCACAGTCTGTATGTGACCATGCCCTTGCTGTCTTAGACCACAGTCTGTTTGAACCAAGCCTCTTGTCTTAGACCACAGTCTGTATGTGACCAAGTCCTTCCTGTCTTAGACCATAGTCTGTATGTGACCAAGCCCTTCCTGTCTTAGACCACAGTCTGTATGTGACCATGCCCTTGCTGTCTTAGACCACAGTCTGTATGTGACCAAGCCCTTCCTGTCTTAGACCACAGTCTGTATGTGACCAAGCCCTTCCTGTCTTAGACCACAGTCTGTATGTGACCAAGCCCTTCCTGTCTTAGACCATAGTCTGTATGTGACCAAGCCCTTCCTGTCTTAGACCACAGTCTGTATGTGACCAAGCCCTTCCTGTCTTAGACCACAGTCTGTATGTGACCAAGCCCTTCCTGTCTTAGACCACAGTCTGTATGTGACCAAGCCCTTCCTGTCTTAGACCACAGTCTGTATGTGACCAAGCCCTTCCTGTCTTAGACCACAGTCTGTATGTGACCATGCCCTTGCTGTCTTAGACCACAGTCTGCATGTGACCAGGCCTTTCCTGTCTTAGACCACAGTCTGCATGTGACCAGGCCTTTCCTGTCTTAGACCACAGTCTGCATGTGACCAGGCCTTTCCTGTCTTAGACCACAGTCTGTATGTGACCAGGCCTTTCCTGTCTTAGACCACAGTCTGTATGTGACCAAGCCCTTCCTGTCTTAGACCACAGTTTGTATGTGACCAAGCCCTTCCTGTCTTAGACAAAGTCTGTATGTGACCAAGCCCTTCCTGTCTTAGACCACAGTCTGTATGTGACCATGCCTCTTGTCTTAGACCACAGTCTGTTTGAACCAAGCCTATTGTCTTAGACCACAGTCTGTATGTGACCAAGCCCTTCCTGTCTTAGACCACAGTCTGTATGTGACCAAGCCCTTCCTGTCTTAGACCACAGTCTGTATGTGACCATACCTCTTGTCTTAGACCACAGTCTGTATGTGACCAAGCCCTTCCTGTCTTAGACCACAGTCTGTATGTGACCAAGCCCTTCCTGTCTTAGACCACAGTCTGTATGTGACCATACCTCTTGTCTTAGACCACAGTCTGTATGTGACCTTTTTTGTCTGATATTACAGTACTAAAAAGCTTACCGTTTCCATGAAATGTCCTTTTCTGTAGAGCAGTTGGTTTAAAAGTGATTTTAAGGTTCTGTGGGAGCCTGAGAGCCTCCATCATGGCCTCAACCCAGACCTGGTTTGTGGACATCTGCTTGACTTCAGTCACACTGTCACTTAATACAGATACCTTCAGTTTATCAATGTGCTCCTCACAAAGCCAGCTTGTCTTTCCACTTGGTAAACGACACCTTCAAATCAAATTCACTCTGTGGAATTATTTGTTGTTGTGACAAAGAGAAAACTTGGCAATCTAAAAATGACTGATTTCCTTCCTGCTTAAATATACTGATCAGTCATTCATGATGTCATACAGAAAATTAAGTTTAAATCATCATACCTTTTCAGTTGTCCTTTCTGTAATTTTGAATCCATGTCGAACACCTTCTGACGGAGCAGCTGGTAACTTGTTTCAAAGGTGTGCCCACCTTTCACAGTCAGCTAAGGACACAGCAAACAAAGTAATGTGATGAGAGTTCACTAGCATCATCTCAGTTACATTCTCGGTTTTCTTCAATAAAAGTCTGCGTATAGGCTAGTCATCCCACTTCAATAGTGAATGTTACCTCCTGTGTATTACATAAGCACCCCTCTCCTACAGTAAAACCTACCTCCTGTGTATTACATAATCACCCCTCTCCTACAGTAAAACCTACCTCCTGTGTATTACATAATCACCCCTCTCCTACAGTAAAACCTTCCTCCTGTGTATTACATAATCACCCCTCTCCTACAGTAAAACCTTCCTCCTGTGTATTACATAATCACCCCTCTCCTACAGTAAAACCTACCTCCTGTGTATAACATAATCACCCCTCTCCTACAGTAAAACCTACCTCCTGTGTATAACATAATCACCCCTCTCCTACAGTAAAACCTTCCTCCTGTGTATTACATAATCACCCCTCTCCTACAGTAAAACCTACCTCCTGTGTATAACATAATCACCCCTCTCCTACAGTAAAACCTACCTCCTGTGTATTACATAATCACCTCCTGTCCTACAGTAAAACCTACCCCTCTCCTAAAAGTAAAACCTACCTCCTGTGTATTACATAATCACCCCTCTCCTACAGTAAAACCTACCTCCTGTGTATAACATAATCACCCCTCTCCTACAGTAAAACCTACCTCCTGTGTATAACATAATCACCCCTCTCCTACAGTAAAACCTACCTCCTGTGTATAACATAATCACCCCTCTCCTACAGTAAAACCTACCTCCTGTGTATAACATAATCACCCCTCTCCTACAGTAAAACCTACCTCCTGTGTATAACATAATCACCCCTCTCCTACAGTAAAACCTACCTCCTGTGTATAACATAAGCACCCCTCTCCTACAGTAAAACCTACCTCCTGTGTATAACATAATCACCCCTCTCCTACAGTAAACCTACCTCCTGTGTATTACATAATCACCCCTCTCCTACAGTAAAACCTACCTCCTGTGTATGACATAATCACCCCTCTCCTACAGTAAAACCTACCTCCTGTGTATTACATAATCACCCCTCTCCTACAGTAAAACCTACCTCCTGTGTATTACATAATCACCCCTCTCCTACAGTAAAACCTACCTCCTGTGTATTACATAATCACCCCTCTCCTACAGTAAAACCTACCTCCTGTGTATAACATAATCACCCCTCTCCTACAGTAAAACCTACCTCCTGTGTATAACATAATCACCCCTCTCCTACAGTAAAACCTTCCTCCTGTGTACAGCGTAATCACCCCTCTCCTACAGTAAAACCTTCCACCTGTGTATTACATAATCACCCCTCTCCTACAGTAAAACCTACCTCCTGTGTATAACATAATCACCCCTCTCCTACAGTAAAACCTACCTCCTGTGTATAATAATCACCCCTAATCCTACCTCCTGTGTATAACATAATCACCCCTCTCCTACAGTAAAACCTACCTCCTGTGTATAACATAATCACCCCTCTCCTACCTCTCCTACAGTAAAACCTACCTCCTGTATAACATAATCACCTTCTCCTACAGTAAAACCTACCTCCTGTGTATTACATAATCCTGTGTATAACATAATCACCCTTCTCCTACAGTAAAACCCCACCCCTCTCCTACAGTAAAACCTACCTCCTGTGTATAACATAATCACCCCTCTCCTACAGTAAAACCTACCTCCTGTGTAATTACCCTTCTCCTACATAAACCACCCCTCTCCTACAGTAAAACCTACCTCCTGTGTATAACATAATCACCCCTCTCCTACAGTAAAACCTTCCTCCTGTGTACAGCGTAATCACCCCTCTCCTACAGTAAAACCTTCCTCCTGTGTATTACATAATCACCCCTCTCCTACAGTAAAACCTACCTCCTGTGTATAACATAATCACCCCTCTCCTACAGTAAAACCTTCCTCCTGTGTATAACATAACCACCCCTCTCCTACAGTAAAACCTACCTCCTGTGTATAACATAATCACCCCTCTCCTACAGTAAAACCTTCTACCTCCTGTGTATATAACATAATCATCCCCTCTCCTACAGTAAAACCTATCCTGTGTATAACATAATCCCCTCTCCTACAGTAAAACCTACCTCAAGTGTATAAAAAAATCACCCCTCTCCTACAGTAAAACCTACCTCCTGTGTATAACATAATTACCCCTCTCCTACAGTAAAACCTACCTCCTGTGTATAACATAATCACCCCTCTCCTACAGTAAAACCTACCTCCTGTGTATAACATAATCACCCCTCTCCTACAGTAAAACCTACCTCCTGTATATAACATAATTATCCTTTTCTACAGTAAAACCTACCTCCTGTGTATAACATAACCACCCCTCTCCTACAGTAAAACCTTCCTCCTGTGTATAACATAATCACCCCTCTCCTACAGTAAAACCTACCTCCTGTGTATAACATAACCACCCCTCTCCTACAGTAAAACCTACCTCCTGTGTATAACATAATTACAAAACCTACCTCCTGTGTATAACATAATCACCCCTCTCCTACAGTAAAACCTACCTCCTGTGTATAACATAATCACCCCTCTCCTACAGTAAAACCTACCTCCTGTGTATAACATAATCACCCCTCTCCTACAGTAAAAACTACTTCCTGTGTATAACATAATTATCCTTTTCTACAGTAAAACCTACCTCCTGTATATAACATAATTATCCTTTTCTACAGTAAAACCTACCTCCTGTGTATAACATAATCATCCCTCTCCTACAGTAAAACCTACCTCCTGCGTATAACATAATTATCCTTTTCTACAGTAAAACCTACCTCCTGTGTATAACATAATCATCCCTCTCCTACAGTAAAAACTACTTCCTGCGTATAACCTAATTATCCTTTTCTACAGTAAAACCTACCTCCTGTATATAACATAATTATCCTTTTCTACAGTAAAACCTACCTCCTGTGTATAATCACCCCTCTCCTACAGTAAAACCTACCTATATTATAAAAACCTTTTCCTAATTATCCTTTTCTACAGTAAAACCTACCTCCTGTATATAACATAATTATCCTTTTCTACAGTAAAACCTACCTCCTGTGTATAACATAATCATCCCTCTCCTACAGTAAAAACTACTTCCTGCGTATAACCTAATTATCCTTTTCTACAGTAAAAACTACTTCCTGTGTATAACATAATTATCCTTTTCTACAGTAAAACCTACCTCCTGTATATAACATAATTATCCTTTTCTACAGTAAAACCTACCTCCTGTGTATAACCTAATTATCCTTTTCTACAGTAAAAACTACTTCCTGTGTATAACAGAATTATCTTTATCTACAGTAAGATCTACCTCATGTGTATATCCTTATAATCCCTTTTCACAATTAAACCTACCTCCTGTATATATTTAAGGTATTGCTGACCAACAACATCTGAGAAGAGATTGAGGACAAAGTCTGGGCTGTGTCTCATTACCAGAGTTATGTGAGCTAGGTAGGGAGCATATTCTTCTATATCCTCACCAATAAAGGTGGTCTCCAGCAGCAGAGGTTTACAGACTGAGTGCCACCCCTACATAAAAACAAATCATACACTTTACAAATATTGTATTGCAGAGGTTTACAGACTGAGTGCCACCCCTATACCAAATAAATACATTTTACAAATATTTTACTGTGGAGGTTTGCAGATTTGGTGCCACCCCTACACCAAACAAATACATTTTTACAAATATTTTACTGCCGAGGTTTACAGACTGAGTGCCACCCCTATATAAAAACAAATCATACACTTTACAAATATTTTACTGCCGAGGTTTACAGACTGAGTGCCACCCCTACACCAAATAAATCATACATTTTTACAAATATTTTACTGTGGAAGTTTGCAGATTGAGTGGCATTCATAAAAATAAAAGTCAAACATACACTCAAATAGAGGAAAGTATTAAACACATTCTTGGGAAAACAGGATTCTGGTATAACAGCAATTTGGTATTAGATCATATGGATACCTTTGATTATGCCATATCCTTCTTAAATTAAAAAAAAAATCTAACATTTACTGTTTCCCAAAAAGTGTACAATAGCATGATTTACCTGTTCACATTCACACAAAGTGTACACACAGTATCTTCGGGACTTGAAGTCATCCTCACTTGGTAACATTTTCTTTGCTTCTACAAGAATTTAGAGTTTTTAATAATTTTAATGTAATAACTGAATTAAAATTAAAAAGAAACAAAACATCATCCTTGACCTGAAACTCCTTGCAGTAATTAAACACTTTTTTTGAAGTTTTAAGAAATTTTAGTCCAGGAAAAATATTCAAAAGTATCAAATTGAAAAGTTCTTTTTCCATGCACAAGTATAGTTTCATGGTCTTCCATTGTCCCTAGTTACAAAAAAGTTTAAATAGTGCAGTTTTAGTTCTGCTAATTACAAGGTTTTGTCACAGAAATCATAGTTTCAAGTTCCTCATGCTAAAATATTTCAAATTACAAGTACCTTTCTTAATTGATAACCATATATTTTGATCTTCCATTGTGCTCACTAAAAATACAAAAACACAACCTGCAGCTGAAGAGAAGTTTTGGTTACATGGATTTTAATGTTGGGAAGTTTATTCTATAACTCCAGAAAAATATAGCTGCTTTCAAAAATTCCATTATATATATTATGTCTCTTCTGTGTGCCAAGTTATACATAGAAATAAGTGTATAGAGAGGATTTTTACTAACAGAAACCGTGATTCCTGTGTACCTATCATTTACAGAGGATATACTTAACCTAATGAACTTCCAGTTTTACCTTGTACCCCAGTATCCACTATATCCACTACAAACAGACGTGGGTAGCTAGCCATGTCATGTTTTAGAGCATAACTTGAAATCTGTCGTAGAAATTTCCTCTGAGCAAGCTCGTACATCTCCTACATAAACCAAAATATAAGTAAAATTGCTTTGTAATCTTTCTTTGGTGGGGATATCTGACATAAAAACTTTCTCTGGGCAAGGTCATGATTTCCCTATAACCAACATAGCTATAATACTGGGTCCATTCTGGTTGTAACTTTATACAATGTATTATGATAAATATTAATTTGATTTGCAATACATTCGCTGAACTACTAGTCTAAGGTGATTAAGAAATTTTGAAACAAGATCCAGCAGCCCTAATTTAAGTAAGTCTTGTTGGAAGGTTCTAAAACCAATATATGTACCTACTATATACTAGAGTTGTGGTGATATTCTTAAACTTCCTCATCAGAACAGATAGCATTCAGCACTTAGATAGGCATGTAATTAATATGGCAGGCATACAAAGATAAATATTACTGTAATTCTTAGTGTAAAGCTCATAAATAAAAAAAAATCTCTAATTCTGGGAACAGAAAGAGAAAAATAAAAAAATAACAAACACACAAACTGATACCATGAGTTTTGTGTAGAAATTTTTATAAAGTTTGTTCAGTTTTAAAGCAGAGCAGCCTGTACAAAATGATGTCCATGTTCCAGTACATCAACAAACAGCTGGAAAATGACACAAAGTTTATGGCAACTTTTAAGTGACACCAAAATTTAGTCATGACTAGATTGTTCTGTCCTGTTTCTACAGAGTTTAACATCCTTGCAACAGCCAAGGTCATATGAGGACAGGTATCAAGAGGGACACTAACAGTCAGGGTCTTATGTGACTTGGTGTACTAGGGTGACACCAATAGCCAGGGTTATATGAAGACGGGGGTGAAAAGGGACACCAACAGCCATGGGCATATGAAGACAGGCATCAAGAGGGACACCAACAGCCAGGGGCATATGAAGATGGGGGTCAAAAGGGACACCAATAGCAAGGGTCTTATGAAGACAGAGGTCAAAAGGGACACCAACAGCCAGGGGCATATGAGGACAGGCATCAAGAGGGACACCAACAGCCAGGGGCATATGAGGACAGGCATCAAGAGGGACACCAATAGCAAGGGGCATATGTGGTTTGGTGTACTAGGATGACATCAACAGCCAGGGTCATATGTGACTTGGTGTACTAGGGTGTCACCAACAGCCATTGGCATATGAAGATGGGGGGTTAAAAGGGACACCAACAGCCAGGGGCATATGAGGACAATCGTACCGGGAAGACACCAACAGCCAAGGTCATACGTGGCTAGGTGTACGAGGGTGATACCAACAGCAAGGGTCATATGTGACTTGGTGTACTAGGATGACACCAACAGCCAAGGTCATACGTGGCTAGGTGTACGAGGGTGATACCAACAGCCAGGGTCATATGTGGCTAGGTGTACTAGGGTGACACCATCAGCCAAGGTCATGTGTGGCTATGTGTACTAGGATTATACCAACAGCCAAGGTCATATGTGGCTTGGTGTACTAGGGTGACACCAACAGCCAAGGTCATATGTGGCTAGGTGTACTAGGGTGACACCAACAGCCAGGGTCATATGTGGCTTGGTGTAATAGGATGACACCACCAGCCAGGGTCATATGTGGCTTGGTGTATTAGGGTGACACCACCAGCCAGGGTCATATGTGGCTAGGTGTACTAGGATGACACCAACAGCCAGGGTCATATGTGGCTTGGTGTACTAGGGTGACACCAACAGCCAGGTGCATATATGGCTAGGTGTACTAGGATGACACCAACAGCCAGGGTCATATGTGGCTTGGTGTAATAGGGTGACACCACCAGCCAGGGGCATATATGGCTAGGTGTACTAGGATGACACCAACAGCCAGGGTCATATGTGGCTTGGTGTAATAGGGTGACACCACCAGCCAGGGGCATATGTGGCTAGGTGTACTAGGATGACACCAACAGCCAGGGTCATATGTGGCTTGGTGTACTAGGGTGACACCAACAGCCAGGGGCAGATGAGGCTAGGTGTACTAGGATGACACCAACAGCCAGGGTCATATATGGCTAGGTGTACTAGGATGACACCAACAGCCAGGGTCATATGTGGCTTGGTGTACGAGGGTGATACCAACAGCCAGGGTCATATGTGGCTTGGTGTAATAGGGTGACACCACCAGCCAGGGGCATATATGGCTAGGTGTACTAGGATGACACCAACAGCCAGGGTCATATGTGGCTTGGTGTAATAGGGTGACACCACCAGCCAGGGGCATATGTGGCTAGGTGTACTAGGGTGACACCAACAGCCAGGGTCATATATGGCTAGGTGTACTAGGATGACACCAACAGCCAGGGTCATATGTGGCTTGGTGTACGAGGGTGATACCAACAGCCAGGGGCATATGTGGCTTGGTGTACTAGGATGACACCAACAGCCAGGGGCAGATGAGGCTAGGTGTACTAGGATGACACCAACAGCCAGGGTCATATGTGGCTTGGTGTACTGGGACATCATTTGGAAAACAAAGCACAGAAAGGAAGAGCAGACAAGAAAAAAAATCAAAAGATCAAGATCCCACATGTCATGATGGAGGCAGCATATCTATTCTGCAGGAGGCACACGTTTAGTTACCTCCTATGATAATACAGTGGAATACAGTGGAATATGCTTGAGCTCTGCAATGTCCCCTTAACAGGAGATCTCAGAGAAAGCAGCCGCAAGTGATGCCCAACAGTGAGTCATGTGTTATGACATGCAGTGACATACAGCAGGCATATTCTCCTTCAGGGGTGGGTTAGGGTTCATGCCTGAAGCTTTGATACTAAGTGTCTACAACAGGTTCTTGGGTGAGGAAAGTGAAGGGGCAATTTATTAGAAATTATAAATGGTGTCAGGTAAGTAATTCGGTAAGTGACCTTGAATGATGTATTAGTTCTGTCTATGTCCTTTCTCCTATGCTTGTCTATCACCTCCATACTCTCAGGCAGCATATTTGACTTGACAAGTGTGAGCAAGTCTTGGCAGGCGTTTGGGTTAGGTCGTTGGAAGTCAATGACAGGGTATGACATGGAATTGAAGCCCACCTGAAACATGAAAACAGCTATCATATTTAGTCTAAATGACCACATTCCTGACTTCTTGTGACCTTAGTTCTTGTAATCCTAGTGAAGGCGACTATATTTCTAGTCACCATCGCATAGGTGACCTTACTTCTTGTTACTCTAATCCATTTGACTTTAATATAGATTTTGTATTGTTCTTATAACCTTGAACAAGAATATTTAATGCCAGTCACCTTCGCATAAATGACCACACTAAGTATAAGAAGGTTATACTGAGATACACTAAGTATCAGTCTGATATACTGAGATACACTAAGTATCAGTCTGACATACTGAGATACACTAAGTATCAGTCTGACATACTAAGATACACTAAGTATAAGTCTGACATACTGAGATACACTAAGTATAAGTCTGATATACTGAGATACACTAAGTATCAGTCTGATATACTGAGATACACTAAGTATAAGTCTGACATACTGAGATACACTAAGTATCAGTCTGACATACTGAGATACACTAAGTATCAGTCTGACATACTGAGATACACTAAGTATCAGTCTGACATACTGAGATACACTAAGTATCAGTCTGACATACTGAGATACACTAAGTATCAGTCTGACACACTAAGTATCAGTCTGACATACTGAGATACACTAAGTATCAGTCTGACACACTAAGTATCAGTCTGACATACTGAGATACACTAAGTATCAGTCTGACATACTGAGATACACTAAGTATCAGTCTGACACACTAAGTATAAGTCTGACATACTGAGATACACTAAGTATCAGTCTGACATACTGAGATACACTAAGTATCAGTCTGACATACTGAGATACACTGAGTATCAGTCTGATACACTAAGTATCAGTCTGACATACTGAGATACACTAAGTATAAGTCTGACATACTGAGATACACTAAGTATCAGTCTGACATACTGAGATACACTAAGTATAAGTCTGACATACTGAGATACACTAGGTATCAGTCTGACATACTGAGATACACTAGGTATCAGTCTGACATACTGAGATACACTAAGTATAAGTCTGACATACTGAGATACACTAAGTATCAGTCTGACATACTGAGATACACTAGGTATCAGTCTGACATACTGAGATACACTAAGTATCTGACATATGTCTGACATCAGTCTGACATACTGAGATACACTAAGTATCAGTCTGACATACTGAGATACACTAAGTATCAGTCTGATATACTGAGTATCAGTCTGATATACTGAGATACACTAAGTATCAGTCTGACATACTGAGATACACTAAGTATCAGTCTGACATACTGAGATACACTAAGTATCAGTCTGACATACTGAGATACACTAAGTATCAGTCTGACATACTGAGATACACTAGGTATCAGTCTGACATACTGAGATACACTAAGTATCAGTAGATACAGTCTAAGTATCATACATACTGAGATACACTAAGTATCAGTCTGACATACTGAGATACACTAAGTATCAGTCTGACATACTGAGATACACTAAGTATCAGTCTGATACACTAAGTATCAGTCTGACATACTGAGATACACTAAGTATCAGTCTGACATACTGAGATACACTAAGTATCAGTCTGACATACTGAGATACACTAAGTATCAGTCTGATATACTGAGATACACTAAGTATCAGTCTGACATACTGAGATACACTAAGTATCAGTCTGACATACTGAGATACACTAAGTATCAGTCTGACATTATGAGATACACTAAGTATCAGTCTGACATACTGAGATACACTAAGTATCAGTCTGACATACTGAGATACACTAAGTATCAGTATCAGTCTGACATACTGAGATGAGATACACTAAGTATCAGTCTGACATACTGAGATACACTAAGTATCAGTCTGACATACTGAGATACACTAGGTATCAGTCTGACATACTGAGATACACTAAGTAAAAGTCTGACATACTGAGATACACTAAGTATAAGTCTGACATACTGAGATACACTAAGTATCAGTCTGACATACTGAGATACACTAGGTATCAGTCTGACATACTGAGATACACTAAGTATCAGTCTGACATACTGAGATACACTAAGTATCAGTCTGACATACTGAGATACACTAAGTATCAGTCTGACATACTGAGATACACTAAGTATCAGTCTGACATACTGAGATACACTAAGTATAAGTCTGACATACTAAGATACACTAAGTATCAGTCTGACATACTGAGTATCAGTCTGACATACTGAGATACACTAAGTATCAGTCTGACATACTGAGATACACTAAGTATCAGTCTGACATACCTCTGAGCGTTTCCACTGTGTTCCAGTTCCAACAACAGCCACTACTACAGGCAGCTCCAGTTGAATGGCAAACCTTAGCTCCTTACAGCATATCTTTGATTGGGCATACTGGTCAGACACACAAGCGATTACTACCCGGGCCTCAGACAGACCCTGTGCTATCCTGTTTAATAACTGGTCATTCTGTGGAGTTAAGTATGAACTTTAGTAAACAAGCCTACAAATTAGAATGGACTGTGTACTCTATCATGGTTTTATATTAAAAGGTTCCCGACAAAAAAAATATAGGAGATCAATTTTTATTAAAACTACATGTATAAATCAAGTCCTGGTGAATGTTCATTTTAGGAAAACACCAGATCTTTAAAGCTTAATTGATTCCTAAAAAACAGTGTAGCAATATCATTCTTAAAAACAGCTCTAAATATGTATTCTTCACTTCAATACAAACAGACACAGTCTCACTATTCTGTATAACATGTTATTTACACTGACTACTAAGTGTCCTTGTTTATTTACACTGACTACACAGTGTCCTAGTTTATTTACACAGACTACACAGTGTCCTAGTTTATTTACACTGACTTCACAGTGTCCTAGTTTATTTACACTGACTACACAGTGTCCTAGTTTATTTTCACTGACTACACAGTGTCCTAGTTTATTTACACTGACCACAGTGTCCTAGTATATTAACACTGACCACACAGTGTCCTAGTTTATTTTCACTGACTTCTTAGTGTCCTAGTTTATTTACACTGACTACACAGTGTCCTAGTTTATTTACACTGACTACACAGTGTCCTAGTTTATTTACACTGACTACACAGTGTCCTAGTTTATTTACACTGACTACACAGTGTCCTAGTTTATTTTCACTGACTACACAGTGTCCTAGCTTATCTACACAGACTACACAGTGTCCTAGTTTATCTACACATACTACACAGTGTCCTAGTTTATTTACACTGACTACACAGTGTCCTAGTTTATTTTCACTGACTACACAGTGTCCTAGTTTATTTACACTGATTACACAGTGTCCTAGTTTATTTACACAGACTACAGTGTCCTAGTTTATTTACACAGACTACACAGTGTCCTAGTTTATTTACACTGACTACACAGTGTCCTAGTTTATTTTCACTGACTACACAGTGTCCTAGTTTATTTACACAGACTACACAGTGTCCTAGTTTATTTACGTAGACCACACAGTGTCCTAGTTTATTTACACTGACTACACAGTGTCCTAGTTTATTTACACTTACTACACAGTGTCCTAGCTTATCTACACAGACTACACAGTGTCCTAGTTTATCTACACATACTACACAGTGTACTAGTTTATTTACACTGACTACACAGTGTCCTAGTTTATTTACACTGACCACAGTGTCCTAGTATATTAACACTGACCACACAGTGTCCTAGTTTATTTTCACTGACTACTAAGTGTCCTAGTTTATTTACACTGACTACACAGTGTCCTAGTTTATTTACACTGACTACACAGTGTCCTAGTTTATTTACACTTACTACACAGTGTCCTAGTTTATTTACACTTACTACACAGTGTCCTAGTTTATCTACACAGACTACACAGTGTCCTAGTTTATCTACACTGACTACACAGTGTCCTAGTTTATTTACACTGACTACACAGTGTCCTAGTTTATTTTCACTGACTACACAGTGTCCTAGTTTATTTACACTGACTACACAGTGTCCTAGTTTATTTACACTGACTACACAGTGTCCTAGTTTATTTTCACTGACTACACAGTGTCCTAGTTTATTTACACTGACTACTAAGTGTCCTAGTTTATTTACACTGACTACACAGTGTCCTAGTTTATTTTCACAGACTACACAGTGTCCTAGTTTATTTACACTTACTACACAGTGTCCTAGCTTATCTTCACAGACTACACAGTGTCCTAGTTTATCTACACATACTACACAGTGTACTAGTTTATTTTCACTGACTACACAGTGTCCTAGTTTATTTACACTGACCACAGTGTCCTAGTATATTAACACTGACCACAGTGTCCTAGTTTATTTACACTGACTACACAGTGTCCTAGTTTATTTACACTGACTACACAGTGTCCTAGTTTATTTACACTGACTACACAGTGTCCTAGTTTATTTTCACTGACTACACAGTGTCCTAGTTTATTTACACTGACTACACAGTGTCCTAGTTTATCTACACTGACTACACAGTGTCCTAGTTTATTTACACTGACTACACAGTGTCCTAGTTTATTTACACTGACTACACAGTGTCCTAGTTTATTTACACTGACTACACAGTGTCCTAGTTTATTTACACTGACTACACAGTGTCCTAGTTTATTTACACTGACTACACAGTGTCCTAGTTTATTTACACTGACTACACAGTGTCCTAGTTTATCTACACAGACTACACAGTGTCCTAGTTTATTTACACTGACTACACAGTGTCCTAGTTTATTTACACTGACTACACAGTGTCCTAGTTTATTTACACTTACTACACAGTGTCCTAGTTTATCTACACAGACTACACAGTGTCCTAGTTTATCTACACAGACTACACAGTGTCCTAGTTTATTTTCACTGACTACACAGTGTCCTAGTTTATTTACACTGACTACACAGTGTCCTAGTTTATCTACACTGACTACACAGTGTCCTAGTTTATTTACACTGACTACACAGTGTCCTAGTTTATTTTACACAGTGTCCTAGTTTATTTTCTACACACAGTGTCCTAGTTTATTTACACTGACTACACAGTGTCCTAGTTTATTTATCTACACAGACTACACAGTGTCCTAGTTTATTTACACTGACTACACAGTGTCCTAGTTTATTTACACTGACTACACAGTGTCCTAGTTTATCTACACTGACTACACAGTGTCCTAGTTTATTTACACTGACTACACAGTGTCCTAGTTTATTTTCACAGACTACACAGTGTCCTAGTTTATTACTACACCTAGCTTATCTTCACTGTCCTAGTTTATCACACATACTACACAGTGTCCTAGTTTATTTACACTGACTACACAGTGTCCTAGTTTATTTACACTGACCACAGTGTCCTGTATATTAACTGACTGTCCTAGTTTATTTACACACACACAGTGTCCTAGTTTATTTTCACTGACTACACAGTGTCCTAGTTTATTTACACTGACTACACAGTGTCCTAGTTTATTTACACTGACTACACAGTGTCCTAGTTTATTTACACTGACTACACAGTGTCCTAGTTTATTTTCACTGACTACACAGTGTCCTAGTTTATTTACACTGACTACACAGTAAGTGTCCTAGTTTATTTACACTGACTACACAGTGTCCTAGTTTATTTTCACAGACTACACAATCTACACAGACTACACAGTGTCCTAGTTTATCTACACAGACTACACAGTGTCCTAGTTTATTTTCACTGACTACACAGTGTCCTAGTTTATCTACACTGACTACACAGTGTCCTAGTTTATTTACACTGACTACACAGTGTCCTAGTTTATTTTCACTGACTACAGTGTCCTAGTTTATTTACACTTACTACACAGTGTCCTAGTTTATCTACACAGACTACACAGTGTCCTAGTTTATCTACACAGACTACACAGTGTCCTAGTTTATTTACACTGACTACACAGTGTCCTAGTTTATCTACACTGACTACACAGTGTCCTAGTTTATTTACACTGACTACACAGTGTCCTAGACTACACAGTGTCCTAGTTTATCTACACAGACTACACTGTGTCCTAGTTTATTTACACTGACTAAACAGTGTCCTAGTTTATCTACACAGACTACACAGTGTCCTAGTTTATTCACACTGACTACACAGTGTCCTAGTTTATTTACACTGACTACACAGTGTCCTAGTTTATTTACACTGACTACACAGTGTCCTAGTTTATCTACACAGACTACACAGTGTCCTAGTTTATTTACACTTACTACACAGTGTCTTTGCTCATACTTACCACATTAACTTGATCAACATCTAACCAGCACTTGATGCCATTCTCCTCTAAATAGGACTTAAGTTGACGTGGATCCCCAAATCCGAGGGCTCCAGCTATCTCTCTGTAAGACAGTTATATATATGTGCAAACTATGAATTATGTTATTGTAAGTGCAACAAATTACACTTATATTCAAAATAACTATAACTTCCCCACATACCACAATTTTTTTAACATCCTCAGAGATTAAGATTTTAATGTATAGTTAATCGCTAATACTGCTTGAAATTTCTGATAATTCCAGAAATGAAAACTTGGAAGCTCACATAGAGTTACACATTGATAAAAAGATGATCATAAAACCCTCAACCTGTGCCAGACCCAATACAATCCTTTGTCTGAATTTTTGATGACACTCTACAGCCAACCTAGAGTTAGCCCAGGAGTAACTGATGAAGCAGGCACCAACAAAATCTCAATTATACCATCCTCTATCACACCATACTCACTTGGTGCCGCACTCTACAGCCAACCTAGAGTTAGCCCAGGAGTAACTGATGAAGCAAGCACCAACAGGCTCTGATTTAACTTGAGAGATTTGGTCATTTTTCTGCAGCGTGGCAAGCAATTCCCTCATCTTCGACTCATACATTGGCTTCTTTGAATTAATCATGTTTACAAACACCTGCAAAATAAACACAAACACTGTAAATAGGAACACCTGTTAACATACTGACATCTTCAGACACATTGTGGATCTCCAATCCCAACTCCTACATGATGTATCTCCATCACCCTCCCAACCCTACATCCTTGATTCCTATTTCCCAATCCTACCTTCTGGATCCCCATTCCCCAATCCTACATCCTCGGTCCCCATTCCCCAAGCCTACATCCTGTATCTCCATCACCCTCCCAATCCTTCATCCTCGATTCCTATTCCCAACCCTACATCCTCAATTCCTATTCCCCAATCCTGCATCATGGATCCCCATTCCCCACTCCTACCATCTCGATCTCCTTCACCCTCCCACTCCTACAATCTGGATCCCCATTCCCCAATTTTACATCCTGGATCCCCATTCTCCACTCCTTCATCCTTGATCCCCATTCCCCTATGCTTCAGCCTTGATCCCAATCACTCTCCCAACGGAACACTTTGGATCCAAATCCTCTATCTTTACACCATTGATCACCCAATTCCCCACCCCCTCCCCTCACATCATGGATCACAATCCCCCTACCACCATATCCTGGATCCCCATTTTCTACTCCCACATCATAAATCACCATTCCCCACAGTTACACCATTGACCACCATCCCCTACTCTCACATCATTGATAACCATCCCCTACTCTCACATCATTGACCACCATCCCCCATCCTCACATCATTGATCACCATCCCCTACTCTCACATCATTGATCACCATCCCCAACCATCACATCATTGATCACCATCCCCCTCCCTCACATCATTGATCACCATCCCCAACCCTCACATCATTGATCACCATCCCCTACTCTCACATCATTGATCACCATCCCCAACCCTCACAACATTGATCACCATCCCCCACCCTCACATCATTGATCACCATCCCCTACCCCACATCATTGATCACCATCCCCAACCCTCACATCATTGACCACCATCCCCCAACCTCTCATCATTGATCACCATCCCCTGACCCACATCATTGACCACCATCCCCAACCCTCACATCATTGACCACCATCCCCCACCCTCACATTATTGATCACCATCCCCCACCCTCACATCATTGATCACCATCCCCCACCCTCGCATCATTGACCACCATCCCCCATCCTTACATCATTGACTACCATCCCCTACCCCACATTTTGAATCAGCCTCTCACAGTGTGAACAGTGAACTTACCGATATTCATTTTTCAACTGACCCTCTGTCAAATACTTACCACATCAGCAGTGATGACGCCAAGAGAGGGACTCTTTTTCCAGTCAAAATTTTCGCCCAGTGCCACACAGATGGAGGGACGTTTCATGGTGCTGACAGCGTATTTGTACATGTCACAGCAGACCTCATTAGCAGCATAGTTATTGGAGACTAAGGCCAGAAATACAGATGAATGGACTAGTTGCTGGGCCATCTCCTCGCGAGAGGTCAGTGCATCACCCTCCGGAAAGTAACTGTAACAGCAGTTCTCATCCCATTGGAGACTTAATGACAATGTTTATGCATTAATGAAGTTACTATATAGTCACCTCATTTCTGTGACTATGACCTCGTATTCCCCTTACATAGAACATAATAGTTGTGCTAGTTAAAACACAAGAATAGTGAATCAATTCTGGTATTTCTACAATCCAAGCATCGTCGTTGAGGTATAATTTTTAAGCTGAATTATATCTATACAACTTACCAGGAAAATCCAGCTTTTTCAAGGTCAGCACAAATATCAGCTGGATGTATAACCTTTGACCTATCCCGTGGGGCATCTTTAGAGCAGTAGGAAATGAAGATGTCTGCCCACAGATAAAAAAAACACTGATACTAGATATCAACATTCATATCCCATATAAACAGTAAATCATAACATCTACATAATATCTATACTAATTAACATCACAGATCAATTTATCTACGTAATATCTATACTAATTAACATCACAGATCAATTTATCTATGTAAATCTATACTAGTTAACACAGATCAATTTATCTATGTAATATCTATACTAATTAACATCACAGATCAATTTATCTATGTAATATCTATACTAATTAACATCACAGATCAATTTATCTATGTAATATCTATACTAATTAACATCACAGATCAATTTATCTATGTAATATCTATACTAATTAACATCACAGATCAATTTATCTATGTAAATCTATACTAATTAACACACAGATCAATTTATCTATGTAATATCTATACTAATTAACATCACAGATCAATTTATCTATGTAATATCTATATTAATTAACATCACAGATCAATTTATCTATGTATATCTATACTTATTAACACAGATCAATTTATCTTTGTAATATCTATACTAATTAACATCACAGACCAATTTATCTATGTAAATCTATACTAATTAACATCACAGATCAATTTATCTACAAATAAATGATAATTAACACAGATCAATTTATCTATGTAACATCTAAAATTAACATCACAGTTGCCATTTCTTTTTGCATCTATAGCAAATTAACATCACTGATCAATTTATCTATGTAATCATCTGTTAGTTAACAAGAATGGTCAATTTATCTATGTAAATCTATACTGGCACTAACACAGATCAATTTATCTATGTAATATCTATACGCCTTAAACATGTGTGGATCCTTCTGGTGCTGTAAACCAGAATAAACATCAATTTCTATAACGATGTCTGGTTAAAAAGTGACTTAGTAAAAAACAGAGTAAACATCTAGTTTCTATAGCAATGTCTGGAACAGTGTGACTTAGCTATAAACCAAAGTAAACATCTATTTTTTCTTATAGAAACATATGGTACAAAGTGACTAAATTATAAACCAGAGATTGAGATTTTTATTCTCTTTTCCTTTCTTGTTACATCTGGTGTCATACACCACTCCAAATGCAAGCAGACTGAGAGATTCTGTTGAAGCAAGAGAACCTGCTTTGATGTGGTGGTATTCAAGGGTGAACACATTTGATGGGGGAGCAGTTTGTAAGATTCCAGAGATGTAGAACATAGAGATATAGTTGCCTTCTAGCTTCCAGCTAAAGGAAATTTCCCTTTAGTTAGATCATTAGAAAGTTGGACCAGTATACCAGTTTTACCTTGACCTTTGACCTGATGACTATGATCTGTGGTCATCATCTTTTCATTTGATTTCAGTCAATAATGCTACTTCATATCATAACAAAATATCTGCAGATATAATAATTCAAATTTGACCTTGGCCTTTACCAGATAACCTTGACCTGCAGCCAGGTGACTTCCCATTTGTTTCAGCCAATAACGTTTCATTATGTAAATATTTACCAGGAACATTCAGGTATGATATATTTTTGCTGTATAGCCCATTTCTATTTCTCTTAACAGTGACCTTGTTTATGACCTCTGAACATAAAAAACAAGAAAGAGCTTGCACTTCCTGTGAAGAAACAATGGAGAAAATCGTAATGTAATTATTGAAACAGAACTTCAGATAATTTGCAAAAACCAACTTTCGAGTTATAATAACAGTGATATTGACCTTTGATCCCAAGACATGAAAAACACTCCCACTCAACCACTTCCTTTGATGAAACATTGGTGAATGTCTAAGTTCAATTGGCTCCACAATATTTGCGATGTTGTGCAAAAAAAAAAAACATCAAACAAACAGGCTGATGAGCAACCTGATAACTACAGGGCACCTGCATCTTCAATGCAGGCCGTCATAATTTTGATCTAGTAAAATCCATGTGACACCAGTATTAATCCAGACTTCTCTTATTTTTGATACCAGACATGGAAGAGATAACAAAGTCAATGAAGCATGAAATATAGAGTACATTCAGAATCCTTAAGAAAAGGTCTGTATAGCAGTCCTTGCTACATAATAGTATGACATCGCAGTGCTGATCATATCCAGGTATAAAACAGATAGTCTTTCGTCACTGGTTAGGGTGACACAGTGGTTTTGACTTACAGGTTACTGTTACATGTTTGCGGTTACTGAAGGCTGAAAACAATAGACCAGACAAATGGACATACCTCATAACCTGCACAAAACTGACTAAGGAGGGCATAATATGTCCATTGGTTACCCACCAATGGCTGACAGATATACCTACATGTTTGGTGCAATCTGGACATGGTATCTCGTAGTCATAGGTCACGCCATGGAACGACTCATTGATCAAACCTTCAAACACTTCATGAATGAAGAAAAGGATGTTATTTGGGTTAGGTCCTTGTACTTTGACACTAAGCTCCGTGTCCCTAAAAATACAGATTAAAATGAAATATTTTTTGTCCACAACAAACATTTCGACACCTTTGGTCTGACTTGTAAGAGTCCTAGCTCCAGACATGACTTCTCTCTTTCCTAGTTTAGCACACTGTTTTACTAACTTTTGTGGTGGCAGCAGTTTATCACAGCAGTATTACCTTGCTTATACTTGTTGTATTTATCATCGTACATGGAAGATAGTATCCCTAAGACTTCTATCTTTATCATTATACAGGAATAACTATCCACTATGATTACTGTAGTTACTTCTCACACCTGAGATGTAGCAGCTGGAACAACCACAGGTATTTCAATTGATACTTGTTTTATATACTGTAAGTCAGATTTTCACTCTCAGTAAATAAATTCTAACAACAGCTCCTGTAAACCTTTCTTACTCATTCATTTTGTTGTATCTATGGTAACTTGCCATTTTACACTGACCAGTGCCAAAGTGACCAATGAAACTACTCACTCGTCCTGTTGTATCAACGCTAACTGGCCATTTTTCTCTATGTAAGATCCTCTCTTCCAGATCAGCGAATCTTCTGAATACCCATGTAGTCTCACCTAAATTTGAATTTTGAAAGAAATATTAATGTTTAGCTTTTTAAGTGTCTGAAACTTTAGCAAATATATAAAAAAAAACCCAACAATAAAACAAAAAACCTAATATATCACAATATAGAAAGATGTTTATATTTAACTATGCTTACAAACGGTCAATACTACAAAACATTACGATGCAAATTATGACTTCAAAGATCTTTGCACCTGTAATATCATGCCTTTAAGGTGTTCTACAATACAGAAACCATCTAGTCATGTATCAAGACTGTTACCCACAGGTTAAATATCATATCTATTATGTATAACTTTTATCTTCAGGTTAATTAAAAACCTTCTCATGTGTAACTAGGACTTTTATCTACAGGTTAACTAACAACCTTATCATGTATAACTAGGACTTTTATCTACAGGTTAACTAACAACCTTATCATGTATAACTAGGACTTTTATCTACAGGTTAACTAACAGCCTTATCATGTATAACTAGGACTTTTATCTACAGGTTAACTAACAACCTTATCATGTATAACTAGGACTTTTATCTACAGGTTAACTAACAACCTTATCATGTATAACTGGGACTTTTATCTACAGGTTAACTAACAACCTTATCATGTATAACTAGGACTTTTATCTACAGGTTAACTAACAACCTTAACATAATATAATAATATTATTATAATAATGAGGACAGTTATACATCTGAACTAGGTTCTTTATAATTGTTTCGGTGATAAAGGAGCAGAATTTAATATCAAAGTCATAATTGATTTAACCTACATTTACATACTGAGAGTTATCAGGACTTACTTGTCCTGAAATTATCATTTAAATCAACCAGAGCTTACCTGTCCTGCATTCAACATTTAGATATATCAGGACTTACCTTTCTCGAAATAAACATTTAGATATATATTGACTTTCCTGTCTTGAAATCAACATTTAAATATATACTGACTTACTCGTCCTCAAATCAACATTTAGATATATCAAGACTTACCTGTCCTGATATCAACATTTAGATATATCAAGACTTACCTGTCCTCAAATCAACATTTAGAAATATCAAGACTTACCTGTCCTGATATCAACATTTAGATATATCAAGACTTACCTGTCCTGATATCAACATTTAGATATATCAAGACTTACCTGTCCTGATATCAACATTTAGATATATCAAGACTTACCTGTCCTGATATCAACATTTAGATATATCAAGACTTACCTGTCCTGATATCAACATTTAGATATATCAAGACTTACCTGTCCTCAAATCAACATTAAGAAATATCAAGACTTACCTGTCCTCAAATCAACATTTAGATATATCAAGACTTACCTGTCCTCAAATCAACATTTAGATATATCAAGACTTACCTGTCCTGATATCAACATTTAGATATATCAAGACTTACCTGTCCTGATATCAACATTTAGATATATCAAGACTTACCTGTCCTCAAATCAACATTTAGAAATATCAAGACTTACCTGTCCTCAAATCAACATTTAGATATATCAAGACTTACCTGTCCTGATATCAACATTTAGATATATCAAGACTTACCTGTCCTGATATCAACATTTAGATATATCAAGACTTACCTGTCCTGATATCAACATTTAGATATATCAAGACTTACCTGTCCCCTATTAAATAAGCCTGCTGGCAGGTAATCAAACTTGTACACCATCTTCATCTCATATATTCCTTCATCTTTATTGATGTCAGGCCACTCAAACTGAAGTTAATCATTGTATGGAAAGCAATCAATGTGAAATATTTATTTCACTAAGATGAAGAGAGTCAGACTGTAATGATGTGTGTAAGAGAGGTATGTCATGATTAGCTTGATTAGTACAGTCCTATTCATTACCTTTCCTATAAAGCATAATGGAAAGTAAAGGTACAAGACATCGAGTGACATGAAATTTTCCCCAAAATTATCAAAACTTGGAACTCCAAAAGTCTTTACATGTATCAATAAAACTTGTGGATCAGATAAAACATGTGCCTGTTAAAATGACAATGGGATTAGTGACACTGCCACTTACATTTGGTCGTTTCTCTGGCAGAAGACATGGTACAATGTTACAATTCTCCCCTTCCAGTGGAAATGTGAGGTCAAACTCTTCAGTGAGCTTAAGTAACCAGTTAGCCATTTGGTGGTACTCCGACCATATAGTGTCAATATCCGAGTGCATCAAGCGCCCATCCTGTAATGGTAGAGGTAATCACAGGTCAAAAGTAGCATGCAAATTAATAACTGCTCTGAGTAATGAAACAGGACCCCTGGTAATACCACTAGACAGTACAACAAGCCACTGGGTAACACAGCCACTAGACTGTACAACAAGCCACTGGGTAACACAGCCACTAGACTGTACAACAAGCCACTGGGTAACACAACCACTAGACTGTACATCAAGCCACTGGGTAACACAGCCACTGGGTAACACAACCACTAGACAGTACAACAAGCCACTGGGTAACACAACCACTAGACTGTACATCAAGCCACTGGGTAACACAGCCACTAGACTGTACAACAAGCCATTGGGTAACACAACCACTAGACTGTACATCAAGCCACTGGGTAACACAGCCACTAGACAGTACATCAAGCCACTGAGTAACACAGCCACTAGACTGCACATCAAGCCGCTGGGTAACACAACCACTAGACTGTACATCAAGCCACTGGGTAACACAACCACTAGACTGTAAAACAAGCCACTGGGTAACACAGCCACTAGACTGCACAACAAGCCATTGGGTAACACAACCACTAGACAGTACAACAAGCCACTGGGTAACACAGCCACTAGACTGCACATCAAGCTACTGGGTAACACAGCCACTAGACTGTACAACAAGCCACTGGGTAACACAGCCACTAGACTGCACAACAAGCCATTGGGTAACACAACCACTAGACAGTACAACAAGCCACTGGGTAACACAGCCACTAGACTGCACATCAAGCTACTGGGTAACACAGCCACTAGACTGTACAACAAGCCATTGGGTAACACAACCACTAGACAGTACAACAAGCCACTGGGTAACACAACCACTAGACTGTACATCAAGCCACTGGGTAACACAGCCACTAGACAGTACAACAAGCCACTGGGTAACACAACCACTAGACTGTACAACAAGCCACTGGGTAACACAGCCACTAGACAGTACATCAAGCCACTGAGTAACACAGCCACTAGACTGCACATCAAGCCGCTGGGTAACACAACCACTAGACTGTACATCAAGCCACTGTGTAACACAACCACTAGACTGTAAAACAAGCCACTGGGTAACACAGCTACTAGAATGCACAACAAGCCATTGGGTAACACAACCACTAGACAGTACAACAGGGCACTGGGTAACACAGCCACTAGACTGCACATCAAGCTACTGGGTAAGACAGCCACTAGACTGTACAACAAGCCACTGGGTAACACAGCCACTAGACTGCACAACAAGCCATTGGGTAACACAACCACTAGACAGTACAAGAAGCCACTGGGTAACACAGCCACTAGAATGCACATCAAGCTACTGGGTAACACAGCCACTAGACTGTACAACAAGCCACTGGGTAACACAACCACTAGACTGTACAACAAGCCACTGGGTAACACAACCACTAGACTGTACATCAAGCCACTGGGTAACACAGCCACTAGACAGTACAACAAGCCACTGGGTAACACAACCACTAGACTGTACAACAAGCCACTGGGTAACACAGCCACTAGACAGTACATCAAGCCACTGAGTAACACAGCCACTAGACTGCACATCAAGCCGCTGGGTAACACAACCACTAGACTGTACATCAAGCCACTGGGTAACACAACCACTAGACTGTAAAACAAGCCACTGGGTAACACAGCCACTAGAATGCACAACAAGCCATTGGGTAACACAACCACTAGACAGTACAACAGGGCACTGGGTAACACAGCCACTAGACTGTACAACAAGCCACTGGGTAACACAGCCACTAGACTGCACAACAAGCCATTGGGTAACACAACCACTAGACAGTACAACAAGCCACTGGGTAACACAGCCACTAGACTGCACATCAAGCTACTGGGTAACACAGCCACTAGACTGTACAACAAGCCATTGGGTAACACAACCACTAGACAGTACAACAAGCCACTGGGTAACACAACCACTAGACTGTACATCAAGCCACTGGGTAACACAGCCACTAGACAGTACAACAAGCCATTGGGTAACACAACCACTAGACTGTACAACAAGCCACTGGGTAACACAGCCACTAGACAGTACATCAAGCCACTGAGTAACACAGCCACTAGACTGCACATCAAGCCGCTGGGTAACACAACCACTAGACTGTACATCAAGCCACTGGGTAACACAACCACTAGACAGTACAACAAGCCACTGGGTAACACAGCCACTAGAATGCACAACAAGCCATTGGGTAACACAACCACTAGACAGTACAACAGGGCACTGGGTAACACAGCCACTAGACTGTACATCAAGCTACTGGGTAACACAACCACTAGACTGTACATCAAGCCACTGGGTAACACAACCACTAGACTGCACAACAAGCCATTGGGTAACACAACCACTAGACAGTACATCAAGCCACTGGGTAACACAGCCACTAGACAGTACAACAAGCCACTGGGCTAGACAGTACAACAAGCCACTGGGTAACACAACCACTAGACTGTACAACAAGCCACTCGGTATCACAACCACTAAAGTGTACATCAAGCCACTGGGTAACACAACCACTAGACAGTACATCAAGCCACTGGGTAAAGCAGCCACTAGACTGTACATCAAGCCACTGGGTAACACAGCCACTAGACTGTACAACAAGCCACTGGGTAACACAATCACTAGACAGTACAACAAGCCATTGGGTAACACAACCACTAGACTGTACAACAAGCCACTGGGTAACACAATCACTAGACAGTACATCAAGCCGCTGGGTAACACAACCACTAGACTGTACATCAAGCCATTGGGTAACACAACCACTAGACTGTACATCAAGCCACTGGGTAACACAACCACTAGACTGTACAACAAGCCACTGGGTAACACAACCACTAGACTGTACAACAAGCCACTGGGTAACACAACCACTAGACAGTACAAGAAGCCACTGGGTAACACAGCCACTAGACTGCACATCAAGCTACTGGGTAACACAACCACTAGACTGTACATCAAGCCACTGGGTAACACAACCACTAGACAGTACATCAAGCCATTGGGTAACACAACCACTAGACTGCACATCAAGCCACTGGGTAATACAACCACTAGACAGTACATCAAGCCAATGGGTAACACAATCACTAGACTGCACAACAAGCCATTGGGTAACACAACCACTAGACAGTACATCAAGCCACTGGGTAACACAACTACCAGACTGTTGGACAGGCCACTTAGTAACACAACCAACCAACAACGTATTTACACAACAGCTAGACTGTACAACAGGCAATTTAGTAACACAAACAGTAGGCTAAACAACATGCCAATTAGTAACACAATCACTAGAATGTACATCAAGCCACTTAGTAATACAACCACTAAAGTGTACAACAAGCCACTAACTAGCACAATCACTATAATAGCACAACCACAGGACTGTACAATAGGGTCCGTAGTAACGCAACTACTAGATTGTAAAATGCTACTTAGATGCAATATATTTAGATGGTAAACTGGTCACTTAGTTTCAGGAAAAGGGTCACACACATACTTTGATGTTGATGGAACATTCACATAGACTTTTAGTAAATAAAACTTACCTGAAGGTTTATAAAACATAATAAACATACACATGAATGTTAAGTAAATAAACACAAATCTTCAGGTTAAGTTAAAAGAGATATACCTTGATCACTTCCTGTTTGACAGACACCACACAGGCCATAACATTGACAATCCATTGTGGGTTGATCACAACACGGCTACGGAGAAACTCACTGGGGAAGTACTGCACTGATCCAAGGTCATGTAAAAACTGGATTGCTTGGGACACCTAGAGTGAAATCAAAGACTTTAATACTCTCATAACTGATACAGCCTCAGGACCAGAATTTAGCTCTGACTTATACATCTTATAATTTTGAATGCTGACAATTAGTGATGGTGTTTGTTTTTATACTAGCTGTGATGGAGAGGTATAGCTTCTTAATGCATAACCTCTCACTTCACCTAGACAATCTTACACAAACAACATTTCAAGGGAGGTAACCTCCAACTTCACATCTGTAACTGTACTCTTCAACACTTTGAGGGAGGTATTCTCTAACTTTAACTTTGAAATCTCATATTTCAAATGAGGCTGCCTCCAATTTTGCTTTTGTAATCCACATTCAAGGGAGGTAGACTCCAACTTAATCTTGATTCATAATAAAATGGTTTCGAGTCAATTTGAACTTTCGAGTCTGATTAAAAAACAAACACATTTTGGAATAATAATGTCTTCACAACATATTCACTTTAATCAAGCGTTCCTGATCTGACAAAGATTTGTTTTGTTTGCGGTCACCTACCTGACATTATAAGTCTTGAGTAGGCTTCCATTTCTCACATTACATGCCTCTCTGAACTTCCAATGAGGCCATAAATTGTGACTGATTAAGTTTGTGGATTTTTTCATGAGCGCTGTAAAGTGTGATCTTTCTTACCTCTGATGGCTCAACAATGCCTGCATCAGCAGCAATCTTCTCAACATTTGTATAATCCAGCACAGGAATTTTTTTTTTCCCTCTGTAAATATATTACTAAATATCGTCAGACTTGATTAAAACTGTGTGATTCAGTGATATATATTAAAGAGCCAATGATACACGAGTGTAAGATGGCCATATCTAGATCTACATGTAACTAAGAATCAGATGTGGCCAATATATAAGTACTAAGTTGTTGCCTTGTGAGGACGCAGATATCATACATTCTGCACTAAACCATATAAATGTTTTAAGAATTTGATTCTGCAGATAGCCCACTCTGGTGTAATACCTGTGGGTAATCTACTTCTAATCATATATAATTGTCTTACGAGTTCAAGTATTCATCACACTACCTATAGAATTCCTCAATGCATTGTTTACAATCCGGTTAACAGGTTTCCCAGGTTCTCTTACTTTTACATGTAAACAGTGTTAATAAACATGAGGTGGATGATCATGACAGTGATGATGGCATGCCTATAGCACAGATTGCTAGACTGGATAGGGAACAGCTAGGACTGTACAATAGTGACTTGGACAGCTAGGACTGTACAATAGTGACTAGGACAGCTAGGACTGTACAATATTGACTTGGACAACTAGGACTATACAATAGTGACTAGGACAGCTAGGACTGTACAATAGTGACTAGGACAGCTAGGACTGTACAATAGTGACTTGGACAGCTAGGACTGTACAATAGTGACTTGGACAGCTAGGACTGTACAATAGTGACTTGGACAGCTAGGACTGTACAATAGTGACTTGGGCAGCTAGGACTGTACAATAGTGACATGGACAGCTAGGACTGTACAATAGTGACTTGGACAGCTAGGACTGTACAATAGTGACTTGGACACCTAGGACTGTACAATAGTGACATGGACAGCTAGGACTGTACAATAGTGACATGGACAGCTAGGACTGTACAATGGTGACTTGGGCAGCTAGGACTGTACAATAGTGACTTGGACAGCTAGGACTGTACAATAGTGACATGGACAGCCAGGACTGTACAATAGTGACTTGGACAGCTAGGACTGTACAGTAGTGACTTGGACAGCTAGGACTGTACAGTAGTGACTTGGACAGCTAGGACTGTACAATAGTGACTACCAGCACTAGCACTTAAAACACTTACACTGCACAAGCCAAAACAAACACACCAGACCAGCACTTAAAACACTTACACAGCACAAGCCAAAACAAACACACCAGACAAGCACTTAAAACACTTACACTGCACAAGCCAAAACAAATACCAGCACCAGCACTTAAAACTAATACACAGCACAAGCCAAAACAAACACACCAGACCAGCACTTAAAACACTTACACAGCACAGCATGGCCCTTGAAACTGAAAAGTGACATTGTCTGATGTGACATTAAGTGGTTAACACTCTCCAACAGAGTGAGAATGTGTTAAAGCTATAGAAATATTCATGAGATAGTTTGTACAAAAGCTTCATATTTCTGAATGTTCAAGTTCATCTTTTGACCTTTAACCTTGACTAGTACAAACTGACAACCACAACAATGAATAAATTGAATCACTATTGTACAAAATGGTTTCTATATACCATACAGCACCTCTCTTGTTAAGTGGGGTATAACTACAGTTAGAAGAGTCAAACATGAGGCATGCAGGAGGTCACACACAAGGGACAGAGACTTACTAGGGTCACGAACCGTAGACAGAAACTTACTGGGGTCACACTCCAGGGACACAGATTTACTGGGGTCACGCACCGCAGACAGAGACTTACTGGGGTCACACTCAGGGGACACAGACTTAATGGGGTCACACTCCGGGGACACAGACTGACTAGGGTCACACACACGGGAGAGAGACTTTCTGGGGTCGTACAAAGGGGTTTAGACATGCTGGGGTCATACACAGGAGTGTACACATACTGGGGTCATACACAGGGGTGTAGACATACTGGTGTCATACACAGGAGTGTAAACAGACTAGGGTCACACACCGGAGTTTAAACATATTGGGGTCATCCACAGGGGTGTAGACATACTGGGTTCATACACAAGGGTATAAACAGACTGGGGTCGTACACAGGAGTTTAAACATATTGGGGTCATCCACAGGGGTGTAGACATACTGGGTTCATACACAAGGTTGTTAACAGACTGGGGTGTTACACAAGAGTGTGAACATACTGGGGTCACAACCAGGAGACAGAGACTTACTGAAGTCACACACAGTGGTGTAGAAATACTGGGTTCATACATAGGGGTGTAGTCATACATGTCCTGAGGTCACACAAGGGACCCTATTTGGGTCCGACAAAGTGATTTAGATATAATGGGCTCACACACAGAAGCGTTTACCTGGCTTACTCATAATTGAAGTACACTTACTGTGATATAAGGGATTCAAAATGGAGCCAAGCCTGAGGTATCTTTTCTCCCATGTATTCCTGTTGTAATGTTATTCTGAATAACTTCTCCTTCAGATTTTGGATGCCCTGAAAATCATTGTAATAGAATTGTTATAAATTACATATTAATTCAAACAAAAGTGAGTTCAACAGTCTCTGAAGTTTTTGTAGGGTCACAGAGTTTCTGTACTATCTGTAGGGTCACAGTGTCTCTGTACTATCATAGGGTCACAGTGTCTCTGTACTATCATAGGGTCACAGTGTCTCTGTACTATCTGTAGGGTCAGAGTGTCTCTGTACTATCTGTAGGGTCACAGTGTCTCTGTACTATCTGTAGGATCATAGTGTCTCTGTACTATCTGTAGGATCATAGTGTCTCTGTACTATCTGTAGGATCACAGTGTCTCTGTACTATCTGTAGGGTCAAAGTGTCTCTGTACTATCTGTAGGGTCACAGTGTCTCTGTACTATCTGTAGGGTCACAGTGTCTCTGTACTATCTGTTGGGTCAAAGTGTCTCTGTACTATGTGTAGGTCACAGTGTTTCTGTACTATCTGTAGGGTCACAGTGTCTCTGTACTATCTGTAGGGTCATAGTGTCTCTGTACTACCTGTAGGATCACAGTGTCTCTGTACTATCTGTAGGGTCACAGTGTCTCTGTACTATCTGTTGGGTCAAAGTGTCTCTGTACTATGTGTAGGTCACAGTGTCTCTGTACTATCTGTAGGGTCACAGTGTCTCTGTACTATCTGTAGGGTCATAGTGTCTCTGTACTACCTGTAGGATCACAGTGTCTCTGTACTATCTGTAGGGTCATAGTGTCTCTGTACTACCTGTAGTGTCACAGTGTCTCTGTACTATCTGTAGGATCAAGGTGTCATTGTAGTATCTGTAGGATCACAGTGTCTCTGTACTATCTGAAGTGTCACAGTGTCTCTGTAATATCTGTATGGTTCAAGTGTCTCTGTACTATCTATGGGTCCAAGTGTCTCTGTACTTTCTGTAGGATCAAGGTGTCATTGTAGTATCTGTAGGATCACAGTGTCTCTGTACTATCTGTAGGATTACAGTGTCTCTGTACTATCTGTAGGGTCAAAGTGTCTCTGTACTATGTGTAGGTCACAGTGTTTCTGTACTATCTGTAGGGTCACAGTGTCTCTGTACTATCTGTAGGGTCACAGTGTCTCTGTACTATCTGTAGGATTACAGTGTCTCTGTACTATCTGTAGGATCATAGTGTCTCTGTACTATCTGTAGGATCACAGTGTCTCTGTACTATCTGTAGGATCACAGTGTCTCTGTACTATCTGTAGGGTCACAGTGTTTCTGTACTATCTGTAGGGTCACAGTGTCTCTGTACTATCTGTTGGGTCAAAGTGTCTCTGTACTATCTGTAGTGTCACAGTGTCTCTGTACTATCTGTAGGGTCACAGTGTCTCTGTACTATCTGTAGGATAATAGTGCCTAGGTTCTATCAACAGAGTACTCACATCACCAGTCTTGGAGCTGACAAATTGAAAGCCAACAATCTGGTGGTATTTGTGTTGCATATCCTCAACTGGCAAGTCCATCTTAGTCATCTACAATCAAAACAGAACATAAATGTAACCATAATTAGCCATAAAACAGTGGCCTTACATCATAGATATCTACTATCAACAGTACATGAATGTAACGATGCCTTACATCACAGATATCTACTATCACCAGTACATGAATGTAACGATGCCTTACATCATAGACATCTACTATCAACAGTACATGAATGTAACGATGCCTTACATCATAGATATCTACTATCACCAGTACATGAATGTAACGATGCCTTACATCATAGACATCTACTATCACCAGTACATGAATGTAACGATGCCTTACATCATAGACATCTACTATCAACAGTACATGAATGTAACGATGCCTTACATCACAGATATCTACTATCACCAGTACATGACTGTAACGATGCCTTACATCATAGACATCTACTATCACCAGTACATGAATGTAACGATGCCTTACATCACAGATATCTACTATCACCAGTACATGAATGTAACGATGCCTTACATCACAGATATCTACTATCACCAGTACATGAATGTAACGATGCCTTACATCACAGATATCTACTATCACCAGTACATGAATGTAACGATGCCTTACATCATAGACATCTACTATCAACAGTACATGAATGTAACGATGCTCACAGATATCTACTATCACCAGTACATGAATGTAACGATGCCTTACATCATAGACATCTACTATCACCAGTACATGAATGTAACGATGCCTTACATCATAGACATCTACTATCAACAGTACATGAATGTAACGATGCCTTACATCACAGATATCTACTATCACCAGTACATGAATGTAACGATGCCTTACATCATAGACATCTACTATCAACAGTACATGAATGTAACGATGCCTTACATCACAGATATCTACTATCACCAGTACATGAATGTAACGATGCCTTACATCACAGATATCTACTATCACCAGTACATGAATGTAACGATGCCTTACATCATAGACATCTACTATCAACAGTACATGAATGTCACGATGCCTTACATCACAGATATCTACTATCAACAGTACATGAATGTAACGATGCCTTACATCATAGACATCTACTATCAACAGTACATGAATGTAACGATGCCTTACATCACAGATATCTACTATCACCAGTACATGAATGTAACGATGCCTTACATCATAGACATCTACTATCAACAGTACATGAATGTAACGATGCCTTACATCATAGACATCTACTATCAACAGTACATGAATGTAACGATGCCTTACATCATAGACATCTACTATCAACAGTACATGAATGTAACGATGCCTTACATCATAGACATCTACTATCAACAGTACATGAATGTAACGATGCCTTACATCATAGACATCTACTATCAACAGTACATGAATGTAACGATGCCTTACATCATAGACATCTACTATCACCAGTACATGAATGTAACGATGCCTTACATCATAGACATCTACTATCACCAGTACATGAATGTAACGATGCCTTACATCATAGACATCTACTATCAACAGTACATGAATGTAACGATGCCTTACATCACAGATATCTACTATCACCAGTACATGAATGTAACGATGCCTTACATCATAGACATCTACTATCAACAGTACATGAATGTAACGATCTACCTTACATCATAGACATCTACTATCAACAGTACATGAATGTAACGATGCCTTACATCATAGACATCTACTATCAACAGTACATGAATGTAACGATGCCTTACATCATAGACATCTACTATCAACAGTACATGAATGTCACGATGCCTTACATCATAGACATCTACTATCAACAGTACATGAATGTAACGATGCCTTACATCATAGACATCTACTATCAACTGTACATGAATGTAACAATATCTAGCCATAAAACAGTGGCCTTACATCATAGACATCTACTATCAAATTAATCATAGTGAACTAAGACATAAAAATAGTGTCATTATGATCATATCTTCATATTTATACATTTATTTGACTCTATATACCTATCAAGATAATCAATGGTTATTTTTCAATTAACCTCCCATTTGGCATAGGAATATAATATTATGTGTTTTACTAAAAGCTTGGATTATCTCCCCTTGCAAAGAACTATTTGTATGAAGTGAGGCTGGATTTCTGTAAATTTCCATGTTTAATAATTGCTCCTTCCATTTCTAAAACACAAAAGGGAAGAGGAGTGAGCTTCACATGGTCAGTGGCTAAGTCTCACCTGGTCACTGTGTGTGCCCACTACAAAGATAGGCGCTTTAGGGGCATGCACTGAGATAGAGTTAAGCCAGAACTTTAGACCAGCATGCTCATGTCCAAGTCTTGTGTTCCACAGCAATAGATAGACTGCACGATCAGACAGGAAAAACTGCAACATAATAAACAAGAAAGCCATGAGTTTTGACAGTCATCTGACTAGGAAAGACATGAATGACACAACAGCAGCAGTTAAAACAATTAAAACTATTCTGAATATTTCAGCAGGAAAGGTAACAAAAAAAACAACAGTACAATTAATTTTCTCCACATCCATTAAATGTTTAACTCAATGGCACCAGGAAATCTGAAGAAGAGGTTTAAAATGTTTTTCAAGATGGTTACCATGGTAGCTATAATGGAGTTTGGACTGACCTGAAAAATAAATCATTTGATAAAGGAGTTTAAGATCAAATCACGCTGATATTTGTTGAGGCATTTGAGAGGAGAAGAATTATTCTAAAGCCTAATTTCCTAATTTCCCACACACACCTTGCTCTTTAACATCTTGGAGTCAAAATACCTTACATTATATAAATCAGAATGGTGTTTCATGCATATTTTGTTTGAAATCTGTGTAGGTATGTGAGAGAATATTAAAGCAAAAATTCCTAAATTCATTTTTCATTTATTTATTGATTGATTTTGCCCTTGGCACCTAAGTGTCCCACTACCTTTAGTTATCAATATCATGACTGCACTCCCAAGGTTGAAAGTTGTCTAGGTATGTGAGAATGGAAGAATTATAAAGAATAATTTTCTAATTTCCAATAACAAGCCTCTCCTCTTGGCCTCTTGGGGTCACAATACCTACATTTTCAAATTATGATTGCCCTCCCCTATGATTTTTCAGGTAAATTATCAACATTTTTTTATCAATTTGTCTTGGTAAAATAAATCAAAGTAAAAGATTTTAAACTTGACCTTGACCTCTGACCTGAGAGCAGTGACATGAAATCAAGTAAAATATTTATGAAGATATAGATCTGGCAAATTTCTGATTATGCTAACTGCAAAACTCAGGTGAAGGTCACTGTAATAAAAGAGTGTATGCTAAGTTATATCATTAACATCTTTTTTCGTGATATTCTCCTATCATGACCTTGCCATCCATTACCTAAGTGTTGTATTATAATTACTTTTTCAGAACTTCCCCTATCTAGACCCTGTTCATGACATCCTCTACTTGAGTCTTTTATTACACTTACCTTTTGAGAGGACCCCTTACTAGTCCCTGACATCTAATATCTTAGTGCTTTACCACCTTTTGAGATAATGCCTTTACCTGACTATAACCTCCATTACCTGGTGAGTATTATAGTAGACAGTCTGGCCAGCGAAGTCCCACACACTGTATGATATCTTGTCTCCTTCATAATCTACGTCCCATGTACAAATGTCGATACCTGATCAGAAACAATCGATATAAACTTAGTGTTTGCTAACTTATTGTATATGTATGTATAACTATCAAAATAACCATATCAGGCAGTGAAAGCAAATAAAACTAGGAGTCAGACCATGTTGTTGTCTCACAGATGATATCCATTGTTCTGTCAATGTGTGAAATTATTAAAACTGAAACAAATTGTTGCCCTGGTACCCAAATATTTGCATAGAAAATGCATATATATATCTCTACTGAAGGACTGCTTTCAGTTTTCAGACCCTTAAAAAATGAAGATAACATATATTGGAAGGGAGATAACTCTGTTAAATCTCCTATTTTCATTCCCAAACTGTAACATTCTGGAGAGAATCTCCTGAATAGATTAAGAATCAATTTCTGAACAGCTAAATGGTGGTAGGGGATTTAGAGATGATATAGGTTACCTCTGACAAACAAACATTGCCTGATTCTTAAACTGTCCTTCAGGTTTCAATATTCAAACCTCAATTATGTAATGCTCAGAGATTAAATGAAATACAATTCTGCAGCTCTTGATAGCAAGAGCAAACATTTTATAGCAATAAAATAGTAGTCCTAATAACACAACCTGCAGAAGATTAGAGTGTGATGTTTTGATGACTTCTTGGTCACCTTCATCAAACAAATGATCAGAGCATACCAGCACTAATGTAAGTGGTGTACAAGTACTTTTTCAGTTGTACTAAAATCCTTTATACACTAAGGTAAAAAATAGTGTGAAGATCAAAGAAAATACACAAGTTGATAATGTAATGTAGTCAAATCAGCTACACTTTGTTTAACACTTGGTCACAGACAAGCTAGAGTCTGTGGCCCCTCTTGTCCCTTTTTAGCACTAGCCTGCTGCTGCGTATCTAGAAGGGATGTTTTCCATGTCCACTATTTTGGTATTTTCACCGTAAATGATGAGACTTTGCTGTGTTGAATGATCTGTAAGTGCTGATCTATTGATCTGGGACTGTGAATTTTCATTCTGATCTATTGAACTTTTTGCTTTACCGGTGTTCACCAAGTCAGACCCCAAATGTCCTGCCTGTTTCTCTGATATATGATGAGTCACAATTCTTGTTTTGAATATTATATAGCTTGTCTTAACTGATTATCAATATTCGACACTGGGATAGACAGATGAGTAATGAAATATCACACTTACCGTCTGTTATGGCGTCTGCTCCAGTTAAATGTGATTCCTGGTCAGTTGATATCAATGTTCTCATCAAACTGTAATTGCCATACAATGTATTTTAAATGCATCTGTCATAGAGATAAAATACACAATTCTAGTACAAATAAGTGACAAGATCCCAATAAAACAGGTGATAAGTGGCTGAGCCCCACTGAAGGAGTAGAATTTCAACATCATTTCTTACTAGTCTCGTCTGCCTATTTGCTCTCTTAAGTACAAGAGGTTATAACCTTCTCAATACCTTCACTAGGAATATGAAAGCCTTCAGTTTACTGGTCAACTACTCAAGTTAATCAAGTAGATATTCTAATCCACCAAGGAAGTGGTTAGGATTCTGATAGTATAACATTAGTACAGGTCAGAGTTCAAATCACTTCTTCTCTTGCCTTTCATCATACAGCTCTGTCATTGCTATGTAGAATTGATCCTTATCAACCCTGCCGTAAATTAATTCCTACTGAAATCTATTTGTAAGCATGAGAAACAATAAGATTTTAGGTAAATCACCTAAATATTCTAACAATGCCTACTGACTTTCTAGAGAAGTAGCTTTTACTGGTATATTTAGTCACATCATCTACGCTGCAGACACATGTGAATCAAGTAACTTAAGCATGAGTTCTTTAAGTCATAATTACTCAAACTCCTTTCAATGAATACATTTCTCAAAACTTCCATCGGCAACCAGACCCTACCTTGTTTTACCAGCACCTCCTAACCCCACCAACATAAGCTTTGTTCTTTTACAGTCCACCGAGCCTGTCTGTAACCGTTTCAGATAAGCTAAGGTGGCCTTGAAGCCTCTGTCTCGGATCTCTTTGGGAGGTGTTTTCAGCAATGGACATTCTTCCAAGGCCAATCCTTCAAGTACATAAATATAAACTTAAAGATTAAGGGAATAATATAACTGAAAATATGCCATCTAGTCAGAGGACAGCAGACAAATGAATAGATGCTAGATATTTCTTCACTGTGTCACCTAGTTAGAGACACCATACAAGTAAATGGGTGCTAGATATTTCTTCACTGTGTCACCTAGTTAGAGACACCATACAAGTAAATGGACACTAGATATTTCTTCACTGTGTCAGCTAGTTAGAGACACCATACAATCTAATGAACACCAGATATTTCTTCACTGTGTCAGCTAGTTAGAGACACCATACAATTTAATGAGCACCAGATATTTCTTCACTGTGTCAGCTAGTTAGAGACACCATACAATTTAATGAGCACCAGATATTTCTTCACTGTGTCACCTAGTTAGAGACACCATGCAAGTAAATGGGTGCTAGATATTTCTTCACTGTGTCACCTAGTTACAAGTAACACCATGTGTCACAAGTAAATGGGTGCTAGATATTTCTTCACTGTGTCACCTAGTTAGAGACACCATACAAGTAAATGGGTGCTAGATATTTCTTCACTGTGTCACCTAGTTAGAGACACCATACAAGTAAATGGGTGCTAGATATTTCTTCACTGTGTCACCTAGTTAGAGACACCATACAAGTAAATGGGTGCTTTCTTCACTGTGTATTTCTTCACTGTGTCACTAGATATTTCTTCACTGTGTCAGCTAGTTAGAGACACCATACAAGTAAATGGGTGCTAGATATTTCTTCACTGAGTCAGCTAGTTAGAGACACCATACAAGTGAATGGATGCTAACAGGGATGTTTCTTCACTGTAGTCAGTTAAGACACCATACAGTTAGCTAGGTCCATTCAATGAATGGATTATTTCTTCACACCATACAAGTAAATGGATCAAGATATTTCTTCAGGGAAGCTAGTTAGATCTACATCACATAAATATGTTATCCCCTATGGACATAGGTATTTCTACACTGTGTTTCTTCAGGAAACACAGGGAGAGTTATCATTAAAACACAAAACAATAATGTTAACATCATCTACAACATATAACAGGGATGTTATCATCTACATATAACAGGGATGTTATCATCTACAACAGATGGGTGTTATGTTATCATCTACAACACAAAACAAGTGTTAATCTACAACATATAAAAGGGATGTTATCACTACATCACATCAGGGATGTTATCATCTACAACAGATAACAGGGGTGTTATCATCTACACACAAAACAATGTTATCATCTACAACATATAAAAGGGATGTTATCATCTACAACAGATAACAGGGATGTTATCATCTACAACACATAACAGGGATGTTATCATCTACAACATATAACAGGGATGTTATCATCTACATCACATAACAGGGATGTTATCATCTACAACAGATAACAGGGATGTTATCATCTACAACACATCTAAACAGGGATGTTATCATCTACAACACAAAACAATGTTATCATCTACAACACAACATATAACAGGGATGTTATCATCTACATCACATAACAGGGATGTTATCATCTACAACACATAACAGGGATGTTATCATCTACAACACAAAACAATAATGTTATCATCTACAACATATAAAAGGGATGTTATCATCTACATCACATAACAGGGATGTTATCATCTACATCACATAACAGGGATGTTATCATCTACATCACATAACAGGGATGTTATCATCTACAACACAAAACAATAATGTTATCATCTACAACATATAACAGGGATGTTATCATCTACATCACATAACAGGGATGTTATCATCTACAACACAAAACAGGGATGTTACCATCTACAACACAAAACAGGGATGTTATCATCCACAACATCTCATCTACAACATATAACAGGGATGTTATCATCTACATCACATAACAGGGATGTTATCATCTACAACAGATAACAGGGGTGTTATCACCTACAACACATAACAAGGATGTTATCATCTACAACACAAAACAGGGATGTTATCATCTACATCACATAACAGGGATGTTATCATCTACAACAGATAACAGGGATGTTATCATCTACAACACATAACAGGGATGTTATCATCTACAACACAAAACAGGGATGTTATCATCTACAACATATAACAGGGATGTTATCATCTACAACACATAACAGGGATGTTATCATCTACATCACATAACAGGGATGTTATCATCTACAACACATAACAGGGATGTTATCATCTACAACACAAAACAGGGATGTTATCATCTACAACATATAACAGGGATGTTATCACCTACAACATATAACAGGGGTGTTATCACCTACAACACATAACAGGGATGTTATCATCTACAACACAAAACAGGGATGTTATCATCTACAACAGATAACAGGGGTGTTATCACCTACAACACATAACAAGGATGTTATCATCTACAACACAAAACAATAATGTTATCATCTACAACATATAAAAGGGATGTTATCATCTACATCACAAAACAGGGATGTTATCATCTACAACACAAAACAATAATATTATCATCTACAACATATAAAAGGGATGTTATCATCTACATCACATAACAGGGATGTTATCATCTACAACAGATAACAGGGATCATCTACAACACATAACAATAATGTTATCATCTACAACACAAAACAATAATGTTATCATCTACAACATATAAAAGGGATGTTATCATCTACATCACATAACAGGGATGTTATCATCTACAACAGATAACAGGGATGTTATCATCTACAACACAAAACAATAATGTTATCATCTACAACATATAAAAGGGATGTTATCATCTACATCACATAACAGGGATGTTATCATCTACAACAGATAACAGGGATGTTATCATCTACAACACAAAACAATAATGTTATCATCTACAACATATAAAAGGGATGTTATCATCTACATCACATAACAGGGATGTTATCATCTACAACAGATAACAGGGATGTTATCACTACAACACAAAACAATAATGTTATCATCTACAACATATAAAAGGGATGTTATCATCTACATCACATAACAGGGATGTTATCATCTACAACAGATAACAGGGATGTTATCATCTACAACACATAACAGGGATGTTATCATCTACAACACAAAACAATAATGTTATCATCTACAACATATAAAAGGGATGTTATCATCTACAACACAGTACAGTTGTGGTATCAGCTACAACAGATAACAGGGATGTTATCATCTACAACACAAAACAGGGATGTTATCATCTACACCCGATAACAGGGATGTTATCATCTACAACACATAACAGGGATGTTATCATCTACAACACATAACAGGGATGTTATCATCTACAACACATAACAGGGATGTTATCATCTACAACACAATAACAGGGATGTTATCATCTACAACACATAACAGGGATGTTATCATTATCAGGGATGTTATCATCTACAACAACATATAAAAGGGATGTTATCATCTACAACACATAACAGGGATGTTATCATCTACAACAGATAACAGGGATGTTATCATCTACAACACAAAACAGGGATGTTATCATCTACAACAGATAACAGGGATGTTATCATCTACAACACATAACAGGGATGTTATCATCTACAACATAAACAGGGATGTTATCATCTACAACACATAAGGGGTGTTATCATCTACAACAATAACAGGATGTTATCATCTACAACACAAAACAGGGATGTTATCATCTACAACAGATAACAGGGGTGTTATCACCTACAACACATAACAGGGATGTTATCATCTACAACACAAAACAGGGATGTTATCATCTACAACACATAACAGGGGTGTTATCATCTACAACAGATAACAGGGATGTTATCATCTACAACACATAACAGGGATGTTATCATCTACAACATAATGGGGATGTTGTGATCATTTTTGCACCTTAGTTTCACACCAACAATATGAAATTCAATGAGATTTTATTATCTTTGGAATTTTTGTAGAACTTATTAATTATTATTATGCGTATTTGACTAAAGTGACTATTAAATAAGTAATTAAAAACCAAATTCAATATCTGTTAATTGAGTAGCTGGTTCAGTTTACGCAGCAGTAACCTCATGTAAACATCCAAGGCACTTTATCTGATGATCATGTAATGTGCTATTGTTGTAGTGGGCAAGACACTTAAACCATATTGCTTTGGACGGCATATGTACCTAAAGATGGCACCGGTTTTACATAAGCTGATATACTTAGCAAACAAATATAGCTCTTCATCCTATTACCTGCTAGGTAGAATCTATACAACAGGCTTTAATAGCATTCTCAGGCAGTTGTTCTGATGTATTTTACCTGTGAACTTGAAATTAGCATGCTTCTTCTTGTAGCACAGTAGCAAGGCCCTCAGCTTCTTGTTCATTGATAACAATTTAACCATAACCATGTATCAATTCTAAACCATTTCACATCTCTGACTAAAGGCAATTCATTTGGACAATTTCCATAGCATGATATCTGTATATTGAATGTTGCTGGTTAAACATCATGATTTCAGGACTTTTGGTTATTGAGGAAATATTGTTTAAAGCCTTATGAGGTTAAATAGCACTTACCAGGAGGCAGTTCTCCAGTAAAACCTAATCTGGGGAACAGCTTGAACAAGAAAGCCTTATGAGGTTAAATAACACTTACCAGAGGCAGTTCTCCAGTACAACCTAATCTGGGGAACAGCTTGAACAAGAAAGCCTTATGAGGTTAAATAACACTTACCAGGAGGCAGTTCTCCAGTAAAACCTAATCTGGGGAACAGCTTGAACAAGAAAGCCTTATGAGGTTAAATAACACTTACCAGAGGCAGTTCTCCAGTAAAACCTAATCTGGGGAACAGCTTGAACAAGAAAGCCTTATGAGGTTAAATAACACTTACCAGGAGGCAGTTCTCCAGTAAAACCTAATCTGGGGAACAGCTTGAACAAGAAAGCCTTATGAGGTTAAATAACACTTACCAGGTGGCAGTTCTCCAGTAAAACCTAATCTGGGGAACAGCTTGAACAAGAAAGCCTTATGAGGTTAAATAACACTTACCAGGAGGCAGTTCTCCAGTAAAACCTAATCTGGGGAACAGCTTGAACAAGAAAGCCTTATGAGGTTAAATAACACTTACCAGGTGGCAGTTCTCCAGTAAAACCTAATCTGGGGAACAGCTTGAACAAGAAAGCCTTATGAGGTTAAATAACACTTACCAGGTGGCAGTTCTCCAGTAAAACCTAATCTGGGGAACAGCTTGAACAAGAAAGCCTTATGAGGTTAAATAACACTTACCAGGTGGCAGTTCTCCAGTAAAACCTAATCTGGGGAACAGCTTGAACAAGAAAGCCTTATGAGGTTAAATAACACTTACCAGGTGGCAGTTCTCCAGTAAAACCTAATCTGGGGAACAGCTTGAACAAGAAAGCCTTATGAGGTTAAATAACACTTACCAGGTGGCAGTTCTCCAGTAAAACCTAATCTGGGGAACAGCTTGAACAAGAAAGCCTTATGAGGTTAAATAACACTTACCAGGTGGCAGTTCTCCAGTAAAACCTAATCTGGGGAACAGCTTGAACAAGAAAGCCTTATGAGGTTAAATAACACTTACCAGGTGGCAGTTCTCCAGTAAAACCTAATCTGGGGAACAGCTTGAACAAGAAAGCCTTATGAGGTTAAATAGCACTTACCAGGAGGCAGTTCTCCAGTAAAACCTAATCTGGGGAACAGCTTGAACAAGAAAGCCTTATGAGGTTAAATAACACTTACCAGGAGGCAGTTCTCCAGTAAAACCTAATCTGGGGAACAGCTTGAACAAGAAAGCCTTATGAGGTTAAATAGCACTTACCAGGAGGCAGTTCTCCAGTAAAACCTAATCTGGGGAACAGCTTGAACAAGAAAGCATTAAACTTGGCAATTTCAGAAGTGTCAAGTGTTCCACTGCCGTCTAGATCAAACAATTGGTACAGCTGATCCTCTGTAAGCTTCTGAAACATAGCACAACATCTAACACGTTAATATACCATAATATACCCCAACACGAAAACAACATAACATCACAGAATATAGAACAACACCATGACACCTTAATATCACAGGATATAGCACAACACCACAACACCTTAATATCACATAATATAGAACAACACCATGACACCTTAATATCACAGGATATAGCACAACACCATGACACCTTAATATCACATAATATAGAACAACACCATAACACCTTAATATCACAGGATATAGCACAACACCATGACACCTTAATATCACAGGATACAGCACAACACCACAACACAACACAACACCATGACACCTTAATATCACAGGATATAGCACAACACCATGACACCTTAATATCACATAATATAGAACAACACCATAACACCTTAATATCACAGGATATAGCACAACACCATGACACCTTAATATCACAGGATACAGCACAACACCACAACACCTTAATATCACATAATATAGAACAACACCATGACACCTTAATATCACAGGATATAGCACAACACCATGACACCTTAATATCACATAATATAGAACAACACCATGACACCTTAATATCACAGGATATAGCACAACACCATGACACCTTAATATCACAGGATACAGCACAACACCACAACACCTTAATATCACATAATATAGAACAACACCATGACACCTTAATATCACAGGATATAGCACAACACCACAACACCTTAATATCACAGAACATATCACAACACCACAACATCACAGAACATATCACAATACCACCATATCACAGAACATATCACAATACCACCATATCACAGAACATATCACAACACCACAACATCACAGAACAGATCACAACACCACAACATCACAGAACATATCACAACACCACAACATCACAGAACATATCACAACACCACAACATCACAGAACATATCACAATACCACCATATCACAGAACATATCACAATACCACCATATCACAGAACATATCACAATACCACCATATCACAGAACATACCATAACACCATTGAACTCCAATATCACATGACATGAAACCACAACATAACACTGTAATATCACAGAACAGATTAACCCGTAAACACATTAACTTTACCTCTAAGCCCATTTTTACTAAAGTAACACAGTTCCTCTGTGATATGCCTCTAGTGGATCGCTCAACACTGGTAGATTAAATCTCAGATTAACCATTATGATGGTAAATTAAACTGGTATTGTCTTCTTCATACAATTACTGGAAAACAAAGAATGTTGTTTGCTCTGAGAGAAAAAAGAAGTCTATTATAATCTCGGACAAAACCAACAAAAAAATTTTCTTGCAGTACCTCTGACTGAGCATTCATCCATCTATCAATGCCTTTTTCCCTCAGAAATCGGGCAAAGTGTGACTTGGAGAGGAAATACTTGGCTTTGTTCTGTATCCACCTCACCCCTGTCACTGACAAGGATTTCAGCTGCTGCAGATTAGTAAAACTCTTTGGGAGATTTGTGAGGCAGTTTCCTTTCAACAATAAAAATGACAAGTTAGCCATGTCCCCTATGTTCTCGGGAAGATCTGTTAGCATCAAGTTGCAGGCAAGCAGACGTCGTATCCCCTTCATCTGTACCAGCACAGGTGGCAGAACCTGCATTCTGTTGTTGCTAATATGTACTTGGTAGATATTGGTACAATGGACCAGGCTGGCTGGGAGGTCCATCAGGTTGTTTGCCTCCACATTCAGGAAGAGCAGATCCTTACACAATCCTATAGACTCTGGGAGAACATCAATGTAATTTTCGCTCAGGTCCAGCTTTAAGAGATGAGGGAGGTTTACGAAGGTGTCAGCAGGAATATTAGTGAGACGGTTCCCCTGAAGTTTAAGACATGTTACCAGATTTGGATTACCACTAAAAACCAGTTTTGGTATTTCTGTGAGGCTGTTGTTTGTACCCACAGGTGACCGACAGGCAGCATGACACTCGCACACATAATTCTGTTTCTTCTTCCGCATCGTAGTAGCAAGACCAAATCTTGTCAAGTTGTCTTTTATTAGGCTCCGAAGTTGCTGAAACAAAACACATGATAATCATTCCTCTCATCAAACCAATCAAAAAATCAGCAGAAACAAAATTTAGGGAAAAGCAAATAATATCTGTGGAACAAATTTCATTCTTTTATTTATTCATATATATATTTCGTTTTTTTCTTATTTCAATTAAATTCACTCAAGATATTGCAATAATAGAATAGAAAAAGATGATTCAATCAGATCTGTCCTTCCCACCTCTCGGAGCATCTTATGATAGGCACTATATGTTATCAATATAAGCATGGCATGGTTGCAACAGAGACAAAACCTCTTGTTGCAACACAAATGTTTTTAAAAAAAAAAAAGTATAATGGTTTTGTTTACCAAGCTTACATTAATTCTCTCAAAACATTTTTTCTATATAACATTTAAGATAGAGAGGTGAATTGCTGAGAGACAAGATAGTGTTTTTCCCATGTATTGTTTCAAGCCTACCACAGCACCAGGGCTCAGGTAAGGTCGAGCATGTCCATCTTTAGCTTTAGTTTTACTCATTGTAATGCTTAAGATGCTATCTCTGCCAAAGCTTTCTCCAAAAGATGACAGCTGCTTCATCGCATATAGCACTAGCAGTTCCTGTACACCTTGTCCAATCTGGATTACAAAATAACATTGACATACAATGTATCCTTCTAAGTTAAAGCAAGTGTTAGGTATATTGTTTGAAGGTTACAGGTCTGCATTATTAATTTAATTGATAATTAATATTGGAAACACTGATCAAGGTCTTCCATGAGTATACTGAGATTTACAATATTATCTTGGTATCTAGGAGATCACCCAATTAATACACACGCCTCAATAACACTGTTTATACTTGAATGTGATAATAGACATAGAAACCCCATTATTGTATCATATGGCTTTGCCAATAGTTAAACTTCAGAAGAATTCAAATTACTCTGTCTACAACACACAGAGGTGATTGATTATTTTATCACACACATTCCCATCAACAACAACTACAAGTTGTAATGATTAACTCAATATGTTCCAACAATTGTAAACAGTGACATAAAATAAAGGTCCTAGTGTCAAAGGCAGTAAGCACAAATATACTCTTTCATTTGAAAAAAACACAGGGACATCAGTAATACCAGTGGGAGAAGACAGAAAATTGATAAGGTACCTTAATCTATTAAGCAGCAGTAATATTAAACATTATAATCCAACAATCTCCATACCATCATGGCTATGTTATCATGCAGAAAACACCTGCAGGCAGACATGTTAAATCTATTTTGATTACCTCCCAGTGATTGTATACAATCTTTATCTTTACTGCATTGTTTTCAGTCCAAATATAGCCATGATAAGCACTGGACTGCCTATATATAACAATTAAATCTTTGAATATTTAGATAAAGAATACTAACTAGGTGAGTCTTGTGGTCGTTAACTCCAGCTGAAGATGGCAGGTGGGGAAACAGCTTGTCATAAACTGGTGGTAAGTCCAACTGACAAAAACAATGTCAATTTATACTCGATATAATCATCATTAATTAATACCAAACAAAATTGATGATAAATTATCACATTTTTCAAAAGTAAATACATCAAATATATTGAATTAGTGATTCCATCTTTCTAGTGAAGTAGGTACAACAAGTACTGAAGTATCATCAGATAGATGAATAGTATTGTATCACTGAATGATTTAAAAAGTACCTGTGCACTATACGCGAATATTTACGGTATCATCAGACAGATGAATAGTATTGTATTACTGAATGATTTAAAAAGTACCTGCGCACTATACGCGAGTGCGCACTATACGCGAATATTTACGGTATCATCAGACAGATGAATAGTATTGTATCACTGAATGATTTAAAAAGTACCTGCGCACTATACGCGAGTGCGCACTATACGCGAATATTTACGGTATCATCAGACAGATGAATAGTATTGTATCACTGAATGATTTATAAAGTACCTGCGCACTATACGCGAATATTTACGGTATCATCAGACAGATGAATAGTATTGTATCACTGAATGATTTAAAAAGTACCTGCGCACTATACGCGAGTGCGCACTATACGCAAATATTTACGGTATCATCAGACAGATGAATAGTATTGTATCACTGAATGATTTATAAAGTACCTGCGCACTATACGCGAATATTTACGGTATCATCAGACAGATGAATAGTATTGTATCACTGAATGATTTAAAAAGTACCTGCGCACTATACACGAATATTTACAGTATCATCAGACAGATGAATAGTATTGTATCACTGAATGATTTATAAAGTAATCAGAAAATACAGAAAAAAGGTTCCTAGTTTTACTGAAGCAAAATAGGAAACTCAAGTATAATTTTGATGATGTCACCTGTATACGGGTATCTACACAGTCGTAGATGATGTCATCATAGTCTGAGTACACATTAGTAGGCAGTGTATCTACACAGTTGTAGATGATGACATCATAGTCTGAGTACACACCAGTAGGCAGTGTATCTACACAGTTGTAGATGATGTCATCAGACTTTGAGTACACACCAGTAGGCAGTGTATCTACACAGTTGTATATGATGTCATCAGACTTTGAGTACACACCAGTAGGCAGTGTATCTACACAGTTGTATATGATGTCATCAGACTTTGAGTACACATCAGTAGGCAGTGTATCTACACAGTTGTATATGATGTCATCAGACTTTGAGTACATACCAGTGGGCAGTGTATCAGAAGGCACTGCCAGGCCCAGATAAGACGTTGCATGGTTTCGTCAGAGATGACCAGTGGGAAGCCTTCAGCATTGACTAGATGCATGAGGAACGTTTTATGACGCCAGTTGTTGCTGGATTGTCCTAACTCCAAGCCATTGTGCACTAAGTAATAGTAGAATATGAGAATCTATAAACATTGTCAAAACTGACAAAATAATAGAAGCCAATTTATTGTAAGATTATTACACATCCATCCTTATGTTAAATGCTCTATTTGGGTACTATATCATGAAGTTTTTTTAAATTGAGAAACACACCTAATTTATAGCCATTGAATTCCATAATATACTGTGTTACTTTTAAAACTTTCCATGTACCTAATTTATAGCCATTGACTTCCATAACATACCGTGTTACTTTTAAAACTCTCCGGGTACCTAATTTATAGCCATTGACTTCCATAACATACCGTGTTACTTTTAAAACTCTCCAGGTACCTAATTTATAGCCATTGACTTCCATAACATACCGTGTTACTTTTAAAACTCTCCAGGTACCTAATTTATAGCCATTGACTTCCATAACATACTGTGTTACTTTTAAAACTTTCCAGGTACCAAATTTATAGCCATTGACTTCCATAACATACTGTGTTACTTTTAAAACTCTCCAGGTACCTAATTTATAGCCATTGACTTCCATAACATACTGTGTTACTTTTAAAACTCTCCGGGTACCTAATTTATAGCCATTGACTTCCATAACATACCGTGTTACTTTTAAAACTCTCCAGGTACCTAATTTATAGCCATTGACTTCCATAACATACCGTGTTACTTTTAAAACTTTCCAGGTACCTAATTTATAGCCATTGACTTCCATAACATACCGTGTTACTTTTAAAACTTTCCAGGTACCTAATTTATAGCCATTGACTTCCATAACATACCGTGTTACTTTCCAGGTACATGACTTTAAAATGTCAGCACAGAATATCTACCACAGAAGAAAAACAAAACTGCACGTCTTTGACCTTGACATTTGGTCATGTAGTTTCTTTTATCTAACTCTGAACAAAAAGCCTCAGTTTCACAATATTTTACATATAAGTAATGTCACTATGTACATACCTAATTTTTTACCTACATTACAACATTTCATCAATATCTATAATATTGCAAAGACAATTCAACTTCTATCTTTAGCATTGGTGACCTTTACCAGGGGGTCAAATGTTTCAGACATTACTTCATTAGAGATATATTTTAGTCGTTACATCATTAAAACAATACGGAACAAGAGATGACAAGGAATTGTTCAGGATGACCGATAGTCAACAACATACCAAAATACAACCTGTTAAAATCTTGATACCTAAAAATTACAAAGATAACCTTTGTGTTTCTCAAATCAATAAATGTTTACATTATCATGCTTATAATTATTGAAGTTTATAAATTAAAAACTTCAAGTAAAACCTAGTAATTAATAAAGAAAACAAGGCTTCATGTTGATACACACCATTGGCTACACAAAGAGGATGGAAGAGGAAAGTCATCCTTAACAACTTTGGAGAGGGGCACACAACCTCATCCAATGTCAGCTGTTGGGGTAACATCACACCTGCTGTTCCTGTTAAAAAATTGGAATTTTGTTTATAGAGTGTTTTTTTAATTCAAGGTAGCATACACTGAACAACAAGAACAACATTATACATGTGAAATGTAGACTAACAAGGATAAGTAGTATCTGTAAAGTGTAGATAATAAGGAAACGTTTTACATGTGAGCTGTAGACTAACACTGAAAAGTTTTACCTGTGAGCTGTAGACTAACACTGAAAAGTTTTACCTGTGAGCTGTAGACTAATGAGGAAAAGTTTTACCTGTGAGCTGTAGACTAACATTGAAAAGTTTTACCTGTGAGCTGTAGACTAACAGTAGACTGAAAAAAGTTTTACCTGTGAGTTTTACATGTGAGCTGTAGAGTACTGCTGTAGACTACATGACAAAAGTTTTACCTGTGAGCTGTAGACTTACATTGAAAAGTTTTACCTGTGAGCTGTTGACTAATGAGGAACAGTTTTACATGTGAGCTGTAGAATAATGAGGAAAAGTTTTACCTGTGAGCTGTAGACTAACATGGAAAAGTTTTACCCGTCAGCTGTAGACTAATGAGGAAAAGTTTTATCTGTGAGCTGTAGACTAATGAGGAAAAGTTTAACAGTTTTACCTGTGAGCTGTACTAATGAGGAACAGTAATGAGCTGTTAAAAGTTTTACCTGTGAGCTGTAGACTAACATGGAAAAGTTTTACCTGTGAGCTGTTGACTAATGAGGAACAGTTTTACATGTGAGCTGTAGACTAATGAGGAAAAGTTTTACCTGTGAGCTGTAGACTAATGAGGAAATGTTTTACCTGTGAGCTGTAGACTAATGAGGAACAGTTTTACCTGTGAGCTGTAGACTAATGAGTGAAGACTAAGGAAAAGTTTTACCTGTGAGTTTTACCTGTGAGCTGTAGACTAACCTGTGAGCTGTAGACTAATGAGGAAAAGTTTTACATGTGAGCTGTAGACTAATGAGGAAAAGTTTTACATGTGAGCTGTAGACTAATGAGGAAAAGTTTTACCTGTGAGCTGTAGACTAATGAGGAAAAGTTTTACCTGTGAGCTGTTGACTAATGAGGAACAGTTTTACATGTGTGCTGTAGACTAATGAGGAAAAGTTTTGCCTGTGAGCTGTAGACTAATGAGGAAACGTATTACATGTGAGCTGTAGACTAATGAGGAAAAGTTTTACCTGTGAGCTGTAGACTAACATGGAAAAGTTTTACCTGTGAGCTGTAGACTAACATGGAAAAGTTTTACATGTGAGCTGTAGACTAACATGGAAAAGTTTTACATGTGAGCTGTAGACTAATGAGGAAACGTTTTACATGTGAGCTGTAGACTAATGAGGAAAAGTTTACATGTGAGCTGTAGACTAATGAGGAAAAGTTTTACATGTGAGCTGTAGACTAATGAGGAAAAGTTTTACATGTGAGCTGTAGACTAACATGGAAAAGTTTTACCTGTGAGCTGTAGACTAACATGGAAAAGTTTTACCTGTGAGCTGTAGACTAATGAGGAAAAGTTTTACCTGTGAGCCATAGACTAATATTGAAAAGTTTTGCATGTGAGCTGTAGACTAATGAGGAAAAGTTTTACCTGTGAGCTGTAGACTAATGAGGAAAAGTTTTACATGTGAGCTGTAGACTAATGAGGAAAAGTTTTACATGTGAGCTGTAGACTAATGAGGAAAAGTTTTACATGTGAGCTGTAGACTAATGAGGAAAAGTTTTACATGTGAGCTGTAGACTAATGAGGAAAAGTTTTACCTGTGAGCTGTAGACTAATGAGGAACAGTTTTACTTGTGAGCTGTAGACTAATGAGGAAAAGTTTTACCTGTGGGCTATAGACTTACATTGAAAAGTTTTGCATGTGAGCTGTAGACTAATATTGAAAAGTTTTGCATGTGAGCTGTAGACTAATGAGGAAAAGTTTTACCTGTGAGCTGTAGACTAATGAGGAAAAGTTTTACCTGTGAGCTGTAGACTAACATGGAAAAGTTTTACATGTGAGCTGTAGACTAATGAGGAAAAGTTTTACCTGTGATGGAAAAGTTTTACCTGTGAGCTGCAGACTAACATGGAAAAGTTTTACATGTGAGCTGTAGACTAACACGGAAAAGTTTTACCTGTGAACTGTAGAATAATGAGGAAAAGTTTTACCTGTGAGCTGTAGACTAACATGGAAAAGTTTTACCTGTGAGCTGTAAACTTAAATTGAAAAGTTTTACTTGTGAGCTGTTGACTAATGAGGAACAGTTTTACTTGTGAGCTGTAGACTAATGAGGAAACGTTTTACCTGTGAGCTGTAGACTAATGAGGAACAGTTTTACTTGTGAGCTGTAGACTAATGAGGAAAAGTTTTACCTGTGAGCTATAGACTTACATTGAAAAGTTTTACCTGTGAGCTGTTGACTAATGAGGAACAGTTTTACATATGTGCTGTAGACTAATGAGGAAAAGTTTTACCTGTGAGCTGTAGACTTACATTGAAAAGTTTTACCTGTGAGCTGTTGACTAATGAGGAACAGTTTTACTTGTGAGCTGTAGACTAATGAGGAAAAGTTTTACCTGTGAGCTGTAGACTTACATTGAAAAGTTTTACCTGTGAGCTGTTGACTAATGAGGAACAGTTTTACTTGTGAGCTGTTGACTAATGAGGAACAGTTTTACATGTGAGCTGTAGACTAATGAGGAAATGTTTTACCTGTGAGCTGTAGACTAATGAGGAAATGTTTTACCTGTGAGCTGTAGACTAATGAGGAACAGTTTTACCTGTGAGCTGTAGACTAATGAGGAAAAGTTTTACATGTGAGCTGTAGACTAATGAGGAAAAGTTTTACCTGTGAGCTGTAGACTAATGAGGAAAAGTTTTACCTGTGAGCTGTAGACTATTGAGGAAACGTTATACATGTGAGCTGTAGACTAACTAGGATAAAGATACCTGAGAGGAGCAGACTTATTATAAAAAGTTTCACCTGTGGGATGACTCATGAGGACAAGTTATATCTTACCTGTGAAGAACAAATCACCATATGAATTATGTAAGAGATGTTCCTCCAGCAAAGCATTCATCACAGACATTCTTCTCTCCAACACTAAAACATTATCAAACAGTCTGACATAAATACAGCATAGCTCAAACATAAACAGTCTTAAACAGTCTAACAGGCTTCATTCCAAACACTCAATCAGAATATCATACTTCTGGGCTGTTTGGTTAGTTAGAAGAAGTTGTTAAAAGGTTTCAATAAATTTGACCCCTTTTCTTTTTCGTAAACTTTTCCTAAGAACTTAGCCATTTACCATGCTTTTGTGCCTTTGACTTAGTCATAAGAAGTTGTTTAAAAGTTTTTACAAATTCCATCCTTATGACCTTGAATATAGGTCAAGGTCATTTCATTTGCAAACTTTGTCGGATTTCATCCTCAGAACTTACCAGCCAAATACCATGCTTCTTCTCATTTTGGTTAATCAAAATAAGTTGTTTAAAGGTTTTAACAAATTCAACCCCCGTGAACTTGAATATGGGTCAAGGTCATTTCCTTACAAAACCTTGTAAATCTTGTTTAGAAAGTTCACCCCTGTGATCATGAATGAAAGCCAAGGTCATTTCTTTTCACAAAATTTGTTGGACTTTTTCCTAAGAACCTATCAGCCAATTACCATGCTTCTGTTCCTTTTGCTCAGTCAGAAGAAGATGTTTAAATGTTTTAACAAATTCAACCTCAGTGAACTTTAATAAGGGCCAAGGGCATTTCTTTACACAAACTTTGTTGAGCTTCATCCAAGCAATCTACCAGTCAAATACCATGACATTTAGTTCTATGGGTTATTGAGAAGAAGTTGTTCAGATGGAAAAGTTGATACAAGATGGACGAACAGACGGACAGATAAACAACATACCACTGCACAAACTCATTTGGCATTTCCAGCCAGGTGAGCTAAAAATCACATTTATGGAGAAAACAAACCTGTAGGAAAGGAACCACAGCATTTGAGGACACGTCCATCTTGAAAAATTTCCTTATTCTTGGTGTCAAGTTTTTCCTTTTTCTATAAATTAGAAACATGGGTGTTATGACTAGATCATTACAACAGGTCAATACTTAATGCTGTATTAGTGTCAGTATGAGTAAAAACAATCTACCTCCTCACAGCATTGATAAAATCTTACAGTATAAGAAAGATTTCTATCGACATCCAATTGGTCATTCACGAGAGTATGAAAATTCTTCTATCATCACTTCATTGATTGTTTCCAAGGGTATCAGACTTCTTTATCTTCATCTTGTTAATTGTCTCCATGACTATAAGACTACTATCCTCAACATAATGATTTGGCTAATATAGGAAAGAGATCTTGACTTTAACAGTGCTTCATTGAAAATTGCCTTTAAAAGATTAAGGAAGGGACAAAGTGTTAGGGCGAGTATGGTTACCATTATGGTTAGCAATCATCAAGGTCAAAGGTCAGAAGACATTCTATGTGGAGGTAGCTAGGAAACGATTCATCTGGTTATTGACATTTTATCATAAGTTACAAACTTCAGGCAAATGTGACATTATAAAGTATTGGGTTAGAAAACACACATAAGATGCTAGATTTTCATATATCAAGGTAGAAAACAAAAACACTACATCAGTATGACATAAATCCTAGATCAACCGTGACTTATGCTGTTAGCTGAGGCTACTTACAATGAGGAAGGGCGTATACAGGAATATACTGCAACTCTCCTTGGATGTGATTTTAACACTTGTTCTTCCAAGAGCATGCAGGTCAAATTCAAAGATGAAAGCTCCATTCTTCTGTATTTGCAGTTTCTTTTTGAACTGGTCCATCTGTCAAAGAGCATAAGAAGCTATTTCACATTTGTCTGTAACAGCAAACTATCTCTATCTCCCATATATTTGCAAAACATTGGGCAACAACAGAAGGCTCATTTAACTGTAATTCTTCAATATAGCTCATGTCTTTTGAGCCAGGTAAGCTAAAAAGACCTTTATCTACCACACTATCAGTCTTGCTTTTCTGACTGAACCAACTCCTTCTATGAGAGTATCTCGATATATCTACTGTCGCAAGTCTTTGTGGAGATATCTGTGTCATCAATATACCACAACACATGTAAATTTCATATGCAAAGTAGAGAACATATTCAGCCAGAATTGGTTTATTTATTTATCTATTGAACAGGTTTTAAGTCCACTATTATGGCCTTTCAGCCTTTCAGCAGACGAGAAAATGCAGAAAAATGAGTAAGGCACTGGTGTATCCATCCCTTTTGAGGGACTTTTTAATGACTAGTAGGCAGCGCATTGTTAAGTTCCCAGTTGTGAAGTCTCAGACACTTTAAGGGACACGTGTTTATCCAGTGATTTATTTATTGAGAAATATCAGGTAATATTGTGAATATCAGTTTATGTAGGAAAGCAGTGAACCATGAAGGTTAAGAGGAGAAAAACAAAACAAAAAAGCTAATAAGAAATGAAAGTTCAATTATTTTAGATAAAGTGAATATTTCAAAAGCATAACTTCTTTATCAAAATAGGCCAAAAGCTTTCCAACTTCATAGTTGAGTTTTAATTATTCAAAAATTGTTTAGTCCAAGTGTTGCATGCTCAGTACATTTATATCAAACCTGTCAGCTCTAACAGTTGCTATAAATAACAGATCTACAAAATGTTGTCATGGAGTCACATGATAGAACACCACGTCCAGGACACTCTTCTACAAGTAAACAGAGTAATCAATAACACCCAAGTACAGAAATCAGAACTTACCTCATTATAAACAATGAGAAAATCCAGCTGATCATACATTTCACAGGAACTGTTCCTGTAAGACAGATTATCCTCACCCACTGTCCCGTCTACTGTTATCTGTCCTGTACTTGTCTGGTACTTTACAGTCAATTCTGGGCCTTTCGGCGATAAGCTGCTCAAATTAAGATATACATTTTATTTCTGGAGTATAAATAAGTGAGAATAATACATTTATTGTATACAGAGAAATATTCATCACAGTTTAATGTAATATCTATTCACGTTTTCACCCTTTTGTCAATAAGGCAATAATAAAATGGTGGCTTGAGTTGTAAGCTAAAGCTCCATTGTATAATTATGCTTATAGGATAAATTTACCACCAGCCAAAACATAAGATATTTTTAGTGTAAAAAAACCCTGATTTCCACATACAGTAAAAAATTACAAACATATCTGTCTTTATTCTATTGCCATACAGGTTGTACTGATTGTACAGGTAAACTGCTTCAGTTACTTATACCAAAGTAAATTCAAGAATGAGTAAAACCCTGGCCCTCAGCCCCCAAGTCAGATATCCCTACCACGTATGGTATAAAGAAGGGTTGTCATTCTTTTTAAACCCTGCCCCTCAGCCCCCAAGTCAGATATCCCTACCCAGTATGGTATAAAGAAGGATCATCATTCTTTTCAAAGCCTGGCCCTCAGCCCCCAAGTCAGATATCCCTACACAGTATGGTACAAACGGTTATCATTCTTTTCAAAGCCTACCCCTCAGCCCCTAAGTCAGATATCCCTACCAAAACCACATACAAAAACGTCTGGATCAAAATGAAGGAAGAAAGTATTGGGTGATTATGCTAGTACCATTATGAAAAGAGTACTTACTGTTGAAGGTCAATAATTAAGTCACACTTTTTGTTCAGGACAATAGTAACTTGTCTGTTGTACTCCGGATGTATGTAATCATACAGGAAGTACTCCTGGCCTGCCATGAATTTCACCAGACATCCAACTCTCTTAGCCGAGTCTGTATCCTTCTTAGCTAAGTCTGTGTCCTTCATAGCTAAGTCTTTGTCCTTCTTAGACGAGTCTGTATCCCTCTTAGACGAGTCTGTGTCCTTCTTAGCCGAGTCTGTGTCCTTGGTAGGGCGATGGAAGGAGGGCTGAACAGTGACATGGGCTTGCTAGAGGTACAAAGACAATAGAGATAGAGAACTAGAAATGATGACTGTTTAAATAGATCTACAGTTAAAGCCAGTGATTATCAACAAATATCAATTAAATGTATCTTCAGTGTTAACTAGATTTCAAACCTAAATGCATTTATTATAAGAACAATGGTAATTTGTCATTTAATATGTGCTGTAACAGAGATTGGGAAAAGTCTTACCTCTAAAAATGATAAGGATTGTTTTGGGACGGATGATAGGTATACAATGGACAGATGATGACCCATGGGTACAAGGTGATTCAAAGACAACGTCTGATCATGGTGGTAAAAAATTAGTTCGTTGAAATACATTCAGTACACACTGATCCCATGTCACAGTACACACTTACTGTTAACTGTAGTAGACACTGGTCACACACACCACAGTACACACGTACCGTTAACTGTAGTAGACACTGGTCACACATCACAGTACACACTTACCGTTAACTGTAGTAGACACTGGTCCCACATCACAGTACACACTTACCGTTAACTGTAGTAGACAATGGTCCCACATCACAGTACACACTTACCGTTAACTGTAGTAGACAATGGTCCCACATCACAGTACACACTTACCGTTAACTGTAGTAGACACTGGTCACACATCACAGTACACACTTACCGTTAACTGTAGTAGACACTGGTCACACGCACCACAGTACACACTTACCGTTAACTGTAGTAGACACTGGTCACACACACCACAGTACACACAAAGACTTCGTCTATATTTACAGCTACATAGTCTGGAAAGTAAAAAAATACATGTTGTTTTTAGCCATCTTTTATTGTTGAATATTGAAAACAAAAGAGACCAAAACCAGAGAGTAATAAGCGAAGACCAATATAAGATTGCTATATACCTGCTGGAGACTAATGGTTTTAGGTTCTCTGGACAGTAAATGCCCTGCACACAACAGTTGTTACACAGGAAACATCGAGGGGATACTGTCAACTTCTTAGCAAATCCTTGTGTCATCATCTGCATGTATTTGTGGTTAGGGATGTAGTCACTCTGACTCAGACCTGCAGTTGATATATATCATAAATTGTGCTTATGTCACACATTAGTTACACTAACAGTCATACAGGTAGCACATTAGCCACACCTACATGTCATACATTAGCCACACCTACATGTCATACATTAGCCACATCTACATGTCATACATTAGCCACACCTACATGTCATACATTAGCCACACCTACATGTCATACATTAGCCACACCTACATGTCATACATTAGTCACACCTACATGTCATACATCTATAACCAGATTTCTAAAATGATAGCATCTTATTTTGATAGCATATCATATTATTATGCATCCTGTTTGTAGGCTTCAAAATTGTCCCTGATGATGTGAGATATGTAACAAATAGCGGATTTGTCATTAGTGTTGATGTAATATAGAATTCATGTCACTTGCCTAACAGTTTGTGACATTTCAACTTATTGATCTTGTTTAATAATTTTGTTTATTTTTATATCATTTGACATGTCATTTACCCAAAGTTCATGGCACATCAAATTACAGAAATTATTTATCATATAACCCATATTTCTGGAAAATAAGCAAAAACTCTCAAATTAACTTCTCTTTAAGACAGCTTAAGTTTGACATGGACAGTATATTTTTTTCATTACCAAGACAGTCATGTGACCTCATAAAGACATAAATTATCTATGATGTCATTTGTAAATTCTGCATTGTTTGCCTGGATAAAAGGACAGATTGTCTTGAAATTTGACAACAAAATATCATAAGTTTTATCATGACTTTATCATATAGGTCAGTATCATTGTGGTGACCTTGTTACTGACCTTGGGGAAGTAATGTCTCCTTCCTGATGACTATCCCAGAATTACTCCTACGACAAGAGACTGGTTCTTCACTAAGTCTGATGTCCATCTCTCTCATTTGACAACACTTTTCACTAAGGGCAAGATTTGTACTGTGGGTGGGGTTACAAGTCTCACATGATACACTTTTCTGGAACAGATTATAGAGCTTTTATTAGTAGACCCCTAATACATCTTTGATGTTGTAAAGAACAATAAAAGGTATCAACAGCTACCAAAAACATCTAGGGCAACAGCTACCAAAATCATCTAGGGCAACATCTCAGGCAACAGCTATCAAAAAATATCTAGGGCAACAGCTACCAAACACATCTAGGGCAACAGCTACCAAAAACATCAAGGGCAACAGCTACCAAAAGCATCTAGGGCAACAGCTACCAAAAACATCTAGGGCAACAGCTACCAAAAACATCAAGGGCAACAGCTACCAAAAGCATCTAGGGCAACAGCTACCAAAACCATCTAGGGCAACAGCTACCAAAAATATCTAGGGCAACAGCGTTAGAAGAATCAGATATAGCATCATCATAGCCATTTAAATGCAGGCTCTGACTGTCAAAATACTTATTTACGAAAATATTTACCACTGCAAAAATCTTCCTCTTCTGTAACATTGCCTCAAGGATTGTTTTGATGTTGTTGAATGTGAGAGTTAGTGTGTTTCTCATGTTGGTATGCATCACCCGAGCACTGATCGCTAGAGAAGGTAAGCCTAGTGGAAGAATGTTAAGCATTAATAAATATCTGGAATATGTACAGAAAGGACACCATTATAGATAGAACAATGTGTAAAGAAATCCAGACAAACGTATTACACATTTAAAACACTTATGAGACATGATACCAAGAATTCATTTTTGTACAGCACACCACATCACTTGACTGAAATCTGCAGTCGTGTGATCATTGTATGAGTACTACTGACCCTGACAAGCCTGGTTGGTAATTAGTTTCACCAGAACTATCACTGGGCCCTGGCGTACAACTAATCCTGCCCTCCACATCAGCAACACTTTAGACATTTCCTGAAGTTTTCTGGGAATAAAAATGTTAATCATAATTATGTTAAATAAATACTTAATGATCTTACATGTTTCCATGTTGTATTAGATTTTGGAGTCAGTTTATAAAACCTGATTTTCAATATTCTCCTATTACATGAGTTCATAAAATGGGGAGGGGAGGGGAAGGGAGGGTCATGCCTGAATAAAGCAACAGTCATGTAATAAACATATATGGAAAATGTTGTTTTTTTTTTGGTCATTCTTAGACTTTCTTTAGAATGTTAAATCAAAGAGCAAGTGAAAACATAATCAGTCTCATATGAAACAGAGTATGTTTGACAGAAAGGTGAACAGACATGAGAACAGACAGATAGACAGACAGGTGGACAGTCAAGTGAATAGACAATTTAAAAGACAGAAAAGAGATTGAGATAGGTAGAAAGACAAGAGGACAGAAAGACAGAAAGACAGAAAAGACAGACAGGTGTTAAATGAAAAGCAAATGAAAAGTTTTATAAATATAGTATGAAACAGAATTATTTTGACCATCTATCCATTTCTTTGTCATATATTCTTAGCATCAATTCTGATGTCAAATTACCAATGGGAAATCAGTTATGTGGGTCAGACAGGTGGACAGATAAAGGGATAGTTAGGTGGTTCGAAAAGTGGACAGACAGACAAATGAATTATTTTGAGATCTTTTGTGTTTGATAACAACTAATCCTATATTTAAGAAGAATGAAGAGTAGCAGGACAGGCAAAAGATATGTTCTCTGTGATACCTGAGGAAGCAGGGCAGCAGGCTGGATGGTAAGGATGGCAACGTCATATAGCAATCTCTCTGTTCTTCTCCAGTCTCCAACTCTTCAGGCCACACTTGCTCCTGTGTAAAACATAAATATAAAAAATCATGAAAAACATAATCCAGGACAACTTACGCTGAAATAAAATGTTCTAGTTATTTTATCCACACTTGGAAGACCTCTATAGTTAATGGCAGCTGAATATTCACTGACGAGAACACCTTGTTTACTGTAAAAATTCTGGTAAAATTCTCTATATAAATCTCTATTACCAGGAGAGGATTTTACCAGTGTTTCCACCTATATGACTTTTATGGAACAAACATTAGAATTTCTCATTTTACTGAGCCTCTCATATGAAATGGAAACAAATGGTAAATTCTGTTTATCTCATAACTTTTATATTTTCACACAAACATTTGTAGAAACAACATTTTAACAGACTGATACACAATGTGAAGCTATCCTCTTTCCACGTCTCTTTCTTGGCCATGATGACAGTGTGAATGTCCACACCAACAAAATATGCAATGTTGAAAATTAATTTATCTGTATAATATTGATTTACTGAATAGAAAATATTTTTAAAAGGCACTTAATCTCACTGAAATATTTCAAAAAGTTCAAATAGCTATCAAAAATATTTAAAGCATTCTGTATTGCTCAGTGTCACATCTAACAGAGTCAGTAATAGACAACCTATACTGAGACAGCTATTCCAATGGGCTCTGTCAGATCTTCATATAACAAGGTACAACATGAAATAAGAGACTCAATTTTAATTAGATCGAGTTGTGTTAACATATGTTTTAGTGTATCATAAGTATAATTGATCTCTTACTACTTACCAGAGGCAGGAATGGACTGTTGGGGAGGTCAGATGTCAAGACATACAAGATTGTATCTGTAAACTGAGAATCCCAGAGGGAACATGCAAACTGGAACAACAATCCCTTTTTCTTGAGCACCCTAAAAAGGAGATTTTCAAATCCCTGAAAATTAAACAGAAAAGCATTCAGAGTATTGTTAAAGCCATACATGTCCCCTACCAACCCCCACAAGGTTTCACTGAAATGATTTATATAGATGAGCTGTTTGGTGTTAATTTGGACAAGAAATAAGTATACTATTATATTGTACCTGATTTGTAATGGAACATTGCAATAAGTATGAAATTCTGACAGTTTCATCATCAATGTATAATAATGCAATATGGTCATTTGTTTGTTTGTAAGGTTTGATGAGAACCCCTTCTAAAAATAGTAACTTTGACCTTGACATTGACTCAACAACCCTGAAACTCTAATTTGCACAAGATAAGCATGTGAAGGATAATGAAAATGTCTCGAGTATGAAGCCACAAAAATGCTGACAATGATTTTCTATAAATAGTACCCGGTAACAGTGATGTTGATCTTAGCCCAACAACCCTGAAACTCGTCAAGTCTGATGAGCATCCCTTGACCCAACAACCCTGAAACTCGTCAAGTCTGATGAGCATCCCTTGACCCAACAACCCTGAAACTCGTCAAGTCTGATGAGCATCCCTTGACCAACAACAACCCTGAAGCATCCCTTGACCCAACAACCCCGTCAAGTCTGATGAGCATCCCTTGACCCAACAACCCTGAAACTCGTCAAGTCTGATGAGCATCCCTTGACCCAACAACCCTGAAACTCGTCAAGTCTGATGAGCATCCCTTGACCCAACAACCCTGAAAATCAAAGTGCGATAAGAATACTTCACAAAAAATAAAGAAAAATTCCTCACATATGTAAACATTCATTGGAATGGAATCTTATTTGCTTTCCTATAACGTAGCTTTACAGAATATGAAGCAAAGAAAAGTTATAGTCAAAAAGATATCCTAGAGAGGTCTTGGCAAGAACTGATGATGGACTGATGACAGATGGAGTGTAGATGCAGTTTGAACAGAATATAATCTAATAAATGTGAGTCTAAGAAACAGATTTTCTCTTTGCATTTATAATTCTGGTAAAATCACCATCGACAAGAATCAAGTGATGTAACTTTTATACCCACAATATTTCCGTGGGAGAGTATTAAATATCATCGAGTAGGAAACCCAAGGGACAGTATCAAATATCACCGAGTAGGAAACCCAAGGAACAAGTATCAAATATCACCGAGTAGGAAACACAAGGAACAAGTATCAAATATCACTGAGTCTGAAACCCAAGGAACAAGTATCAAATATCACCGAGTCGGAAACCCAAGGAACAAGTATCAAATATCACCGAGTCGGAAACCCAAGGAACAAGTATCAAATATCACCGAGTCGGAAACCCAAGGAACAAGTATCAAATATCACCGAGTAAGAAACCCGAGGAACATGTATCAAATATCATCGAGTAGGAAACCCAAGGAACAAGTATCAAATATCATCGAGTAGGAAACCCAAGGAACAAGTATCAAATATCACCGAGTAGGAAACCCAAGGAACAAGTATCAAATATCACCGAGTAGGAAACCCAAGGAACAAGTATCAAATATCACCGAGTAGGAAACCCAAGGAACAAGTATCAAATATCACTGAGTCTGAAACCCAGGGAACATGTATCAAATATCATCGAGTAGGAAACCCAAGGAACAAGTATCAAATATCACCGAGTCGGAAACCCAAGGAACAAGTATCAAATATCACCGAGTCGGAAACCCAAGGAACATATTAAATGTTTCTAATGATTCTTGTTAATCTGTACTTAATCAGATCCCAAACCCTGATGGTGTTATTCAGATCCCAAACCCTGATGGTGTTATTCATGTTATTCAGAACCCAAACCCTGATTGTCTTATTCACAACCCCAACCCTGATGGTGTTATTCTGAAATAATTGTAAATCATACCCTTATGGTATCATTCAGAGAACTGAAGTCCTCTTTCCTCCAGCAGGGCACATTAGCTCCCAGTCCCTGTATGTAGGCTTGGTGAGGTGCCTTTCCCACTAGATTGGCAACCATTGGCAGTATTTCTATGTCACGAATAGCAGGTTTCTCAGCAATGTCACGGAAAAACACACACAAACCCTACAGAAAACAATTATTATAAACTTGAATTACCTCAAAATGAAACCAACAATTTCAATATAAAAAAGAAACAAGAGTTTCAGATGAACTGGCATTCTACATACTTGGTAAATGGCAAACTTTTGTAATATATGACTATAATTTTAGTTTTTATTTAATATCACATCACAATTTTTTAGTTTAAAGTCCTTTTTGATAAAACTTTCTGTTCAGGAAAGGTAAATATAAGATTTTCAAGATGACTACCATGATAGCAATCTTGACACAGGTCCTAAATACAGTTTGGAATATTTGTTCACCATCTAAAATTCATTATTGGGAGTCCTGTCTCAAAAGGATTCTTTTTCCTGATCAGGAGAAAATAGAGATAACATTACTTTCAAAATGGCAGTCATGTTAAATGCTTCACATGCTAAAACTTCATTTAGAGCCATCTGTGTGACCATCCACACTTAATCATTGTAATTCCAGTCTCAATATACATTGTAAGATGTCCATGATGGAAGAGTAGTAATGAGATTTTCAAGATGGCAGATAAGTAGGTAGGCCCCAAATTCTATTCAGGACCATGTGTTTTTACATTACTGAAGAAGAGGTTTGTCCCCTACTTACCCTGTCATGTAGAATTTGCATGGCAGACTCCACCTCATCATATCTACTGAAAGTGTACCTCACATCCTTATTTACCTCTGACAAAGGACAAATTATAGGCGATGTGCCAGGAAATGTTTTGGTTAAATTGTCCAGACCTTCAATAGAATCCTCCATAAACTTTGATAAGTGCCAAGGAAATAGCTTCTCCAGTTGTTCCAAGGAGTATGATAGGTAGGAGTGTTCTGGGTCCTTTGCCTAGTTAAAACCAAACAAAGACCAAAACTTATACTAGTTAATAAAGTAATGCTTTGCTATTACCATAGTGAAACCATACCATAGACAGTGTATCATCCTCGCCTTGATAACATTCCAAGTTGACTTTGCAATGTACTTACTGTTAATCAACCAATCTGACAGCAATGACCAGATTCAGACACCAAGTAGTTCAGTTCAAAATAGCTATATATAAGACAATAAACAATGTGATTCAGATACCAAGTTGTTCAAGCTGTCAAAAAGTTAATATATAAACTTAACATGATTTACCAATCTGACAATATATAAGACATTGACAACATTGACACGTCAAGATGCAGACACCAAGTTATTCCTGCTGTCATAAAGTGTCTGACTGTTAATCTAAAAGACTTACAAAGCTAACAGCACTGACAAGTCCAGGCTGAGACATCAGGTTATTCAAGCTGTCATAAAGTGTCTGACTGAATACCATCTGCATCTGATCAGCAAATGTGGACTCAGTCAAAACCTTGCTATCAATTCCACTAAAATTGAAAGAAAAAATATCTCATTACGTATTTAAATGATGCATGTTTTAACAGCAGATATAATACTAAAAACTTTGAGTATTTACTTTAAAAGGTAGTCTCACATAACATACTACATGATATTAAGGGTTTAAGTCCCTTTCTACTGAACCATGCATTATCAACATGAAATTTAAACAATTAAAATTGATTATGAAAACATATTTCTGGAAACTGTATAGAATTATTCAACAATACATCAGATACCTCTGATCCTGTGGTTAATGATCTTGTCATCTACCAGTTAAACTAGAACAGTGATTCATTAAAAATGACTCTGCTAGGTGTCTCACTTTAATATTGCCTTGGTCATGGTGTTACATTGAGATACAAAATTTGCCCTTGATTAGTTTACCTAATGACCTTTAGAATTGATACAACGACTCTATTCCACATCTGCTTATCACAGTGAATCAACATACCAAACACAAAAAAAATGTTCTCCGCTCTGGGATTTAAACTGCATTAATCCTTCACATTTGGGTATTTAGCATAATCAGCAGGCTTCATTAAAATAGCATATCTGCAGGAGCTATTGTTAAGTAAAGGATTAGAATGTAACAGTTGCATTAAATGTGCACAGCACCTGCTGATAAATAAGATCCTTGGTGGTAATTGGGTGGTCAAAGGTCATGTACTACCAGATTTATCTTCAAATAAGTCACCCTCCCAGAGTGTAAATGTCTAGTATTCAAGTTTGGGGACGGTTTATTTGTGATCTATTTTTAGCTTACTAGACATGCCTAGGTGAAGGTGGAATAAACATGCCTATGTCATATCTGTGTAGACATGCCTAGGTGAAGGTGGAATAAACATGCCTTTGTCTGTGTAGACATGCCTAGCTTGTGTTGGTGGAGACATGCATAGGCTTCGAAGGTGGAGGAGACATGCAAAAAGTTATATAGGTTTTATACAACCTAAACATGTCTCCAACTACACAAGCTAGACATGTCTCCACAGACAGTGGAGTAGGCATGCCTAGAAGTATAAGAGCAGATATGCTTTGTTTATATTGATCAAGACTTCTCTAGTTTGTTTCTGGAGTCTTACCCTTTGTATACCATGGAGTCTGACACATATTGCATCCAACCTTGAAGAATAGTATTTATTTTGTTCCACATTACCATTGGTGGGTTGTCAGAGGACAAGGCAGCTAGTACAAATACATTCTCAGGATACTGTAACATACAGATATTGTGAGATACATTTTTTTGTCAGTGTGCCATTAAGAGAATCTTATTTACCTAATCCAGACTAATCTGAAGCCTTATATAAAAATTCAGGAACATGAAGATGGCAAATAAACTATATTCAATTAAAAAAAATTTAAACTGTCTTATCTCTGATAATTTTTTAACAATAAATTCTCAGTACCCTACAAACAATATCAATCATACAATAGTTACCCAGGACTAGGTTCTCTGTACCCTACAAACAGTACCAATCATACATTACCCAGGACTAGGTTCTCTGTACCCTACAAACAGTACCAATCATACATTACCCAGGACTAGGTTCTCTGTACCCTACAAACAGTACCAATCATACATTACCCAGGACTAGGTTATCTGTACCCTACAAACAGTACCAATCATACATTACTCAGGACTAGGTTCTCTGTACCCTACAAACAGTACCAATCATACATTACCCAGGACTAGGTTCTCTGTACCCTACAAACAGTACCAATCATACATTACCCAGGACTAGGTTCTCTGTACCCTACAAACAGTACCAATCATACATTACCCAGGACTAGGTTCTCTGTACCCTACAAACAGTACCAATCATACATTACCCAGGACTAGGTTCTCTGTACCCTACAAACAGTACCAATCATACATTACCCAGGACTAGGTTCTCTGTACCCTACAAACAGTACCAATCATACATTACCCAGGACTAGGTTCTCTGTACCCTACAAACAGTACCAATCATACATTACCCAGGACTAGGTTCTCTGTACCCTACAAACAGTACCAATCATACATTACCCAGGACTAGGTTCTCTGTACCCTACAAACAGTACCAATCATACATTACCCAGGACTAGGTTCTCTGTACCCTACAAACAGTACCAATCATACATTACCCAGGACTAGGTTCTCTGTAACCTACAAACAGTACCAATCATACATTACTTAGTACCAATCATATACATACCAAGGACTAGTTGTTCTAAAGGAGAATCTGTCAAAAAAATAGGAATGATCTGATGCAAATGTAAATCTGATCAGTGAGAACTTGGTGTGATGATACTATATGTAGAGGGCGACACAAATGTAAACATTGATTAGTTTCAGTCCGTGGTCCAGTGATTTCCCAGTAAATATGCCCGTCCTCTCACTACAGTCCTGAGTGTAAAGGACCAGCAACTTATGGTGTGGATAGTTGACAGTTTTTTTACCTCTGTATGTAGCTGAAAACAAAAAATACATCAACATCAGTGTCGCCATTTCACCACCAGATACTAAGAACTTGTAGGAATATCCTTCAGTTTTACAGCTTTGAATGTTATCTACCTACAGTTCTAACTCTACAATTTTTAGCTTCTATTTACTTACTTAAATCTGACATAACAATAGGTTTTATTACAAGAGGAACATTATGATATACATAACAATAGGTTTTATTACAAGAGGAACATTATGATATACATAACAATAGGTTTTATTACAAGAGGAACATTATGATATACATAACAATAGGTTTTATTACAAGAGGAACATTATGATATACATAACAATAGGTTTTATTACAAGAGGAACATTATGATATATTTAACAATAGGTTTTATTACAAGTGGAACATTATGATATACATAACAATAGGATTTAATTACAAGAGGAACATTATGATATACATAACAATAGGTTTTATTACAAGAGGTACATTAACAACAAAAATCAACACATATCATACTAATTGACCACTTACAGTTGAAAGCAGCTTGGGAACGACAGGAGTTGTAGGAATTGTAGAATGGTGACACCAGAGGGCAGCATGAAACTTGTACATGTGGTGTGAAATCCGCCACTGTATACACATGATAGGTATCACATAGTTATTGTTTTGATGTCAATTGCTTGATAAATCAATTTTGCATGATAGTTTATTTTGCATTTACTCTTGTCCCATCTAAATCATGTATTTTAGAGCAGGTATTACATGTATACTGAACAAGTAGCAAATATCATATAGCCAGTTATTTTTGCAGGACGGTATTTTTGCTTTTTCAAGGTACACTAACTTGATAACAGAAATATAATCTGTAAAATAATGAAACGCATGTGTATAACATGTCCTTTTACACCCAGATCCTGAAATTTCATTTGTTAAAATAAAGTTCATCTGTTTTAAATGAAAATCGTGAAAATTACCATATTACGGTATTGAATTGGTTGTTCTGTACAAATATGTTTACATGTCAGCAGGTGAATAAAACTATCACCAGGTCTGGAGAGATAAGTCACTAGTTCATGGTCACCTGGCTTTAAATATCAATAGATGGAAATGTTCATCAGAACAAAGGGAGATAAGTCACAAGTTCATGGTTACCTGGATTTAAATATCAATAGATGGAAATGTTCATCAGAACAAAGGGAGATAAGTCACAAGTTCATGGTCACCTGGCTTTAAATATCAATAGATGGAAATGTTCATCAGAACAAAGGGAGATAAGTCACAAGTTCATGGTTACCTGGATTTAAATATCAATAGATGGAAATGTTCATCAGAACAAAGGGAGATAAGTCACAAGTTCATGGTTACCTAGATTTAAATATCAATAGATGGAAATGTTCATCAGAACAAAGGGAGATAAGTCACAAGTTCATGGTTACTTAGATTTAAATATCAATAGATGGAAATGTTCATCAGAACAAAGGGAGATAAGTCACAAGTTCATGGTTACTTAGATTTAAATATCAATAGATGGAAATGTTCATCAGAACAAAGGGAGATAAGTCACAAGTTCATGGTTACCTGGATTTAAATATCAATAGATGGAAATGTTCATCAGATCAAAGGGAGATAAGTCACAAGTTCATGGTTACCTAGATTTAAATATCAATAGATGGAAATGTTCATCAGATCAAAGGGAGATAAGTCACAAGTTCATGGTTACCTGGCTTTAAATATCAATAGATGGAAATGTTCATCAGATCAAAGGGAGATAAGTCACAAGTTCATGGTTACCTAGATTTAAATATCAATAGATGGAAATGTTCATCAGATCAAAGGGAGATAAGTCACAAGTTCATGGTTACCTGGCTTTAAATATCAATAGATGGAAATGTTCATCAGATCAAAGGGAGATAAGTCACTAGTTCATGGTTACCTGGATTTAAATATCAATAGATGGAAATGTTCACCAGATCAAAGGGAGATAAGTCACTAGTTCATGGTTACCTGGATTTAAATATCAATAGATGTTCACCAGATCAAAGGGAGATAAGTCACTAGTTCATGGTTACCTGGATTTAAATAATGACAAATAGACATGTTCACCAGGTCAAGGGGAGATAGAAAGGACTTTTTAATTTGATATTTAAGAAGTCTAGATTATATGATGACAAAAAAACTTTTCAACACCATTGTGATATTCCAATGAAGCTGTTAAAGTGGCATCAGTACATTTGTCCCCCTATATGGTGCCACACTGAAATTCTGAGTAGATTCAGAATACAGTATTCCTATTCCTAAAGTTTCAAAAAGACATCTCAATTCTTTTCTGCAGCATTGTTTTTTCTGGTGTATATTTTACCTTCGACATGACCAGGGAAGAATGCACAAGATGTTCCCATCATACTGAATTCTGCAGCTTTACTCATTAATCTGTAAATGCTTTTGTGTGTCAGTTGTTTACAACCATTCAGCAAAACCTGAAAATCAATACATGGACCCATTAACAGAAACCACAGAAAATCAGTCATCAGGTACATAAACCACAGTCACTAGAAACACAAGCCACAGTCACTAGTAACACAAACCACAGTCACTAGAAACACAAACCACAGTCACCAGTAACACAAACCACAGTCACTAGAAACACAAGCCACAGTCACCAGTAACACAAACCACAGTCACCAGTAACACAAACCACAGTCACCAGTAACACAATACAGTCACTAGTAACACAAATCATAGTCACTAGAAACACAAACCACAATCACCAGTAACACAAACCATAGTCACTAGTAACACAAACCACAGTCACCAGTAACACAAACCATAGTCACTAGTAACACAAACCACAGTCACTAGTAACACAAACCATAGTCACCAGTAACACAATACAGTCACCAGTAACACAAACCACAGTCACTAGTAACACAATACAGTCACTAGTAACACAAACCACAGTCACTAGTAACACAAACCACAGTCACCAGTAACACAATACAGTCACTAGTAACACAAACAACAGTCACTAGTAACACAAACCACAGTCACTAGTAACACAAACCACAGTCACTAGTAACACAAACCACAGTCACCAGTAACACAAACCATAGTCACTAGTAACACAAACCATAGTCACTAGAAACACAAGCCACAGTCACCAGTCACACAAACCATAGTCACTAGTAACACAAACCATAGTCACTAGAAACACAAGCCACAGTCACTAGTAACACAATACAGTCACTAGTAACACAAACCATAGTCACTAGAAACACAAGCCACAGTCACCAGTGATACAAACCATAGTCACTAGTAACACAAACCATAGTCACTAGAAACACAAGCCACAGTCACCAGTAACACAAACCATAGTCACTAGTAACACAAACCATAGTCACTAGTAACACAAACCATAGTCACTAGAAACACAAGCCACAGTCACCAGTACCATAAACCATAGTCACTAGTAACACAAACCATAGTCACTAGAAACACAAGTCACAGTCACCATTAACACAATACAGTCACTAGTAACACAATACAGTCACTAGTAACACAAACCACAGTCACCACAGTCATCAGTAACACAAACCACAGTCACCAGTTACACAAGCCAGTCATCAGTAACACAAATGGTAGTTCAACTTGGTTACACTGTAATCTAGTTTTCTAAACTTATGCTTCAGTCAGATTTAGTTAAGTTACACTGTAGTCCAATTTAGTTCAGTTACAACGTAGTCCATTTTATTTCATTTATGCTCCTGTCAGGTTAAGTTTAGTTACACTGTCTGTAATGAAGTTTACTTAGACTGTCTGTAATGAAGTTTAGTTTACTTACAGAAGATATAAACCCGTTTTCAGTCTCTGACAGCCATCGTATACCTTCATCTGTGATATTTCGGCACCCTGGCAAAAAAGGATATTGCATTATCATAAACATAGAAGATACCTCAAAACATGACAATAACAGGCTTAATTCAAAAACAAACTAATAATTTAAGAGGCCCAGTAGGTCTGTATCACTCACCTAGTACCTGTATTTAAAGTTACTTCAAATACAAGCATTCTCATACTTTAAGCTGAGAAAAACTTATCTCCAGCAAATAGATTATTTTCTGATGAATTCTGATTGATGAGGTTTTTAAACAGATATTTAAAATGCAATGCTACTCGTAACACTTTAAACACTCTAAAATAAACTCTATTTTTAACGTCATAACTGAAACTTTGAATATAGGTCAAGGCTATTCACAGGCTGCTTCTCAGGGAGCAGTTTAGCAAAATATCATGATACTAAACCTTTTGGTTACAACCCAGATGCTTGTATATATCATACTTAGTTTACTACACCTGATCATGGTCAAACATTCCATTGACAAGTATTAGATAACTTGACAAGTATTAGATAAGATGACAAGTATTAGAAAACATGACAAGTATTAGATAACATGACAAGTATTAGATAACATGACAAGTATTAGATAACATGACAAGTATTAGAAAACATGACAAGTATAAGATAACCTGACAAGTATTAGGTAACATGACAAGTATTAGATAACATGACAAGTATTAGATAACATGACAAGTATTAGATAATATAGATAACATGACAAGTATTAGATAACATGACAAGTATTAGATAACATGACAAGTACTAGGTAACATGACAAGTATTAGATAATATAGATAACATGACAAGTATTAGATAACATGACAAGTATTAGATAACATGACAAGTACTAGATAACATGACAAGTATTAGATAATATAGATAACATGACAAGTATTAGATAACATGACAAGTATTAGATAACATGACAAGTATTAGATAATATAGATAACATGACAAGTATTAGATAACATGACAAGTATTAGATAATATAGATAACATGACAAGTATTAGATAACATGACAAGTATTAGATAACACGACAAGTATTAGATAATATAGATAACATGACAAGTATTAGATAATATAGATAACATGACAAGTATTAGATAATATAGATAACATGACAAGTATTAGATAACATGACAAGTATTAGATAACATGACAAGTATTAGATAATATAGATAACATGACAAGTATTAGATAATATAGATAACATGACAAGTATTAGATAATATAGATAACATGACAAGTATTAGATAACATGACAAGTATTAGATAACATGACAAGTATTAGATAATATAGATAACATGACAAGTATTAGATAACATGACAAGTATTAGATAACATGACAAGTACTAGGTAACATGACAAGTATTAGATAATATAGATAACATGACAAGTATTAGATAACATGACAAGTATTAGATAACATGACAAGTACTAGGTAACATGACAAGTATTAGATAATATAGATAACATGACAAGTATTAGATAACATGACAAGTATTAGATAACATGACAAGTACTAGGTAACATGACAAGTATTAGATAATATAGATAACATGACAAGTATTAGATAACATGACAAGTATTAGATAACATGACAAGTATTAGATAACACGACAAGTATTAGATAATATAGATAACATGACAAGTATTAGATAATATAGATAACATGACAAGTATTAGATAATATAGATAACATGACAAGTATTAGATAATATAGATAACATGACAAGTATTAGATAACATGACAAGTATTAGATAACATGACAAGTATTAGATAATATAGATAACATGACAAGTATTAGATAACATGACAAGTATTAGATAATATAGATAACATGACAAGTATTAGATAACATGACAAGTATTAGATAACATGACAAGTATTAGATAACATGACAAGTATTAGATAATATAGATAACATGACAAGTATTAGATAACATGACAAGTATTAGATAATATAGATAACATGACAAGTATTAGATAACATGACAAGTATTAGATAACATGACAAGTATTAGATAACATGACAAGTATTAGATAATATAGATAACATGACAAGTATTAGATAACATGACAAGTATTAGATAATATAGATAACATGACAAGTATTAGATAATATAGATAACATGACAAGTATTAGATAATATAGATAACATGACAAGTATTAGATAACATGACAAGTATTAGATAACATGACAAGTACTAGATAACACGACAAGTATTAGATAAGATGACAAGATGACAAGTATTAGATAACATGACAAGTATTAGATAACATGACAAGTATTAGATAATATAGATAACATGACAAGTATTAGATAACATGACAAGTATTAGATAACATGACAAGTACTAGATAACACGACAAGTATTAGATAAGATGACAAGATGACAAGTATTAGATAAGATGACAAGTATTAGAAAACATGACAAGTATTATATAACATGACAAGTATTAGATAAGATGACAAGTATTAGAAAACATGACAAGTATTGATAAGATGACAAGTATTAGAAAACATGACAAGTATTAGATAACATGACAAGTATTAGATAACATGACAAGTACTAGGTAACATGACAAGTATTAGATAATATAGATAACATGACAAGTATTAGATAACATGACAAGTATTAGATAACATGACAAGTACTAGGTAACATGACAAGTATTAGATAATATAGATAACATGACAAGTATTAGATAACATGACAAGTATTAGATAACATGACAAGTACTAGGTAACATGACAAGTATTAGATAATATAGATAACATGACAAGTATTAGATAACATGACAAGTATTAGATAACATGACAAGTATTAGATAACACGACAAGTATTAGATAATATAGATAACATGACAAGTATTAGATAATATAGATAACATGACAAGTATTAGATAATATAGATAACATGACAAGTATTAGATAATATAGATAACATGACAAGTATTAGATAACATGACAAGTATTAGATAACATGACAAGTATTAGATAACATGACAAGTATTAGATAATATAGATAACATGACAAGTATTAGATAACATGACAAGTATTAGATAATATAGATAACATGACAAGTATTAGATAACATGACAAGTATTAGATAACATGACAAGTATTAGATAACATGACAAGTATTAGATAATATAGATAACATGACAAGTATTAGATAACATGACAAGTATTAGATAATATAGATAACATGACAAGTATTAGATAATATAGATAACATGACAAGTATTAGATAATATAGATAACATGACAAGTATTAGATAACATGACAAGTATTAGATAACATGACAAGTACTAGATAACACGACAAGTATTAGATAAGATGACAAGATGACAAGTATTAGATAACATGACAAGTATTAGATAACATGACAAGTATTAGATAATATAGATAACATGACAAGTATTAGATAACATGACAAGTATTAGATAACATGACAAGTACTAGATAACACGACAAGTATTAGATAAGATGACAAGATGACAAGTATTAGATAAGATGACAAGTATTAGAAAACATGACAAGTATTATATAACATGACAAGTATTAGATAAGATGACAAGTATTAGAAAACATGACAAGTATTGATAAGATGACAAGTATTAGAAAACATGACAAGTATTAGATAACATGACAAGTATTAGATAACATGACAAGTATTAGAAAACATGACAAGTATTATATAACATGACAAGTATTAGATAAGATGACAAGTATTAGAAAACATGACAAGTATTGATAAGATGACAAGTATTAGAAAACATGACAAGTATTAGAAAACATGACAAGTATTAGATAACATGACAAGTATTAGATAACATGACAAGTATTAGATAACATGACAAGTATTAGATAACATGACAAGTATTAGATAACATGACAAGTATTAGATAAGATGACAAGTATTAGATAACCTGACAAGTATTAGATAACATGACAAGTATTAGATAACATGACAAGTATTAGATAAGATGACAAGTATTAGATAACATGACAAGTATTAGATAACATGACAAGTATTAGATAACATGACCCCAGTTCATGTTGTTTTTGGGTTGATTGAGAGTCATTATTTATTGACCTCCAGGATTGAGGGTCTGGAGTCCCTACTACCTAATCATTATTTATTGACCTCCAGCATTGAGGGTCTGGAGTCCCTACTACCTAATCATTATTTATTGACCTCCAGGATTGAGGGTCTGGAGTCCCTACTACCTAATCATTATTTATTGACCTCCAGCATTGAGGGTCTGGAGTCCCTACTACCTAATCATTATTTATTGACCTCCAGGATTGAGGGTCTGGAGTCCCTACTACCTAATCATTATTTATTGACCTCCAGGATTGAGGGTCTGAAGTCCCTACCACCTAATCATTATTAAATAGGTATGTAATGTTTTTCTCTGCTTCACCTACTGACCAGAAAGATTGAGAACTTCAACTGAGTTCAAAGCCATGTCCTTCTCATTAAGTTTTAGCATCAAGAAGAATATATCTGTTATCTGGTCTACACAAGAAAAGTCAATTTCCACCACTTCATTCCAGCTTTCCTTCTGTAGATGTTTCTGAAAAAATAAACATCATTATTTCTAATAGAACAAAATATCCATTCAACTGCTAAATGGTTTAAAGAACAAAATCAACTCCCCTTTCACACAAGAATGCTTTAGACCAAATTTAAGTAAAACACAACCATTCCTACAGGAGGTATAGGATTTTAAGAATTTGTCCTATTTTGCACATTGGCCCGGGTGACTCCCACCCCAGGGGGCTTAGACCCGCCATTTATACAAAATTCATTTCTTTTCACCCAAGAATGCTTCAGACTAAATTTGGGCCTTTCAGACAACATGTGCTAAAAACTACAATAAATGATGTGGATTGGCTCATTACCAATCAATGATTATTGATAGATAAATATGGTGCCTTATGGTTCACAATATTTCAAATCACCAAACATCACAACTGATACTTACTAATCAAATTTCAATGATTTTATAAAGAATTTTCAACATTTACATCAACCACTCACAAGAATTGATATCACATCCAGACAATCTCCATCCTCAAGGTCTGTTCTGTCCAGCTGATCTGAAAGCAAGAATACAACAGCTATAATTATTAGTAATCTAAAGTAAATATGTGAGCTTGAAAGGTAACCAAATTATTATGGAATAAATGTGTATTTAGTATACATACACCATTATAATGGAATTTAGTTCATTTTGATGAAATACAGGTGTACACACTTCATTATGATGGAACACAGGTGTACACACATCATTATGATGGAACACAGGTGTACACACATCATTATGATGGAACACAGGTGTACACACATAATCATGATGGAACACAGGTGTACACACATAATTATGATAGAATACAGGTGTACACACATCATTACGATGAAATACAGGTGTACACACATCATTACGATGGAATACAGGTGTACACACATCATAATGATGGAATACAGGTGTATACACATCATAAGAATGGAATACAGGTGTACACAAATCATTACAATGGAATACAGGTGTATACACATCATAAGAATGGAATACAGGTGTACACACATAATCATGATGGAATACAGGTGTACACAAATCATTTCAATGGAATACAGGTGTATACACATCATAAGAATGGAATACAGGTGTACACACATCATTATGATGGAATACAGGTGTATACACATCATAAGGATGGCATACAGGTGAACATACATCATAAGGTTGGCATACAGGTGTATACACATCATAAGAATGGAATACAGGTGTACACACATTATTACGATGGAATACAGGTGTATACACATCATAAGGATGGCATACAGGTGAACATACATCATAAGGTTGGCATACAGGTGTATACACATCATAAGAATGGAATACAGGTGTACACACATTATTACGATGGAATACAGGTGTATACACATAATTAAGATGGAATACAGGTGTACACACATCATTAAGATGGAATACAGGTGTATACACATCATAAGAATGGAATACAGGTCTACACACACCATTATGATGGAATACAGGTGTACACAAATCATTACGATGGAATACAGGTGTGTACACATCATAAGAATGGAATACAGGTGTACACACATTATTATGATGGTACATCATGCTGGTACATATGTTCATCTTGACTTGCTTCACTACAAATTGATAGGATGCTATATGCTCTTGTTGTCATGTGGTTAACATATTGTTCATTGGATTTTCTGGCAATATTCTGATGACTGATGGAGATATTTTGTTTTATCAGTCGACTAAAGTAGATATGAATATCATTTTAACTCTTTCATGGTAACTCATATTGTGATCTGTTCACACATAAATGGTACTATTTTCTTTTAAGTAGGTAAAGCTAGTAGTTACTTGATCATTTGCTATCTTAAAGTCACCAATTAAAGTAAACATGCTAGCTTTAATTTACTTCATATCACCATATTTTACAAATTCAAACTGGTTGTTGCCAGGAATTTCATAACAAAAGTTCTAAATATCTATAAGTATGTATAGATCATTAATAAAAAATGTGATCTGACTGCTTAAATGGAAGCGAAAAAAATCACACACAATCTATACTAGTGTGATCCACTCACCTATCAGGACAACCTGATAACGGCCATTACATGACCTGCTCAAATCATGAAATATGCTAGAATCACCAGACTTTTATTCAAACATAACAAAGAACATCATTTAAATACATCAAGATGTGATAATTATTCAATAGAATTGATCATAAGGTCTTTTAACCTAATGACGCTAGAAACACCCAGTCAGTCTTGATTTTGAAAGCCGTGACATGAGGTTAGTGACACTGCTAGACAAGGAATTATGTAATTAAGTAAGAGTATATTTTTTGTTTATTATTTATAGCCGAGATCATAATACTTTTGGTGTACAAATTAAATAAGTCTCTTATTTAGTATTTCCAAATTGATTAGGCTTCAAAATACAACTATAGCCAATAAGTGGACTATTTTGCAATACCTGACATCGAGATAAAAACATGTCATCATTTGGCTCATATTAACTTTATTTTCCATTATATATGTGATATATATATTTTTTTGTTTTTGTTTTTCTACATAGTAAAGGTCACATCCAAAGTGCAACAGATATACTTACGTCTTGTTTTAGGTTGAGTGCGTTTCAGTTTGCTCCTCATACTAAGCAATGCTTGTACACTAATTGTCTCCTCCGATGTTGACAAGTTTGTCTGTGAAACCTGCTCAGATGATGGGTGTGATTCCACAGTTGGCAGCAGAGGGGGTGGAGGAGGGGCAGGTGGAGGGGCAGGGGAAGGAGGGGTTGATGAGGCACCATCTGAAATAAACCAAAATTTGACAATTAAATGAGCTCCTGAGTTAACTACTGGTTTAATGTTTCTGTGTTCATTATTTACTGGTTCTAGTAGAATGATATGGTTATGTCTGTGCCAGAACTTAAGAAAATGTGAAAAATAAAATCAAAATAAAAGAGTGTATCATAATTAAGTCCAAATTCAATAGAGTTTCTTATACGCATACCTGCTTCATTTGTCTGTTTCAAGTCTGTGTGATGACTCCGACGAGCAGTCTGTTTTGTCCTTGCCATGATGATATTTTCTGTGAAAGATAAAAGTTTAACATCATTTATTACTTCTGTAATGTTGAATTAGACTTTCCATGTGTCATGTTTAGAACCTGATATTACCTAATGATAAAAAGCAAGGTTGGCTATATCAAATAACCCACAGTGTACCTTCCTACACATATGAAATATTTATATAAAATGTTACCTGAGGACCATAATGTCAGTGTACACAAATAAATTGGGATAATCTTAAATGGATCCAATTTTTCAAGAAATTATCACACACAATCTTGGCAACTGCACGCAAGATATGGCAGATTTATGTGACAATAAACAACACAGAGTAGATGCTCACAGGCAATATTCAGACAATTTAAGGTGAATATTGTGGAAGTGGTACTCGGTGCACATAACAAAGGTGCATAACTCTGCATACAAAGGATCAAGAAAGGGTTTAAACACTGGATCCTCTGAACTCTAGACAGACAGTTCTCCACCAATGGAGCTACCTGGAAGCTGACAATAGACCCAGTCCAGTTCAACTAAATTACTCTCTCATTTATCGAACTCGTTGTCTCAGTTTGAGTATACCCTTGTCAAGCACTGCTTGAAACAAGGGTTGGTCATGATTTAAAATACCACATGCAAATGCGTGGCCAGATTGGGGTCCAAACCAGGACCCTCCAAACTCTAGACAGACACACTACCAATTTAGTTATATTGTTGCAGATGATCGACTCGGTCTAGGTCCACTACCTGCAGTACATTACAAATTGTGACACTCAAAGCAATTTCTGACAAGTTTAGGTGATATTATATGAGATTAGAAAGATGTGTCCTGGAAACAGCTAACTGCATATAGATTCAGTTCGTTTTAAGTAACTGAAGGTAGAAAATGAAAACAAACAAAAACAAAATAAATATTTTCCATACTGTAAGGTCTATTAATCACTGTTCGGTTATTTCCCTCAGCTAGTGATGCTTACATTGTTAAATAGTGTTTATCATCCTATCGACCTATATTTTTACAATTTACACGTAAATTGTAAAAAAAAAAATATAGGTCGATGTTTGTCTGTTTCCATGTTTTAGCTGATAGATGTTATTTATCATCGTAAACATATTTCTTAGTAATCAACATGTTTAGTTCACCGCCTACAAGTGTTGTAACTAACTTTGCATTTTAGTCTTACTTTCGTTTCTCGTCATTAAAACCTTATGCTGGATACTGAATGATAGTAATAAGGTTTAATTGTCTGACAACTTATTCATGTGTCGATATGTAAGATTGCTAAAATGGCAAGAGGATTTATCATCCCTGTCTGGATCAACCTGCTTTACTTACATGAGAGCTAGAGCTGCTGATTATCGTAGCTAAGACGCCATTGATGTAAATAGTCTGAAGAATCCATACGAGTTAACTCCCCTCGTACAAACATTTTTTTTATTTTTATTATTTATTATTATGATCTTTATTTTAAGAATTTAAGAATATTAAAAAAAAAAAGAAGACCACAACGTGAACAGGTAAAGAAATTATCTATTAAAAAGTATACACACGCTCTTCCTTTTCAGAAATCCTAATTATATGTTTATGTATAGATGCACTTACTAGATATATTCAAATATGCTTTTAACATTTTAAAAGGACTCCACGGGAAATAAGTCCATTTAAGGCTTTTATTGATAAACCTTCGTAAATGGCACATACCACTGCGTAAATCAAGGGATTGATATATATATACTGCCTTGTCACCTGTCTAATTTCTTATAGTATTTACGGTTACCTGCTATTTTTACAATGCGCTCTCTCTCTCTCTCTCTCTCTCACCTATAGTTTTATTTAGCCGTTCATCATTTCCCTGACTGATAATGAATATTTTGATTGACTAAAGCATTTTTCGACTTGGTTATTTCTGTGGATACTTTACAGATTTTTTTTAACCTTTCCGTGATTGATATACCCTTCACGTTGATCCAATGTTAGACAATCCTCGATTAAAATCTTATCTTTATGGACAAAACACCTTAGCCCCCGAGGACAATAAAGTATAACTACCAACACTATCATTTCTCCTCAGAAGCCATGGCACTAATTTTTAGCGGAGGTCCATTACCGACCCGGTTGAACCCACATTTTATACACCCTCTAAGCTGAATTGTTGGATTATAATTAACTCATTACTATTACATTGATCAATGGCAACAGCTCATCCTCCATGTAACCTTAGTAAAATACCAGCCGTATTATACCGCTTGGCTAGAGAAAACTTCTCTTTAGTTTCAGTCGGTAACGCGGCGAACTAGTAAGCCAGGGGTTCCATGTTCGAATCCTAGCGGATGCATTGAAATAATGACCTCGGTTACATTGACGCCAAATCGTACTTAATCATACTCAACCATCATCGCTGTAACCCCTGGAAACTCGAGGACGAGTTATTCCCTGGAGGAGAAGTAAAAAGTGAGAAGAGAGAAATTCTCTTTAGCTACATCGGTTTAGCGACAGACCAGTAAGCCAAGGGTCCCGGATTCGAATCCTATGTGATGCATATATGCCTGGGGTCTCGGGTTTGAATCCTAGGTGAGGCCTATATAATTATCTCTGTTACATCCATCTCACTTTGACGGACTTCCAAAATACTATCGGAATTTAATCATGTAGAACCCCCTTCCTTTTCCTCTGTGTCCATAAAGCGATCATCTTACTGCGACGTGCTTAGTGTTAGGTTAGGTCTAAAATTAGGCCAGGGGTTGCCTTCTAAATTATAGTTTTAGAACAGTTCATAGACGGACCATCTCTATCTCCTCTCTGTATCCCACTCTCTACCATCGCTTCCTATTTTACCCTCAATTTCCTATCTTTTCTCGTACGCTGAAAGGCCGAAAGGCCGTAAGAGTGGACGTGAAATAAATAATATCCATCTCACATAACACGACAGTTCTGAACAAGTCAGACTTAGTGATTCCCTAAAGTATTGAGCTTCACAAGATTACTTCGGGTACCATACAAATTTATGTACAAAGTGGAATCTATTGCAAATTTTGATATGACAGATGAATTTGTTCACACATTTTTTTTTTTTTTTTTGGCGGGGGGGGGGGGGGGGGGGGATACATGTCAGCAGCGCGCATATCTATAAATAGATCACTACAAGGCGTGCCAGGTTCAGCAATATTTTTGAAGAGGTACGGGTACCGAAAATGGAACATCTCATATAACTAGCTCATTTATAAAAATGATATTAGGAATATTAGTGTTGTCGCATGGCGTATCCCTCCTCCTCCCCCCAACCCCACATCATCCCTCTTCTTTTTTTACAATTTCATTTTTTTATTATTTTAATTTTTTTCATAAATTCAATTTTTTATTTTAAGTAGAAATGATAATCAACAAAGAAGACATATGCTGCTAAAAATAACCCGAATTATTTATCAATACATCATATTTTTGTTAATTATAGATAATATACATCTGTCTCGCGGAAAAATACATTTCAAAGCGGGTAAGACCAATTTCATTGGGATTTTTTTTTTTCTCGTAGAAGGAAAATAATTAAACTTGAGAAAAACGTACAAATAGTGATAAAGAAATGTTGAACAGTATGCGCTTTCAAAAGTTTGATTTCGGGGGGGACTTCCATCTCGATATGATGGAGGACTTTTCATTGAACTAGAATGAATTCTGTTGCAATTAGGTTAGGTCTCGACTTACTTGTTTTCAGTAAGTATAACTTTTCATTGTTAACAAAGTAATCAATGTACTTTGCTTGGTTGATGTTGATGTATTTGTTGAAATAGACTATACTGAGTAAAACTCCAACCAATGAGAATCATCGAAACACGTGATCGTTTGAAGCTAACCAACCAACGAGAAGCCCGCCAAGCGTCGTCTTTCGCGTCCATTGCAGGAAGAGGATTTCGAATTGTAAGTAAAAATGGGTCATAGTACTCTTATTTTTTCGTACTGTTTACGCATGTATGTAATTTTAACAAATGAAGTTAAAACAAGATGTAAACACCTTTCATTAACAGTTACATCAGATCGCATTGCTCTTAACGGGAATTTTTTGTGATCCGGTTATCGCTCATATCGAAACGAAAACAAAACAGCGATTGTCCTCGTAGTCATTACGCTGTATTAACTTTTACATGGCACGTAGTGATTAAGTCAGATACCATTAATTTGCTTTGTCATGTGTTATACCGAAGATCAAACTCGTCTTCTTGTTATTAGGAATGTGTTATAAATGTGTAGACTGTAATGTTAGTTTTCCCCTTCCACGTGCCATTGTTTACATCAACACGGATGAAAAACTCTTAGGAGTTTCGAGGGCAAGCAAGCTGACTGGTTGTAATTTTACTGCAAATATCTTGGACTAAAACACTACAACATCACTGTTATTGTGTTAGAAAACACAGATTATTTAACTTTTAACCAATTTGTTTTTATCGGTAACAAATATGTTGGAAATTACGGTCGCAGTTCGTGTTGTGTATTGAATGCCAGACGAGACTTTATTCAGCAGGTCTAACTGAAGCTTTAGGCTAGATTTATTTGTTTCATATGGAAAGTTTTAGTGACTTATTTCTTGCTATTGTGACCATTCAATGTTCGAGTGAAATTAATTTTGCACCATTTTAAAGTATAGTTTTATCAATTTAAAAGCAATGTGTAAGATGAAATGTATTTAGTAAAGTTACTATCGAGGACAATTGGCTTTTGGGAAATTAATGTTTTCTATGTAGTTTGAAAATAAAGGAACTTTTAGACAATATGAATTACATTAACCAGGTAGTGAAATATTGATTGAGGATAGAAGATGGAAGCTGTATTTACTACATGTTTTGTAATGATCATGTTTCTACTGCTTCCAGTTTGCAATACTTTATTGAGCATTACAACATATACACTAGTGTAGCAGTATTGACCTCATCAAAGGTTTGTTATTAATATATATATATATATATTGGATAGTATATTTAATGTATACACATCACACAGAATGTAGTTGATACACCTTTGTTATTGTACAGTTAAATACTACAATATTGATAGCCTCTTTTGTATTGGCATTCAGAGAATAAGTTTACAAATGAAACATTCTTTTCCTTTGTTCATAGCAATTCTGCTGTGTCAGTCAAGTTTGAAATTCTTCAAGTCAAGCATTCCTCGTTAATACCCTTAGCAATTGAGAAGTATGTAGTAACAGATACGAGGTATTATAACCATGCAAGCATGGATGATGATACTTCCCACAATTATATCAGGTGTTCATCATCGAGTATTAATAAGTAAAACACACTATCCTTATCACCATTGATCGAGATATGGAGTTACCCATTCAGAATACAGTCTGTGGTTATATACCGGAAAAGGACATAAAATGAAAGACTGACAAGTTATTGAAATTGGCTTTAATACTGTATGTACAAATTTAGTCACAATGGCAGGGTTCAGCGAATTGATATGTGTGTATTTTTCTTGCAATGATATGTGTTCCTATATTGGTTGTGTATATATTTATAAGAACACCTTTACCTGTAGCTTTAGGTTTTATGTCATTGTGATATCCACATGATTTATTTTGTGTCAAAATTCAGCTGCTTTAGAGAAGAGGATGTGTTAGCAATTACCTCTCTCACTGTACATGTTTACAGGGTGTGTATGATTTTGTGTGCTATACAGTAACTTTAATATTGTTTGTAGGTGTGGATACAACAGAATCCTTTACACCTTGGAGAGACATTGTTACTAAATCAATTTAGTACACTTACCAGATGAGAAATAGGTCAAAGCACCCTTCTTTTTTTTTTTTACACCTGATTGTAATTGGAAGAATGACACCCCTTCTTGGTTACTTACTGTTAATCTTGTGTAGAGATCTACTCACTCAGTTTTCAACACATTTCTTTTAAATTTTATTGGCTTAATAACCATGACATAAAGTTGTACTTTTGTAAACAGCAGTTTGACTCAACTGTGTTTTGAAGAGTATCTGAACTTTTTTCAGAATGTTAATCATGTTTTAAGATATTTCTTTTTGACCCATTTCTTTCAAACGTAATAAAATGAATCACCATGACATGGAAATTACAGATTTGATATGAAATGGTGTTTTCCTTTCTGGCATTGTGGCATTTAATATTTATATCTTGTCCAGATATTTCTTATTGCATATTTTAACCAATTTCATTGAAACTTAAGCTTAAGCAACAGGAAATTGTGTTCTTTTGAAAAGTTATTGTCTTTTGTTCTTTGCAGCATTTTCATTTTGTTCAGAGATTTCTTTCAGTTTTCCAACTATCTCTTTAATACTTGGTATGCTTTGATCTGTCATTGAAATATAGAGCACTGCGTTCCCTTATGATATTTTGATTAATTATTACAATGGCCTTATTTGTATTCATTTAGATATAACAAATCCTGAATATTTCTTTTGCACAGGACAAGTGTATTTGTTCTGTCCTGTGGAACTCATGTTACCATTGATTTTCATAGATAAAAGTTTACCAGCTTGCTTTTGCATATCTACCATACCATGTGCCTGATAGTGGCCAGTAGGGATAAGGTGTCAATGGTTTACTTTGTAGTGAGTATGTTATATATAGGTAACAAATCATGATTTGTGTAACAATGCTTGAAATTTAACCAAAAGAGAGATTATTTAATGTTATACCCCTGATAAACTTTCAATTTTTGTAAAGTGTGCTTCTTTGTAACTAAAATATGTTTCTAGCAGGGGTAACTCCACACACAACCTGATCCACACACAGATGTACAACAAATTTGAGGGAAGATTTTTACTGGAATTGATAACACAAAATCAATGACTGAAATCCCCACAGTGTCAAGCTTTTTTTCTCTCTTGAAGACAGTAGCCATAGCATGGGAATTTTTCCAGTATTTGCCTATCAGTGAATCTATTGAGGTTTAATATAACATCTCAAATTTCAACATTTCAGGATATTAAGCGTGAATAGAAAAGACTAAATCATGGCTTCAGTAAAGGTAAGCAAACAGCCACTCATAACTTTATTTGAATTTAGTTCTACTGTAACTGATTATGAGTTGTAAAGCTACATATGTTGATCTATAAATGTAAATATCTGTGATAAAATGAGTCACATGACCCGTAGTATATCAATTACTCAGTAAGGAAAGGTATGGTGAGACCAGGAGAGTATGATGTTTACATAAACCCTAGTTTATGGGTGTACCCTGGTTTGAGCAGTATCAACTTTACCCCTTTTCTCCTGAAAAAGAGCTGGAACAATATAGTGTCAGGTAAAGTTGTTGCTTATACAGAACAATATACAGATGTCATTAGACTGGGTAGGAAAGACCTGTAGGTAATATAGGGTCATTTGTCACGCCTGCATTGACCTTGACTGGCAGGTTAATTTCTACTTCATTAGGAGGGTTGCCTGGAGGTCTTATAGTAAGGAAGTGTGGCTCTGGCTGACCCTATTCTTTACTGGCCGTGGTCAGGTTGATTGATGGCTACATTTGTATGTAGTAATGTTGACTGATTTGTGTCATATAAACAATTATAAGTATCATATTTACATTTATGTTTGCTATTTATGCTAAACATCTCCTAGTCTCGCCTTGAATTTATTATCAATGTATGAATAAAGCTTAACTCTTCTCATATGCTGCTTAAGTACAACCCCTAACCCCTCCTCATTTTTTTTAATTTGTAACTTCATTGTATTTTTCAATAAATCATGAAGAAATTTAACTATTGGTATTGGACATGACAATAGCATGCTTTGTTTTATGTAGGTAGATATTACTTGCTTATTTGAATTATTCCCATGTTATTTGGTTATCACAAGTTGCACCAGTAGAATCTGTTTACAAGCTTCAATTAAGCAAGGACTTCTCAGATTACTGATGTTAAGTGTTCATGTGTGATTATACATTCCACCACTTTCTGATCTGGTTTTCCTTCCTTAAGAGTTAGGCAGTCCAATATGGTTGATAGCATTACATCAGCTGGAAAAGAATGGAATGGTGGTTTGATTCAATATCATCATGGTTCAATAAAAATGTATGCATGAATTTGTTATTTCTATGTTGTTCATGTTCAGATAAAATTGTATATCTACTGATAAAATTGAATTGGTAACCAAGGTACATTTCTCCAAATTTTCTTTAAATATTTTCATCTTTTCACAAGTTGCAAGTAAGCTTTGATCAGCTCACATGTGCATACTTTATAGGTCATGTACATGTGAGATCTACCTAACCTGTAAGTAATCTTGTTGTCAACCACCCCATTTTGGGGGGGGGGGGGGGATAAAAAAAATGTATGCTTCCATGGTATGAACCTATTTTAACCACACTAACAATTTCATTCAGTTCTGATGCATATTGTTCTTGGTTAAAGGTCAGTGACTGCAGGGCTAGGTAAACTGAATCATTGGAGAAAAGAGATTGATCTGAGATTACAGGTGTCAAGTGTCATTTACTTGTGATCTTATTGTGACCTTAAGCATTCTGTGTGGCTAGCGTCATTGCTAGTATCAATACAGAACTCTTTAAGGCTAACAATTATATTTGTCTGTGGCAGTCCACTGCTTAGTAACTTCAGTTCAGGCACATGGATATTACAGACCATTCAATTATAGAGCTTTGTATAAGCTACCATTCCATCAGCTGGACTACATTGGAAGTGATAAAAGCTAGTGAAGCTGGGCTGGTCATGTATACCTGTGAGCTTGAAGCTTGTCAGAAAGCGAATAGACTGACAGTATAGCAGTGTATTTGTTTAAATAAAGTTGACAGGAAATGGCACTCAAACCACTTATAAAAATATCCAGTTTTGAAATTGTATCCTGTGTTGCATACGTTAATGTATTTTTTCCTTGTATATATCTCTATCTGTTTATGTAGCATAGATGCATGTTTGAAAATATAACAGAATAAAACAAAATAATATCTAGATTATTTGCTTAACTGGTGTTAGTTATTGGTAATATAGCAGCTAATGACTTGAATTAAAGTCTAAAGATTTAAGATGTTTTTGGAATTTAACAAAATGAAGCAGTTTGTAAGTTATGAGGACATTCTCCTAAATTTCATTCTTATTGGACACGTACACTCAGTAGTTCTAAAAATTGAGGTCGAAGGTAAAGGTCACCATTACTATAAATAGAAATTGGAATATAAAGCGCAAAAATATATATCTAAATATTACTGGTAAAAGTTTACTTATTCTGTAATGAAGCATAATTGATTACAAACAATTAAAAGCTTAGGTCAATAGTCAAGGCCAAATTTGACACATCTTACTGGCTAATGTCTTCTACAGAGCTTTAGGTAGCAAAGTTCACCAAAGTTAAATGAGAAGTTGCCAGACTGCAGGTCAAGGTCACTAAGTCAAAATTTGCAAATAGCACAGGAAAATATTTTGTTACAAAGTTGAGAGGAAAATTTACTTGAATTAAATGAGAAGTCATGCAACTACATGTCAAGCTCACAGGGTCATTTTTTTGTGGTAAATGTTTTGTTATAACATCATGAAATAAAGTTGATAACCAGTACAAAATAAATGCTTTGTCAAAGTTCAAGACCAGTGGTTCAAAGTAAAGGTTAGATTTAAATACTTTTACTGTTTTATTTTTTTTTTAACTTTATCAATCTCATAACAATTTCTTTCGAATAACTTGCTTTATTTCTATAACTTCTGCAATTAGTTTGCTTTTGATCAAAATGTGTCATTATTTGCCAACGTTACCAGACTTTAGACAGTATAAACTTACAGTTACATTACAGCAACGATCACACCATCTTTAGATATTCTTGTGCCAAAAATTTTGCCAAATACTTTTCGATAAATCATAAATTTAGGAGCCAAAGATATGTAATTGGGTAAAAAGCCCATGCTTAAATAATAGAGCTAATTGTTTTAATGTGGTAAGATATTTATATGATCTGTTATAAGGAAATCACCCTCAGTTGCAGTACTTTTGTTGTAATAACTTATTAAATAATGTCATAGAAATGTATGTAGCTTAAGGAAAAACATACCTGGTAGAATCGTCATGTACACATACTTCATATTTTGTGAAATAATTCTGAATTGAAAATTTTGTAACCAAACTAATTGAAACCTGATCATGACCCTAGAATATGTTTTGATGGAAATAAGAACAGTAGTATGGTGATTACACTATGATTAGGGAGTTAATCACAAAAATTTACCTGTATCTTTTTGTAATATATATCTTAAAACTAAGATACAAATTGCTCAATTAATTTCATTACCTTTCAAAAAATGTATTTATTACTTGACTATTGCACAAACTTAGATAAATGTAGCATTCATGGTATTGTATGTTTTGTATTGATGTATGGGAAAATACAATAAAGTTCGATACTTTCTGCATGAAATGTTGAAGAGGAGTTATTAATTTTCCTTGTCATAATTTTATCTAAATTGTGCAGAATTAATTTGTTTTATTTCAACTAAAATGAAGGCCAAAATGTTACCTGAATTTTGGTACGTATCCATTTTGGTATCACATTACTAGTCCCATTTACTAACTCCATGGGAGTCAATCTTTATGAATTTGGTGGAGATAGAGGGAAAATATCTATTAAATGACTGTATAAGAACTTTTAATCAAATTCTCAAGTAAGTGTTACTTCTTACTTCAATTGCAGTGGTGCTGTATTTGACCCTGTTTCCATTTCTGCTCTATAGTTGTAAAGCAACTCTTGACTCTTTAATATCTTGTCAACTGTGTTCTTACAGTTTGGTGCCTTGACTAGACTATCTTTTCTGGAAGACTACATATTCTCCACACTCTCAAAGAGAAAAAAAAGTTGTCTTATTTTTGTTTTTGTCCTCTGTGGAAACATTTTCTTGATGTTTCCTCTAGAATTTTTCTTTGAGTTTGCTATGGAGCTGTACTTGGCTGTGACACTGTTCCAATGTTTGAGGATATTATTAATGTCTGTCATATACACCATTTACAATCTTATAGATTTCAATCATATCCTGTCTGAAGTGAAGGTAAACTAGTGTGAGTGACCCTTAACATCCTCAGTCTTTCATCATATATGAGATCCTTCATCCATGAGATTTGCTAAGTAGCCCTTCTCTGCACTCCCTCCAGCTTTTCAATGACCAAACACAGCTAGTCAAATCTAGATGAGTGCAAACTAAGGTTATGTGTTATGGCAGTAGTGACTTTTCATCCATGTAGTTGAAGGTCCTCTGAAGGATTGCAAATATGGAGTTTGCTTTCTTGTCTTTCTCACTTATGGTCTTGAAAGGTGAGGTTAGAATCCATCAGTACGAAATTATCCTTTTCACTTTCTGTATGGGTGAGCACTTGGTTATTGATAGAGTATGTTGCTGTTCCTTCTGTTCATTTGTCAATGTGCATATATTTACATTTTTAAGGATGTTCTTCTAGGGGCCAGATAGATAATTTTGTTTTTGTAAGTAACTTCAAATAAGAAAAAATAAAAATTTCAAATCCATTCAATTTCATAAAATTTGGTATAATGTATATAATATAGATTTCAGATCAGTTCAATATTGTTCAAAATTTGTGGAGATTTTCCAGAGTTTACGCATTTAGAGACTGTAATATTCATAATATAGATACTTGTTTCCATCAAATAACTTTCTTTTTTTATGTCTGATTTGAACTAAACTTGAAAGAGTTCAATAATGGTCAAAATCCATGAATGTTTGCCAGAGTTACTAGACATAAAATTCCTGATTTAGACATTTTTTTTTGTTGCATTCAGTATTGGTCAAAATCTGTCATCATTAGCCAGAGTTACAGGACTTCAAAATAGGCCAAATAGAATATTTCTGTGTTACTATCCGACATCTTTATTTTTTCAAACTGAACCTTTGTGAAGATTTGCTAGAGTTAACAGGGTTTTGAAAATAGATGATTTGTTTGTTTCAGTCAAATAGCTTTAATTTTGACTTCTAGACTCGAAGCAAATTTTGTGTTGCTTTATGTTTGAGATCTCAAATGAGTATGCCCCCATAGCCTTTAAGAAAGGCTTTCCCTGGTTGATATATTGTCATTCAAACACATCTTAATATTTTGCAAATTGATTCATATTTTGGAAATAAAGAAATGCACCCGATTTATCTTTTTCTGATGAAGGATAACTTATTATTTACAGAGGTTTGGTTTCCTGAGGTTTGTTCAGATCCTTTTAGAATAGATTCCACAATGATGTTTAAAAATGTTATGCTCATTTATTTATTTTTTTAGAATGGATAAAAATATAAGACATTATTAACATAAATGGCAAATTATGAGTTTTTGGTTGTAGTTCAGTATTTGTATTTGTTTATAAGTTAATAGGAACCTCACTTGATACTAAAGACTGTTATTTTTCCATGTTTGTAAATATAACTTTTTAGAGGGGTTAAACGTATGTGATTCCAAGTAATAATAATTGGATGATATATTTATAGTTGTAAATCTAGGTCCTACATATTATCAGTTTGGTTTGACCATTCAAACAGACCAACATTGTAAGGAGTTTGTTTCATGCACATGTTCACTAATCAGGCCCAGCTGTAAACTTGAGAAGACTAGAGGGCACATGTTTCTCTATATTTGTGTTAGTGTAATTGATATCTTGTAGACATTTGATACCAGTAATTGTAGAAAAAGTGATATACATGCACACAGTTTAATTTCTCAACAGTGTTTTGAATTCTGATATACATGATATTCATATACATATATAGTATTGTACCTGTAAATCTAATTGTGTCATTGGCTACTAGAAGGGTTTTTATGAAACAGACTATAGCTCAGTGCAATTATAAGCATATACACCGACCGATATGATAAGGTATGGAACCTAAAACAGTTTGTAGAGAAAATTTTTGAATCTAAATTTGATGATTAACCTGTTTTGCAAGAATTCTAATGAACAACAGCTATGTATCTAAAAAATCTGGTTAAAAAAAAAGAAGAAAAATAATTTCAAAGATATACTAATAACCCATAAATGTAGGTTATATGGTTTTCATTACATAATGGTATAGTATAAATGCTATTTTGTGTACATTTTGATTGTGTTACTTAAGTCTAATAAAAGTATTTTGCATTATGATCTCCCACTCTTATTGTATAAGATTTAAGTGTAGTGCATTCTATTTTACATCTTTACTTCCTCTATAAGAGTATCATCATCATGTTTATTCCATCATTAGGAGGCAAAGTCGCCAGGTAGGACTTCGACGAGACAATCCAAATCCAAATCCAGGAGTCGCAGTCGTAGTAGAAGTAGAAGCAGATCTAGAGGACGAACATCATCAGCAACTCGCAAACGCAAACCTACAACCTCTAAACCAAAGCAGGAAAAGATGGAGCCAAACTCGCCTGCTAGAGCAAAAGCCAGAACCCCTGAAAGGGCTGCAACTCCCACCAGAAAGTCTGCACGTCTTCAGAATCAGGTGAAAGATTTAACCTCACATCTAAATATAGGAAAAATGTACATGTTTTTATACAGTAGAGCTTCTTATAACAGGAGTCGTTATTTCCTTGTAAAGCATTACAAATTTTCAAGCAACAGGAAATGCATGATACGGCCTATAAATTATGTTTTTTGTTTGGCAGAGTCTTGCCCCTGAAGAAAGGAAGCCAGTGGAGTTTGAAGCATCTTTAGAGGAGGAGAAGCGTGTTTCTCGTACAAAGAAAACAGAGTTTGGGGGTGCCGTTGGTGCTTTTTTCATGATCCTTGGCCTTCCATTGTTAGTCTACTTCCTCAACTTTGTATGCGCCAAGGTATGAAAAAGTAGTTTTCTCAGGATTAATACATATAAACAATAAATTGTATGGGTTATGGTGAAAATGTAACTTGTTCAATATCCTGGAAAATGTTCACAGTGAAATAAAGAAACTGTTGTTATAGTTGGATATAGAAAGTGATCATCACATGGTCATAGTTGATGCCTATCATGGCTTGTTATAGTCTTTTGTTTGTTGATTATACTAGGAAGTACAGAGTAATATAAAGTTGAATACATACTTGTTACAACATTTTTTGCTGGCTATACTTGGAAGTTTTTATCAATATTTATCATGGTATGTTTATGTTTATGTTGGTCGCTAAGATATAACATAGCAACATAAGAAAACATCCTGTGTTATAGACAGGATTTATACATAATACTAATATGTGTTTCATGTATGTTTATGATTTGGATAAATTTAATTGCTTTATACTATATTTCTTTAGAACAAGTGCAAGCCAGTCCTGCCTGTTGTGCCATTGGACTGGCGGAGTTATTTTGACATCCAGGCTGCTGCAATTTACCTTGGCTGGATGGCTTTCCAGGCAGTTCTTTACATGTTACCTATTGGTCCAGTGGTGTTGGGGCAGCCCTTGCGCTCTGGTCAACGACTCCAGTATAGGTGTAATGGTAAGATATAGATAATGTTACAGTAAGCTTTTGATTATTTCACAAATAGGAGTTAGGTAATTGATTGGAATGAAAAAAACATTGTCATTATTATTGATCAGTTGTCTGAACCTTCATTCTGTTTCATTTATCATAATCTGCCTTCATCATTGGTAAATAGATTATCAATTTAACATATCCCGCCACTTGGGGGGAGGGGAGGGGGAGTTGTAGTTAAAAATCTCTTTGTGCTTCCATCTGTGATGAACTTATATGCACAATATCCCACAAGACCATGAACAGATTTATAGTTCTTATTGACATCATAGGTTCACCCCAGCAAGGTATATACCTGATTTGATTTGGGTGTGCATTGCTTAAATGGAAAGATCCAAGGACATCCTTGACCACTTTTAAAGATAAAAAGCTTGTGTGCAATATATTTTGTGAACCTCTTAATACATTCAAGATTTAAATCAGAAGAAAAAGACAAGGGGATATATCTACATGAGTCATATTGTTTCTATTAACTATAGCTGTTAGCGAAAATATAGAACATCGTTTATGAACTTATAATAACAGGAAGAAATGCCATAACGAGATAGAAAAACTATACTTGACCAAGTACATAGTGGTAATCCTTTCTGTTATCCTTCTGTCAGAACTGATGTTCCTAACACCATATACACACAATTCTACTTTCACATTAAAAAGTCCACCAAACTTTTTGAGAGTTAAACATGTGTGAGAATTATATTCATGTTTCAGGTTTTATCTCGCTTTGTATCAGCCTTGTTGCCTTCGGAGCTGCTGTCTACTTAAAACTTCCTGTTGGTATTGTTTTGCAAAAGTTCACCCAGCTCATCACCACAGGAATCCTCTTCTCATTTGTTGTTAGCGTCATTCTTTATGTCCAGGCAAGGAGAGGACCTAACAATAAGTTAGCACCTGGAGGAAATACAGGTATTTATACAAATATGATATTTCCTTCATGGTCAAAGAAACATGATAAATTTATTTGTATAGATGAGTTGTTCAGTATTTTAAAATAAACATGTACTTTAACAAACACCTGAATGAAAAGTATGAATGTCATAATTTTGAATTAATTTTGCAAGACAAAATTTATGGAAGTTAACAGTGCTGAAACTTTTTCTTAGAAATGTGCACATTTTTTTCAGGCAACGTTCTGTATGATTTCTTCATTGGTCATGAGTTGAACCCTCGAGTGGGCAGTTTTGACTTGAAGTTTTTCTGTGAGCTGCGTCCTGGTCTAATTGGCTGGCTGATGCTAAACCTGGTGATGCTTACAGAGAAATACAACAAAGAAGGGGCTTTTCCTCCAGCTCTCACCATGGTTGTGGTGTTCCAGGCACTTTATGTAGCTGATGCTCTTTGGTTTGAGGTACAGTGAAAGTCACTTATTATATTTTCTGATATTATGATATCCTGCTGAGCTGTACCTTGTGAAACACAAATCTGCTAATTGTCGCTGGAGTATTACAGAAATTGGTCCAAACCTCAGAGGTGCTTCCAGATTTATACAAAGGAATTACCTTTGCAGTTTTCCATTTTATAGGAAAACAACCATTTTGAATACTAAGATTCATTATATATGATAATTAGCAAACAATAGAGATCAAATCATCACCTACCTGTGCCAGTTGCAGTCTGCCAAAACATACACACTCAGACAGAGAAGATAGTTCTGCTTTGAATGATGGAGAAAATACAGCTGTTTATGCAGAGTTTCTGTATGTAACAGGACACCAAATGCTGTCCATTTGGGAATATATTTCCTTCTAAATTAGATTTTATTGTCAAATTCATAAAAAAGATTATGTTCTATTTAAATAATGTATTGCCATGATTATGTTACTTCAGTTTTAGGCCATCAAATAAGTTTTATTCACAAAAATGATAAGTGGATGTAATAGGATACCAATTTTGCAATCAACAAGTTTTTCAGGGTATAAAGATTATCAGTATTATGTTTAAAGAATTTCATCACTCGATGATGATTTTATTCACCAGTTGCAATTATGGTGTCCTGCATTACATCCAATTAAGAATCCATGAGTTCATGTTACATCCCAGACATATTTCTATGAAAAATAGATACTCCTGTGATACACCAGAAAATTTCAATGTTAAAAGTAATGTGATGCAAAGTAGTTTTACATAGAATATTGTCTCTACACATTTCATCATCAAAGTAATACATCTATTGCAGAATGGAAAGACGTAACAAAGACACTAGATTGCGTTGGTGTCAAAGGAACCACTAATGACATAATATGCCACATACTTCTTATCCACCATTTGTTACATGTAAAAAGGTCTTTCTTGTATATTTTGGGTTTTCTTGTGTTATATGAGGCTGAGAATCAAACATGTCGGTCACATTGAGAGTAATTCATCATGACATAACAGTGGACATTAAACCACATCAAACAATATAAGCAAACCTCGGCTAAAATTGGTCATGTTACAGCACAACATTTGATTGGTTGTTGATCTTCAACTGTCATTTTGCGGTAAAATATATTAAATATTCATCGACTTGTTATACTGGACAAATTCTGACATTTCAAACAACGTTTTCAACGGTTGGCTGACATATTCATCTAATGTCATGGATGTAACATTCGACTTTCATTACCGCCACTCCAGTATATAGGTCATCTTTTGCATCGTGGTAGTGCAGAGATATGTTAAACAGCCGGAAACCAATCTGTGATATGTGCCTCTAACAGGATGTTGTAAAACATGTATACCAACGAACTCTTAATGAGAGATAAATCACTGTAGTTTCATTGTCCAGGACATAACATTATGCCACAATTTACAAAAGCGCTTAATGATTTAATTTCTTTAAAACATGTTCAGAGGTTTTTCACTACATTCTGGTGTTGATACCATTGTAGAATGCCATTTTGACTACTATGGACATCATTCATGATGGTTTTGGATTCATGCTTGTGTTTGGAGACCTTGTTTGGGTGCCCTTCCTCTACTGTCTACAGACACGCTTCCTGTCACTCTATAGTGTCAAGATGGAATGGTACTGTCTGGTCTTTATTGGCATCCTCAATTGTAAGTACTGTTACAACAGAGAAACCTGTTATGTTATCCATTGTTCAATATTAACCAGAACCCATTCATGATATAAAAGCTACAAGGTCACAATCTTAGTTCAGTTTTCAAATTGTTCTGCATATAGATTTAATATAGTTATCAATAGATTATTGCTATTTACAGAAAATCCATCGTAGAAAAGAAATATATTTAAAATGAGAAACTAGAGGCTTTTCCTCATGTTACGTTCAAATATACACAGGTTATGAATTCAATTTCTTCAGTTGTGTTTTTAATCATTAATTATTTACATATTTTGAAATTAATGTTGCCACATTCTTTTCAGTGATTGGCTACTACATATTCAGAGGAAGTAATTCTCAGAAGAATGAATTCAGGAAGAATCCCTACAACCCAGCTCTAGCGCGTGAGTTTTTCCCTATGAATTCCTGAAATACTCTGTCCGCAGTAGCTCAGAAGCCAAGAGTCTCGATATGTTTCTCCTGAATCTTCAACACACCTTTATTGAGAATGTTAAATGCAGTTTTTTTTAGAAATAAGTGGAAATCGAAAACATTTCTGCTTCAGATCGAAAAACCATTAGTTCTACGCTATAATGGATATCACAATGTAATTGGATGGTCAACATAGATAACTACATGTATTTATATTCAGTCTGAGACTATGTTGGTGTTTTTTCAGATCTTGAGACTATCCCAACTTCGTCTGGCAAATGCTTGCTGGTTTCTGGATGGTGGGGACTCTGTCGCAAGCCTAATTACCTAGGAGACATCCTAATGGCCACTGCCTGGTCCCTCTCATGTGGTAAGTCATTTAGTTCCTTGTAATGGTTGTAGATATCACAACTTGTCTATTTCTTTAGATAAATTAGTTACTGTAAAATGCAATATTTGAATTTCATGTTAAAAATGGCAAACCAACAGTATGGATATTGTTTGTCATTATCTGAATGGGCTGTTTAAGGAATGGTGAATCAAGCAAAGAAATGAATAAGTAAATGAATAAATTCTAATTTACTATCATTTGCTGAACTGTTTTAAAGCTATTACCTGATGATCTAGAACCATCCTGTTTCCTCTGTTTTGGATCCTCAACAATCTGAACTACCTTGCAATTTTCTCTGTCTGATCATTTTTCTCCCTATTGAAGATTTAGAACAGCTTGTCAACTTTAGGAAAAGAAAAATAGTTGAATATTTTTTACTTGTACTAGTATTTTTAAGCTATAGCCAAATAAATAACTGGTTAGAAATTTGTATAACAAATTGTTTTTGCTGTCAACTAGCTGTAACTGGAAACATTACTTCATTCAAAACATGTCTGGATGGAAAAAACTTGATGGTGAAAACATTGTTAATGAAAAATCAAACAGTAAACTGGGCATCTTAGTGTCGCAACATGTAATAGCTGTTAGTACATTTGAAAGTGTTAGACTGTAAGCCATATTCTCTTACAAACTTTCCTTTTTTGGGGAAAAAGCACACATTTGTTAAAACATTTGGTTTTGTTTTAGGGTTTTCTACACCAGTGGTTTACTTCTATCCTGTGTACTTTACCATCCTGCTGATCCACCGGGAATACAGAGACTCAGAACAGTGCCAAAAGAAATACAAGGCCAGCTGGGACCGTTACTGTGAACGAGTGAAATACAGAATATTCCCATACATTTATTAGTCTTACCAGTAGTTTTATTACCTACCTGTAGGCAGTACTAAAATACTCCACAGTATTTAGTTATTGTTTGTATTCATGTGTAGTACAAATTTTTCTGTTATCATTTCCCATTGATTTATTTTGTTTTGTTTATTGCATTGTTCAAGACTAGGATATTCTTTTCATTTTCTTTTTTTCTGAAATATTTTAAAATTTTTAATATTTTATGATTTTTTAAAGTGTTTTTATAGTGTAATTCATCAGATGAGATTTCCATTGACATAAAAAATGCAATAACCTTGTGTGTAGAAATATTATTAGAGTAAAGTTACATTTACTTTGTGTTTTAATACTAGCGTCTGGAAATCATTTTCCATTTTCCTTTTAGTAGAAAATGGTCATTGACCTGAATATTAAAATATTATTGATTTTTACCTTTATTATTTTTATCAAAAATAGTGCCTTTGAGAAGAAAAAAAAAGCTTCTAACTGCCATTCCCAGATTACTAGAACACACTTTTTTCATAAGATGCATATTTCTTGAATTTTTTCTTTTCATACATGAAATTTCTGTCTACCAATATCGAGAGAGCATCTTTCAGTAGCTATCAAAAACTTTGAAATAAATTATGCAATGAAATAAAATGATGTACAGAATGGGTTTTGTCATTGAATAGTTTGCAAATCAACCATACATGATAAAAGAAATCAATTTTTGTCATCCTTTACATCAATATCAGAGATTTCTGAAAAACTTTATAATTTGGAGGATGAGAAGGTATGTGAATATGTGTGTATGTTTTGTATAAAAATGTGAATTTAACACCAAAATAATGCTCCAAACATTTTCTTCAAAAAAAATGTGAAATCTAATCAAGGCTCTTATAAATATGGGGATAGGAGAAAAAATTGTTTATATTGTGAGTCTCTGGGAAAACTTCCCCTTTCTATTGTTGATGATTTATCTGAAATATTCAGTTTTAATTTGAGTGATTGTAAATGTCATGATTAAGGAGCTCAAACTGCAATACAACATTCTCAGGAAAATCACAATCCATTTCTGCAGTACTGTGAAAGATCTCAACATTGAATATAGTCTAGTGAAAGGGAACATAGTGTCCAGGGTAATTTATTTGCTGGACATGATGAAATCATGTGTATTAGGATTTGCTGGATGTAAATGTGTAGTATGTACATAGTCTCAGCATTTTAATATAAAGTGTACTGTATATAGAATGGTGTTTGTACATATTATTGTATTCCAATGTTGTAATAAAACTTTTAGCCTGTATATAATTAGTCACTTTTATGGATGTTTAAAATAAAGCAGCTTATCAAGCATCGACAGTGGTCCAATGTTTGGAGTAATAACATTAAATAACAGCACTGTAAATTGGGATATTTTGGTAGGGTTATATTGTGGAGGTTACTCTTTATTCTATTTAAATGTCATACATGGAAAATGTAGATTGATTGATCTGGAATGAAAATGTCGGATATGTGTTGAAGAGAAGAAAAGTTTGGCACAACATAAAAATTGGACACCAGTAATATAACCTTGTCCATATTGAAAATATCCCAGTTAAACAGTAATCTTGTTTGTTACATAATGAAACATTTGAAAATGTTACTTCACGTTATGAAAAATTAACACAAAATGTTCCAGATAAAGATTGTATGTATATTTGCCATGTCTGTGTAAACACAGTCCCAGTATAATTATATTCACTGCAGAAATACAGCTTGATTTTAATTACAATACTTTTGTTGTGTTTTTTTTTACTACACCAATGAAGAGTTGGCCCCAGTGACAAAAGTAATAACATACCATACATTGCCATTAAAAGGTAGTTTATACATGTAGTACAAGTTCTTGGTTTTGTACCAAGTACTAGAAAGAGAAGTGAAAATTAGGTTACAGCAGAGGTAAATGTATACTTGAAAATAAGTTGGGATGGTCAGATGGCACAGTGGTAATGCATTCCCCTTTTACCCATGAACCTGTGATCCGATTTCCAGATCAGATGTGAATATGTGTGGGATCACCTGGCTGACCCCTTTTTTATCATACACAGCCTATTTTGAGCAAGAAATTTTGTAAAGTGTTGACAAATGTCAGCTGTAAATAACTGATGATGGGTATCATCCACATTTATGATACGGAATGCATTTATTCCACATTGAATATGTCTCAAAGTTTTCTGAAGATTCCTTTAGTAATTGCCAACAAATAACTTTCTAACTTTATCACTGGTGCCTGACTTGAATATGTATGCTATATCAAAAGGTACTGTGTATACATTTTGATAATGTGCAGCAAGTTTCAAGAAGACCTTTCCAATAGTTTTGAGCCCACCGTAAGATTTTGATCTATTTAAATCGTTCTAGCCATTGTCCATCCTTCCAAAAACAATTTTCATCACTATTTCTTGAAATGTTTAGAATAGTTCTTTCTCAATTTTCATGTTCTTTAGGTTTCCCTTGGTCCCAATTAGACCCTTGTGATTTTGTTGATGCTCAGGAAAAAAGGAGGAGGATGTGCGGCCATGTTTGATTTTGATCGTGAAAAATTTGTCATGTGACAGTGATGCTAAGGGCCCAAATTGCCAACATCCTGGAGGCAATTGAGGAAAATCTAAACTGGTTGAAATAAATATCAGAGACTAGATGGGAAGGTGCACGTAACCAAAAATTGAAAAAAGAGGGTGAAAATCAGTAGTGAAGGATTTTAAAAGAATGTACTTGTGTATACACTTATAGATTTCAAATGAGGCATACAGGTTACTGCAAACCTTGAGGACTGAAAGTTCACCGTCAGTCTCTATCACCTGCAATCTGAAGATTGAACAAAATACTCCCAATTAATAGCCAACCATTTACAATTTGTAAACGCTCTTTCTTGAGATCTGGATGGATCAATGCAGCTTCCATTTGGTCCTTATTTGTGCTTTTCTGAGCAGAAACAACTTTCATATGTTTTGGAGCGAAGTCACAGGAAAGAAGTGCAAAGGTCCAATTTTTTTAAAGAACAAATAAAGATAAAATAATAGATGTCAAGATCACTCTGGGATCTCTGGTAGTGAACTTTTAAACTTCAGACGTCTCAAGGTTGCTGGTGATCATTTTAAACATGGAAACGTTATTCAAATCCGGCCTGTGTTACCAGTTCCATTACTGATTTGCATTAATGTAAAGGGCAATCTTTGGGACCACCTATTATTATCGACACACAAAATGGTTAAGGACTATGCTCTCAATATAACGGTAACATATCATGTCCTGAGAGCTGGATTAGTACATTCAAGCATTGAAGTATAAAATGTAGCATGTACAATGCACATTTTTTTTGTTTCCGCTAATTCGTTAGAGAAAATCCATGAGAAATGGCAATAAAATGATTGTTTTTGATTGGACAGCGTGGTAGTTTCTAATAAACGAACGGAGCTAAGAATGGGGAAAAGTTATTCTTCTCATTGTTACAGTTCCACGAGTTATTTCCCTTCCCTTTAAACTGAAGCGTGTTCGTGAGTCAGAGTATGAAGTACCCGGATATTGGATTTCGACTCATATAATTTTTCAGTGATCTGAACTCAAAACATTTCTTTGCGGAGAACGACAGAGTTCGCCTTGAGGGCAGGAGTTGGCCATTTCGCCATAAAATGGCGGATACATCAGAATCTGACACCACTGAGGTCCAGTCAGTGGCAGATACCACTGTATTTTCAGAATATCTGTGCAGAATTGTTCCCGTTTTGCTGGAAGATAGGGAGTCTGCGTCTGCAAACCTGAAAACTGCTTTGGTGGAAAAACCTCACGTGGAAAGCATAAAAAAATTTCTCGGAGACCCACAAGTGCCAGTGTTGTTAGTACAACGGTTATCTACCAAAGGTAAAGTATCAAACGATAAAATAAATTATTTATATGGCGGCTAAAAAAAAGGAGGCGTGGCTTAATTTTCAGTAAACTTTGCAATTGATGCTCCTGTCCATGCTATAAAAGTATTATACATAAAATGGAGAGCATCCCTTTCTAATTTTCCGACTAAGACCACTACAGACAATTGAATTTAACGTTACACATTTTAGGCGACGTTGCAGACATCACATGACAAATTCTTATCATAATCAATAGCATGACTCACTGGCTGCAGTCTATCTGCAGAGTATAAGTTTGAGACGTGTTTAAGTAATTCGGTCATGCCTATTATTATCGTGAAGCAGTAAAAGAATTGCACTAAAGCCATTTTATCCGGATGGACAAGCCTATCTAACCATTAAAATAGTCAGAACCGTTCCTGACCGAATTTAACGTGTCTTTGATGGAGAAAAATCTCTAGTAAAACTTCAATATTCAATTTATGGTTGAATTAAATCAGTTCAACAAATGCTCTGAAAATAGGATGCAGAATGCATGAAGTTTTATTAGGCAGGTATGTTTAAACAATTGAACATCAACCATACAGTGTTATAAATGTATAAATGGTAACATCGATAGAATGAATACCTCAGTTAATTATTTGTAGTAATAAAATTTTGAAGTGTCTAGGTATGACTCAGAAAAAGTTTTTATGTAAATAAAGCAGGTTGAGGGATCTACATTCAATAGAAAACAGTGTACCTGAAGGAAACGCAGGGGGTTGAATTGTTTAAGACACAAATTTGGTACTGCCTCACATTTGCAATCTGTCTCCAAGCTCTGCTGGACAGTTCAGTCTTCTTATTATTCACTACTTACTATTTAGCTATGTGTTTTTTTTACTTCGTCAACTGATTTGCTCATTTTTAGTGTATTGTGACAGGATGGAATGTGCAGCCAGACTTATTTGGCATTTATTCTTCAGTTTGACATCACTATAATGTCTGCATCACAGGGAGGCTAATAAAACATATTGCAGCCACCTGAAAACACAGCAGTCCTTAAATGACAGCAGATGTTAAAATTACATTAAGGAAAACAAAATAAGAACCAAACAAACAAAATCCCTTACATCAAACCTCTGGTCAGTTCGAAAAGGCATGTTGTTCAAACATATTTCTCAAAATTAAATTGATAATTTTAAATCATCCACAGTTAAGCAAGAATCTTGAAACTTGGCATATACATTAGTCCTACAAAGGGGATGTGCATTGTACCAAATTCATGGCCCTTAACTGCTCAATTATAGAGTTACTGTCCTTTGTTGAAACTTCATCTCCAGTGCATAATTTTGCTTGCATTTAAACTAGGATAACAAAACTTGGCGTAGACATTGATCATGCAAAGATGATGTGCAGTGCACCAAATTCAGGGCCCACAATCCCTTCATTACAGAGTTATTGCCCTTTGTTAAAATTTTGTATCTGGAGCATTAGTAGTGATTACTTTACGTTTGAACTAGGATATGGGAATGTGATAAATGCATTAGCTATTCATACAAAACAGGGTGCAATATATAGCAAAGTCAGGGCCCATGACTACACTGTAGTTATTGTCCTTTGTTAAAATTTTGTCTCCAGTAAATTAATTTTTGGGGAGCATTATCAGTTTCACTGATCTCTGGTCTGTCTAGTAATAGGTTGAACCCTTTCTAGTTTGTTTCACTTACATTTTGAATTGTTTGAACATATCATGAGACTGCATGTTTAACTACTGATAAAAGCATCAGTGTCTCAATAGATGCTCCATGCTGTCACTATTCACATTGACATTAACTCTGTGGGCAGTAGGCTGTAAATGACCATTGTAAGCAATTGATAGCATCAAAATATACACACATGTGTAACTTAATAAGGATTGATATGTATTATGATTTCTTTCACATCTTGCTGTAACATCATGCGCACACCAGCTGACACCATTTGAGGCTCCAACTCTGTATTTCATGCTAAGTGATCTGTAAATATATAGTGACAACGGGATGTCAGCATGTGTTTCATCAAAGAACAATATTGTTTGACTTCTTCACATTTTGATAAGATAATCACATCCAGACTCTTTCAATGATTGTAAGATTCATAAAGATTTTAACAAACATTGATCTGTAGTCAATAAAGTCTCAATTACCACTCCACATACTGATATGTCAACATGAACTTCTGCCAACACAAGCAGAAATTATTATGCTTTTTATGAGCTTTCTTTTTCATCACAGTATCCAACGTTATGAAGATCAAAATGAAACTTATGATTTCATAACACATATTACAGAACAGTAAGTGTTTCAAGAGATAATAATTTTATAATCAACAATTTTCCCCCCAGAAAATGTCATTTTCAACTGGTATTTTCCGTCTATGCTAAAATCATATCTTGATCTGTGATTTTGTACTGTAAACTGTGTTCCATGGATGAAATGTTCTTACAGTGGAACTTCTCTAAATGGACCATGCATGGAATATGAATATTTGGATGGTTTAAGGAGGGTTCGGTTTGCAAAAGTGAACAAAATTGACCAGTCCAGACTTAAATATAATTGACCAAATTCTATTCTGTATATGATATTAACATTTCTTTGAGCATTTACACTGCACCTGTCAAACTCTAAACAGAAAAAAAATTGTGTAGAGTAAAAATGTTTTGATAAAGTGGAAAAAAGGGGGTGGGTATGATACCAGTATGCAATATGTGACTACTTGAGAAGAAATCTATGCGTTGTCCAGGCCTAGGGTTGTCAGAAATTACCTTACATACGACTGACCCCAGCTCAAGTCAGATGATTGGCTTGCCTGAAAGTGTTTACAACTGATATATTTGATGAATAGATATTTTGTTGATCTGTATAAAAAATCATTTAAAACCGCACTCCAGAGCTGTTTCCATTTTTTGTATGTGTTGAAATATTATTCTATAATTGACAATTTAGATGCAAAACTGCAACTTTCTTGCTTTGAATAAGTACTTATTTTCACTTTTAGCTGTTACTCACTTTAGTGAAACAATGAATTTGTTTGAATTTGTTTCATTTTGTTGTTAGTGATAAATATAATGTTTATTATCACTATGCTAAAAAGGATATTCTGTACATCAGCATTTTGTGCAGCTTCTAAAGGTCATCGGTTTTTGAAAAGGAATTTGGAGGCAGTCGCACTGTATTGCATCTATCACAAGTTATTGATTAGCATGCTTGATAGCATATAACTTGCCACTCTGTGATATTTAGTTGGAATCATTTGACTGATGTTTTCTGTTTCAATAGCTTTAAGATTAACTTAGTCTTTCATATTTGCAATATATCAGTTATATCCAAATGCTGGATAGTAAACTCATTTGTTGACATTGGTCAACATTGTTAGATTTTCTGGTGCCATGCTGATACAACTATTTAATTTTGATGCCAATTCAATGTAAGCACTTAAAAACTTAATTCTTTGACAGTTTTTGGTCAAACTTTATACAAAGATGAATTATGAAGATGCTGGACATCATATTTTGGGGCCCAAAGTCAAGGCCAAGGTCACCTTTGTTATAAATAGAAAATCATTAATTGATTCCTGATTTTGGTCAAACTTAATTCAACCATCAGTTATGAGTATACTTTGGACAAGGTTATATGTCAGGATTTCGAGGTCAAGGCAAAGGTCACCCTTGCTGTATATAGTAAATCATCAACTGATTCAACACTTGAACTTATTTCACTTGTCAGTTGGGGCATTTATGTCTTACAGGCATTTTCTATTGTTAGTTTGTACAGTTTCTTTTTGTTAAATCATTATGTTGTATGGAAAACTGAAACACAGAGCTTAATAATCGTCAGATTAATGGTACAGTCCAGTAGGATGAAGTCTTATTTACTGATTCAGTGGTTATGGTCACTGTTACTGTCAAATTTGAAATAATAGATCAGGGCATGACTGGCCTTTTAAGTTACCGGTAAACATTTTGAGGATTAAGTGAAATTATCTCAGATGCTTTTGATAAATTTCCTATTTTTTTCTTTTGTGTGAACAGATGAATCTGAGGATGTTGCTGAGGGAGATGGGGACAATGAGGGAACTGTGGCCTATCACATAACATCTACTGTCAAGTACTCCAGTTCAAAGATCTGCAGGTAATTAGTACAAGTGTATACCATGGCTTTGTACATCATGCTGTAGTCTTTTATCATATACCAAAAGACATGAATACTTGTATTAAAAGGAAAGTAAAAGTTGATGATGGTTTAAATGATTTGAAATAAATGGTATGTAACTTATTTCATTGAATATAAAAATATTAGTGAAAAGTATTACTGTATAATTGCCTATGTATGTGGCAGATTTAATCTAGCTAACTTTAAGTTCACTGAAAATAGTGCAAATTCAATTACCTGAATATTTATGGTGAATTGAAATTTCTGGGACTGTATATGGTATGCCTGTATTTATATTAATAGGTATATTTATCTGTCTTCTGAGAGAAAAATGACTAGATGGTGTTGTGCAAAATTTAATCCTCATAAACTTGTTCTAACTGGTACTACCACAAAAACATAAAAAGTAAACAAATGTTCAGAATCATCAAGCTCCTACTCCCCATGATAGTATCAGTATGGGGCATATCTACTAATTAGAATGACCTCCTGTACATTTTAGATCTATGCAATATCTTATGTATGGTTTTTATATGTACATCTAATGAGGATGAGACTTAAATGAATTTTTTATACTATTACTTGGTACTCTGTAGATTTCTTCTGATATTCAAATACTCCGTACTAAAACTCTGTACTAAAACAGAGTTTCAAAGTATGATATTTGTATCAAGTTATGAATTTCTGACTTTGAATATTTCTAGCATGGTGCTCATCAAGAGAGGGCCCATAGTGGAAGCAGACAAGTCCTTTCCCTCACAGCTTAGGATTATGAACTTCAGTGAAGGCTCACCATATGAGACACTCCACTCCTACGTTGCCAATGCTGTGGCCCCATTCTTCAAATCCTACATCAAGGAAACTGGAAAGGCTGAGAGGTCAGTGTTAATTGATAATTGATATATTGACCACAGGTGTGGCATCACTGGTGTAACATTGGTCTGAAACTTTCAATCGTGCCATGTGTAATAATGAATGAGAATGGCTGTCTAAATTGATTGAATATATATCAGAGTTGGTAATTTGTCTTTTATCAAAGTGATATGTAAATGTTTTTACACAAAATATACTTTTGTCAATAAAACACATTTATTTAACAGTGACTGTAAAAGTTACCTGCAACAGTTTCTATCATGAAAGTGTTTAAATAAAAAAAAATCTGAAGGTTTTTTAGCATATGGTTACACACGATGGCTAGAACAGTTTTTTCCAGATCTGTCATGACAGTTTTGAAGTATTACTTTTGCTTCTTTAAAAAAAAAGAGTCACTGATGCTCATTAATTTTAATCCCTAGGGATCTGTCATGACAGTTTTGAAGTATTACTTTTGCTTCTTTAAAAAAAAAGCGTCACTGATGCTCATTAATTTTAATCCCTAGGGATGGTGATAAAATGGCCCCTACTGTTGAAAAGAAAATTTCTGAGCTGGAAATGGGCCTTCTTCATCTACAACAGAACATAGACATCCCAGAGATCACTCTGCCCATCCACCAGGTAGTTTCTAGTGTCATCAAAAAATGTGGAGAGGAGAATAAAAAACCCAAGGTGGAGGATTTTGGGGACAAAGTGGAGGATGCTCAGTTTCTTAATGCTCTACAAAGTGGGGTAAACCGCTGGATAAGGGAAATCCAGAAGGTAAGAACACTTTTTGGTCAAATGCTAAAGAAATCAGAATGGAAGAACTAGGGTCAAAAAGTGCTAATTTATGTAATTATCTTAATTTATGAACTGCTGCAGTCTTTTTGAAACATTTTAAGTTGATTTATGAACTTGTTAAATCTTTAAGTAAGGAAAATTTGAAATATTGGATCAGTTTTTGTTCCTGACATGTGAAAATAAATGTAATTTTTGCTCTGTTTTTACAGGTGACTAAGTTGGACCGAGATCCAGCATCAGGAACTGCTCTCCAGGAAATCAGCTTTTGGCTTAATCTAGAGCGAGCTCTCCTGAGGATCCAAGAAAAACGTGAAAGCCCTGAAATTGTTCTAACTTTGGAGATCCTCAAACATGGAAAAAGATTCCATGCTACCGTCAGTTTTGACACAGATACAGGTCAGTTATTATTGCAAGGATTGATAGTTTTGTAGATGAATTTTAATTGTGGTACACTGTAACAATTTTTTCTGTTCTAAAGGAGAATTACAAATGAAAATATTAGGTATGATTTTATGTTATGTGGTATGAATGTGTTTAAATTATTATATTGAGATTTTGTCAATGGAAACTGTTATACACAGGTCTTAAAACTGCCATGGCCACCGTGAATGACTACAACCAGCTGATGAAGGACTTTCCTTTGAATGATCTTCTGGCTGCATCAGAACTAGATAGAATTAGAGTGTCAGTACAGGCAATCTTCCTGCACCTGAGGAAGATCCGACCAACAAAGTATCCCATTCAAAGAGCACTGAGACTGGTGGAGGCTATCTCTAGGGACCTCAGCTCACAACTTCTCAAGGTAAGGTAACCCAGTGCTATGAGATCTGTGGAGGTTATCTTTAGTGTCCACAGCTCACAGCTTACAAAATCATGGGCACATTAAAAAAAAATTTTGAAGGTAAGAAAATATAATCATGATCTAATTATTGGCATCATTGAAGATCAAAACAGAATTATACTTTGATAAAAAATTCTATTTTATGTTATTGATAATTTTGCTTTCAATTTTTTTAAGCAAATAGTGACATACTTCATTTGTATGTTATTCTTTATGGAAAGAATTAACAATCTAATGCATTATGTTGTGTGGAAAATGCCATTTTATTTGCTGTTTTTGTAGGTGCTTGGAACTCGGCGCTTAATGCATATTGCATATGATGAGTTTGAGAAGGTGATGAATGCATGTTTCGAAGTATTTGGGACATGGGATGATGAATATGACCGGCTCCAGGGACTACTGAGGGACCTGGTGAAGAAGAAGAGAGATGAACATTTGAGGATGGTGTGGAGGGTGAACCCGGCCCACAAACGTCTCCAGGGAAGACTAGAACAGATGAGAAAGTAAGTGACTCAAAGTGGGACCATTTCACATTTGATAACAGACCATTTATAAATAAAGTAAGAAACTCTTTAAAATTGAAGGTAAGCATGAAACATAAACAATAACTTTTCATTTTATGACTGTAGATTTGGTTGAGTTTTGTACTGAATGTTCCTGTTGTTTTCCAGGTTCCGGAGGCAGCATGAACAATTGCGACAAGTCATTGTACGTGTCCTTAGACCAGCAGTCATCTCCTCTGGACGAGCTACTACCCCAGGACAGGACGATGCAGAAGCCAAGACCATTGAACCCATGGTAGATGAAGCAGCAGATGCCAATGCCATTGAGGTAAGCCAATAAATAGTTTAGATTTAGAAAAAACACCATCACATTTTTTTCTTTTGCATGTTCTCATTTGAATTTGAATTTTTCAAATTGATGACTATTTCAAATAGTTTTTTTTGATTGTGTGCATTGTGACAGGAGGTGAATCTCGCATATGAGAATGTGAAGGAGGTAGATGGACTGGATGTGTCTAAAGAAGGTTCAGATGCCTGGGAGGCTGCCATCAAAAGGTGAGTTAGAACTTAAAATTGTTTATCTTGTTTGATCATATAGTTGTAAATGCAGTTGATGAGCTGATGTCTCCACATGATGTAGTGTATGTCAATTCTACCTACATGTGATATGCGTCAACATGTAACACTTGGTGTAGTCGACACTTGGTCAAGCTTCTATACGGCTTGATCATAGACTACACCTGCTGTTCCCAGTAATATATGAAACATACTTTATTATTTTCTTCATGAATTATCACAATGATAAGGATGAATATTATGATAAGGATGTAAAGTATTTGCAGTATTGATGAAAAAATTAATAGATAAAATTATGAATGTTTCCAGGTATGACGAGCGAATTGACAGAGTGGAAACCCAAATCACAGCTCGTCTGAGGGATCAGCTAGGGACAGCCAAAAATGCAAATGAAATGTTCCGAATCTTCTCACGCTTCAATGCCCTGTTTGTGCGACCACATATCCGTGGAGCAATCAGAGAGTACCAGACCCAGCTCATACAGAGAGTCAAAGATGACATTGAGTCACTTCATGAGAAATTCAAGGTAATTGTCGACAGAAAAGAAAAATTATTGCTGAAAAATTCTTCTTATGTACACTTTCATTATAGATTTCAAGTGAAACATGACTATGTAGGTTTATAGAATTATTTCAAGTATATATCAAGCAGATTTAAAGGGTTTATTTTTTGTTGCTTACAATAAAGTTGGCTGTGTGGTTCACTTAAATGTTCAATATGTGAAGAAAAAGTTCAGCTGGATTTTACATTAATGATTCAAAATGCCCAGAATAAGACTTACTGAATGTTTACGCAACTGAATGTCTATGCAACAGGTTCAGTATGCCCAGAGCAAGGCCTGCCGTATGAGTAAGGTCCGAGATCTGCCACAGGTGTCTGGTCGTATCATCTGGTCACGACAAGTAAGTATACAATTTATATCAACTTTTTATGAATCCATGCTACTGACTTTCTAAAGTTTTGGTTGGGTATTACTATTTATTACTGTCTATATGGACATATAGACACTGACAGCATAATTAGCACTGAGGCAAACATTTATGATGTAAAGAAAACTTATTGTCATCAACAGTCAATCAGTTTACAAGTGGCTAACAGTGTTGATGTCAATTATGATATGTTGTTATTTTATTCAGATTGAGCGCCAGCTGAATACCTATCTGCGTCGTGTGGAGGATGTTCTTGGGAAAGGTTGGGAGAACCATGTAGAGGGACAGAAACTCAAGGCTGATGGTGACAGCTTCCGCATGAAACTCAACACTACTGACCTGTTTGAAGACTGGCAGCGAAAGGTGATGTAGCAAAGAAATTTTCGACCAGAATTCAGTTCTTTCTAACTTAACACATAACAAAAATGGCAAAGAAAGCTCTGAGTATTTTTTGAAGACCAGATGCGACTATAAGAATTATATTTGTAGAGAAATAAGAAGCATAGGAAATAATTGATAGTAAACTTGTGCATCAAACTATCTTTTTTCCTGGTTTCAGGTCCAGCAACGCCAGCTTGTGGTCACAGGTAGAATTTTTGTCATCATCAGTGTCAAGTCCAAATCCATGGCAAAGGGCAACATCCTCAAGCTTGGAGTCAACTTCCAACCAGATGTCATTAATCTGTCTAAAGAGGTTGGTTAAATAATCCTTTTTTGTCATCAATAACCATCCTCTTGATGGAGTTCGATATTTTTCTCCCAGATGAAACTGTGGTTTTGTATTTTATTCTCTCATGACTTAACAAAAGATCTCAAATTGATAAATTGAATACTTTCTGCTTCCAAAGTTTGTTTCTTACACTTCTTTTATTTCTATCACCAGGTTCGTAACATGAGGTGGCTTGGATTCCGTGTTCCTCTTGCAATTGTCAACAAGGCACATCAGGCTAACCAACTGTATCCCTTTGCTATCTCCCTGATAGAAAGTGTGCGCACCTATGAACAGACACGCGAGAAGGTAAAGCTATGATGGAACAATTTACATAATTGATTTTGAGATGTTTGTAATTATTATTGATGGCATATAGGTAACTTGTTGAAACTATTGTTATATACTAGACCTATTTCATCGACTGTAGAAGTGAAAAACCTTTTTCTTTTAATTCATGGCGAACTTCCATTCTCAGATTGATGAGCGTGCCTCCATCATGTTACTTGTAGCTGGTCTTCGCAAGGAGGTACAAAACCTGATTGCAGAGGTAAGATTTAAAAAGGATTTTGATCGAATGTGCAGGAAAAGTCCTTATTCGACAGGGCTTCTTTCAGGGATTTTTAAGACTGATAGTGGGGCCCATTCTGAATTCTTCTCAAAAAGGCCCCACCCAAAAACCAGTGAAAAAACCTTTTTCATGAAAACTCCTGTCCAATAGATTCCATGAAAAATGTAGCCATTGAATAATTGGTAACATCAAAACTTTTAAAACAGTTTATTCAAATTTTTATTCAGATTGTTGAAGTGACTGTCTTTTTTCTTGTTGAATGATAACTGATGTTGATTTGTACAGGGTGTACAACTGGTTTGGGAGTCATACAAGCTGGATCCTTATGTGCAGAGACTAGCTGACACTGGTTTTAACTTCCAAGAAAAGGTTTGAATTATTAAAAATGTTTGACTAGAAATGATAAAATGACTGTCAAATATTTCACATGATGTCTTTGTTTGAGAAGGCTTAATGTTATTTTAGAAAATTAATGCAAATCTAGTTTCAGTGCATGAAACTGCATTTATGTTCAGTCTGATAACATGTGGTTAGCAACATTTACCAAATGTGTTTGGAGGTAGGGAGTCTTTGCATGAAGTCTGAATTATTTGTCATGTTGATGGTCAGTTATTTATGTATTTGTTATAGGTGGATGACTTGGTAGCAATGGAGGAAGAGATTGAGCTGGAGGTTAAAGCTCTGGAGACGTGCGCCTATAGTAATGCTACCTTCAGTGAGATTTTGGGCAAGATACAGAAAGCTGTTGATAACCTCAGTCTGCATGGTTTCTCCAATCTACAGCAGTGGGTGGCCAAACTTGATCAGCAGGTGGGTAATCTTTCTGTTGTTAGTCTGGTAAGGAAGGTGCCAATTGAGAAGATTGATAACTGGAGTCTATTTGTGTGCTTTGTTTTTACACTTCTACTCCATGTAGACACTAAAAACTGTAACTACCTGTGTTTTTAATACCTAATGCTTAACCCTGTGTTACAGGTTGAGGCAAAGTTGGCCGCTCGGTTGGAGGCAGGCCTTAAAGCATGGACAGAGTGTCTGAAGCAAACCAAAGAAGATACCATGGATCACACCATGGACACAGATGCACCACAGCAGGTGGCTCATAAACCAGGAGGTGACCCCAACATCAAGGTAGATAGACTGCTTTTCTGTGTAGTTTGTATCTCTTGTATTCCGTATCTTTTTAATCAACTTTGGTGTCCAAACTTTTTAGTGTTTCTTTAAAACTTCAGTTTAAAGAGAACATTTTGTTAACTTTCAGTCGTTGGTCCATGAGCTGAGGATCACAAACCAACTGATCTATGTGAATCCACCAATTGAGGAGGCTCGTGTCAATATAATGCAGGAATTATTTGGTTGGGAAGCTGTCATCACAAGCCTGCCTCGTATCAGACATTCTAGGTACCAGGTATGTACTGCACCTCTCTGAAATACAGTAATGATCATCTTTGAGTTGAGTATATAACACCATTTTGTTCACAGAAGTGATAACATAATTGACAAGCCATTGCAATTTGGATGTTCATGGCTAAATTTTCAATCTTTAAGATAGCGTGATGTGAGAATAAGTGTTCACAAATCTACACATTTGTAATTTATTATTTTTTGTAGGTTGGCCTGGATGTGGAGTCAGAGTCCGAGACAACATACCGTAATGTTCTGACAAAACTGCCTAGTAGTCAGATTATTCTGGAGGATGTATACCAGGCTATAGAAGACACCATGAAGGAATTCTCTAGCTATGTTAAAGTAAGTACGATATTTCACTATTTTAAATTATTAAGAATATATTGATTTATGTGTGGTCTTGGCTGAGTTATCAATCTATGTTAAATGTGTTTTTTAAGTATGGCTTAGATACCAGTCACTGTGTACAACATTTATCTGACTTACCACTACTATGAAGTATAGGAGTATATTGATTTATGTGTGGTCTTGACTGATTTATCAATCTATGGTAAATGTGTTACAGGTGTGGCTTAGATACCAGTCACTGTGGGACCTGAACCCAGATGTGCTGTACAGTCGTCTTGGTAACAAGCTCAAGGTGTGGATGGCTACCCTTGAGGAAATTAAGTAAGTTATATAAAGTTAGAACTGACTGAAACTCATCATTCCTATTGTTACATGTTTTAACATTTATATTTCAAAATTCCCATCATTATATTGATACTTGGTATTTCATTTGTTAGAGCCTCAAGGAAAACTTTTGACACATCAGACACTCAGAAAGAGATTGGACCAATTATTGTTCAGTATGGCAAAGTACAGTCGAAGGTGAGCCTTAAATATGACTCTTGGCACAAAGAGGTTCTCAGCAAGTTTGGTACTCTCCTCGCCACAGAAATGCAAGACTTCCATGGAACTATCTCCAAGGTAAGTACCAACATGTAGTAACGAAAATTTTCATTGACATTATGACTTACTGTAATTGTAACACAACATTTGATTGGTTAATGAAAGTAATTTGTAAATGTATAACCAAGGTATACCATCAGCAAATTCCTCATTTGCATATTTAACCCATATTACAATTGATTGGTAATGATTTCATTGACCCTGACTGACCACAGATACGTCATGAAAAGTAGTGTAACCCGAAAAGGTCAATAATACATTAAGTGATACTTGTGTCAGGACAGAGTGATCCAGCTATCTAGTGAAAATGTAAAATTGACACTAAATGCCATGTCTTACTTATTCAAAAAATAATTCATTCAAATAGGGATCTCCCTGCTGTGTTTTGGAACTTATGGCATCAAAACTCCTGCAATTTGTGATTTACCTAGAGCACTTAATATATGAATGTAATTCTACATATGCATTGTACTTAGAAAACTTGCTTATCAGACACAAACTCATGTAACTCTGTTTCCATGTTAAAGTCAGAGACAGAATGTAAGTACACAAACTCATGTAACTCTGTTTCCATGTTAAAGTCAGAGACAGAATGTAAGTACACAAACTCATGTAACTCTGTTTCCATGTTAAAGTCAGAGACAGAATGTAAGTACACAAACTCATGTAACTCTGTTTCCATGTTAAAGTCAGAGACAGAATGTAAGTACACAAACTCATGTAACTCTGTTTCCATGTTAAAGTCAGAGACAGAATGTAAGTACACAAACTCATGTAACTCTGTTTCCATGTTAAAGTCAGAGACAGAATGTAAGTGTCCTTTTTAGTTACCTGTAAGCATATTCATGTTTCAGTCACGAACAGAACTGGAGCAACAGTCTATAGACACAGCCAACACTTCAGAGGCAGTGTGTCTTATCACTCAAGTCCAGGCTCTCAAACGCAAAATGAAGACATGGGAGAAACAGGTGGAGGTGAGTACCTAACTCAATAAGTTACTCTTAGTGTTAATCAATATCAAAGATTTTAATTTAAGTTTTAATATTTACCTTAAATTAAAAATTTTCAGTAAAATCAGTTTTTTGCAGAAAAAGTCTTACTTTTCATTACATTTCATGACCTCTGATACGTATTTGTCATTGTGAATAAACTGTTTTTCTTACATGTCATACATATACAAGCAGTTTGTCTACATTAAAATTAAACCACCTGATTAAAATCTCAGCAGTAACTAAATAGGTAGTACTTGTTACATTACTAGATGTACAATGAAGGACAGAGGATTCTGGAGCGACAAAGATTCCAGTTCCCTGCCAACTGGCTGTACAGTGACAATATCGAAGGAGAGTGGGGGGCCTTCAATGACATCATGAAACGCAAAGACTCATCCATCCAGACACAAGTTGCCAGCCTTCAGATGAAGATCGTATCTGAGGACAAAATCGTGGAGAGTAAGACAGGGGACATGCTACAGGAATGGGACAAAGAGAAACCTGTTGATGTGAGTAGTCCACCATCTATAACAAGCTTGGCCTTAACTACACTAGATCATTCTGAAGAACCACTTACCAACAGATAGTTGGTTCATATCTCTTTTCGTGAAGATTAATCATTTTCTCTTTATATTTCATGATAAATTCTGTAGAAGATATAACCATTGATTATCCTGTTGTCCTTTGTAGGGAAACATGCGTCCAGACATGGCTACAAAGGCTCTGACAATATTTGAGGGAAAATTCACCCGTCTGAAGGAGGAGAGGGACAATGTTGCCAAAGCCAAGGAAGCATTGGAGCTATCTGAGCCTGGTAAGGGTGGCAAACACTAGGTAAAATTGAGCCTTGAAATGGCGAGAAAGGATAGTCTAGATTCGCTAGGTAAAAGGGGGTCTGGAAATGCAAGATATGAGAAGTTCTGGAGTTGCTATGGAAGGATGGGGATTGGAATGCTCGGTAAAGTGGGCTTAGAACAGTTGGATAAGGATAGGGTCAGAAAGGCAATGAAAGAATTAGGTTGATATACCAGGGAAGAGTGGGACTAAAAGTGCTAGGAAAGGATTGAGCTGGAAAAGCTAGGTAAGGGTGATCTTTGAAATGTCAGGGAAGGGTTTAGCTGGCCATATGATAACAAAACTTTACTTGAACCTTTTTGCTTGTTACAGGTCAGCTTAGTCCCAGTGAGGAACGTGTCCAGGTTGCTTTAGAGGAGTTACAAGATCTCAAGGGAGTATGGGCTGAACTGTCTAAGATCTGGGAACAGATAGATGAGCTTAAGGATAAACCCTGGCTGTCTGTGCAGCCCAGAAAGGTAAGGCGAAGCTCACAGATGAATCTATCTGTCTGTACATTCCATTCAAGTAAAGATGAAACTCACAGACAAATTTGTCTGTGCAGCCTAGAAAGGTAAGATAAAACTCAGAAATATCACAGTCTGTGCAGCCTAGAAAGGTAAGATGAAACTCAAAAATATCACAGTCTGTGCAGCCTAGAAAGGTAAGATGAAACTCAAAAATATCACAGTCTGTGCAGCCTAGAAAGGTAAGATGAAACTCAAAAATATCACTGTCTGTGCAGCCTAGAAAGGTAAGATAAAACTCAAAAATATCACTGTCTGTGCAGCCTAGAAAGGTAAGATAAAACTCAAAAATATCACTGTCTGTGCAGCCAAGAAAGGTAAGATAAAACTCAAAAATATCACTGTTTGTGCAGCCTAGAAAGGCAAGATAAAACTCAAAGACATCACTCTCTGTGCAGCCTAGAAAGGTAAGATAAAACCCACAGGATTGTATTGTAATGTAGTCAGTGATTATATTGATTCCAATTTTTCAAGAGTGTAGTGGATCTCATTAAATGGATGAAAATATTACTTCAAAAACACATCAATTATTAGTCTCAAGATCACACATCAAAAATGCATTTCTATTAATTGAAAATCTACACACTAAACATTGAAAACACATCTGTCTAATCTCAAGATAATACAAATATTATAAAGACATGTTTTTCTTAGTTTCGCTTATGCAATTTGATATAAAAATAAATCACGATGTTTGTCTTATTTAGATTCGTCAGTCCTTAGATGGACTCCTGAACCAGCTGAAGGACTTACCTGCCAGATTGAGGACATATGCCTCATATGAATATGTCAAGAGAACTTTACAGACTTATGCTAAGGTAGTAACCTAATTATTTTACCCTTTATGTAGAGTTTTATCATGTCATAAATCATGTCAGGCATAAATAAGGTTTATCAGTAATGAAGAACTTTTCTCAAGCCATTAAATTGAGCATAGTGAAATGTTCATGGTTTGTTACTGGTTTCAAAAGTTTTGTTGGAAGTAAAGGTTACATTCTGATGTTTTAAACTTTATAAAGGTGAACATGCTGATTGTGGAGCTGAAATCAGAGGCTCTGAAGGAACGCCACTGGAGACAACTGACCAAACGCCTCAATGTTCGCTGGGTGTTATCAGAGCTAACGCTGGGACTGGTCTGGGATGTGGACCTCATTAAAAATGAACCAATCATTAGAGATGTGATCCTTGTAGCTCAGGGAGAGATGGCTCTGGAAGAATTCCTCAAACAGGTATGTAATCTTAGATATATAGTTTGTTAAATTCAGCAATGAAAGTCCAGGCAGTCAGGCTTCTGTTAAGATAGAACTTTCATGATGTCTAGAGAATGTATTTGTGTAGGTATCTGATATAAGAAATTAAAAATTTACCCCTCTTTTTGTTTATTTAATGAAGTACTGTCTCATAAAACATAGAGTTCTCAGCAAACATATAACAAGTCTATATCACTTAAAGATGGAAAGAAATACCTCAAATGATACAAAAATAATGTGGGAAATATATCTCCGCAACACATAAAAGAATGGAATCCCATCGCTATAAAATGAGAATGGTGAATTCGAAATTTCACTTGGGTTTTTCCTTCATATAAAGGTTAGCGAAGTTTGGAGATCTTACGAGCTCGATCTGGTCAATTACCAAAATAAATGTCGACTGATCCGAGGATGGGATGACCTCTTCACAAAGGTCAAGGAACACATTAACAGTGTCACTGCCATGAAGCTCTCGCCCTACTACAAGGTTGGTAATTCCTGCAATATTCAATTAATGGTTTGATGTTTTGTTATATTTTTATTGTTCATGTGTAATATTTTACTGTTTGTAACTGTGTGTAATATTTACTGTGGACATTTTGAAAATGCAAACTACAATATTTAAGTAGGAAATAACATTTTGTTGGGATACATCCTGATTATCAATGAAATTTTCAGCAATTTGAAGAAGATGCCCTAGCCTGGGAGGACAAGTTAAACCGCATCAATGCTCTGTTTGATGTGTGGATAGATGTCCAGCGGCGTTGGGTCTACCTTGAGGGTATCTTCACAGGAAGTGCTGACATCAAACATTTGCTGCCAGTGGAGACATCACGATTTCAAGGGTAGGCCTTACAGTAGACCTTCACTGTCATGTACATGGTTGTGGTTGTCCAATCTCCTTTACGAAATAATAAAAGAATAGATGTTTGAAAAAATATTCAGAAAGCATCTTCATATAGAAAACATATTGGAATTATTTTGATATACTTGGAAAGGCACTGTACAGGGATTGCTGTGTTGACTCTGTCCTTGGTTGTGTCATTTACCTTAAGATTCATTGATGACTCAAGATCTTGTTTGCCAATGTCTGAACGTTAATGGTGTTAATGCTTGCTTGGAATTGATTTTTATATGATTATATTTCAGTGTGAGTACAGAGTTCCTTGGTTTGATGAAGAAGGTGACAAAATCTCCTCTTGTGATGGATGTTGTCAACATCAATAATGTACAGAGACAGCTGGAGAGGCTGGCTGACCTGCTAGGCAAGATCCAAAAGGCTCTAGGAGAATACCTAGAGCGAGAGAGAGCATCATTTCCGAGGTATGCCAAATACAGTGTAGAATTAATACAAGGGATGATATCTTTCCCTGAGTAGGTCAAACACAGATGCATGGTAGAAGTAGATTGTGATAAAGGGAAGTGTATCTTTCCCTATGTAGATCAGAAACAAGGTAGAATTAGTTTGTAAAACAAGGGATGACATCTTTCCCTGAGTAGGTCAAACACAGATGCACAGTAAAAGTAGATTGTAATAAAGGGAAGTGTATCTTTCCCTATGAAAATCTGAAACAAAGTCAAATTATTTTGTAAAACAATAGAGGATTTATTTCTGTAGGTTTTGTAAGACAAAGTGCAGAATGAACTTGTGAAATACAGAGTAGAATTTGTTTGTAAAACAAAACTCCTTTTTGATTTGGTTTTAGATTTTACTTTGTTGGGGATGAAGATTTACTGGAAATCATTGGCAACAGTAAGAATGTGACCCGTTTACAGAAGCATTTCAAGAAAATGTTTGCTGGTGTGGCATCCATCATACTTAATGATGACAGTTCCCAGGTGATTGGCTTGCTGTCCAAGGAAGGAGAGGAGGTATGTGTCTGGCTGACTACATGGTTGCTTTTCTAATGGCTAGGCTTCTAACTTTTTCCGTACCTATTCTTCAATGACCATTTCAGAAGGAAACTTACGAATCTGGTTCCTGTATACTGGTCCAGAAGACATTCTCATCCCTGCCTCCCTATCTAAGTGTCCGTACTCGAGATGTACATAATCTAGATGGAATTGAAGTAACCGATACATTCATTCTTCCATAATGTTTTTGTTGCTTTGTTTTAGGTACAATTTGCCACTCCAGTGTCCATTGCAGCCAACCCTAAGATCAATGAATGGCTGACATTGGTGGAGAAGGAAATGAGGATGACTCTAGCAAAACTCCTCGCCTCCGCTGTCCAGGACATTGCTGCCTTCAAATCTGGCAATATTGACCCCACCAAGTATCTCCAGTGGGTGGACACTTACCAGGTAAGGTCCAAGGTCAATTATTTATATCATTTGAAGGTCACATAAGGATTTATAGCATTGTGATAGAAATGTAAGTTTTGGAATGAGATTTTGATCTCCAGATTTAGCCTTTTTACTGTTGTGATGGGCTATTTTTCAGTTCGAAGTATTTTGTCAAAATGTAGATCCTTGAAACCTGTCTATTCTGACCTATTTATTGTATAATTTACATAATATATTAGATGTAAAGGATGGGAAAAGAGTTAATGCCCTTTTATTTTTTTGTGTTAGGCCCAATTGGTGGTTCTGGCATCCCAGATTGCCTGGTCGGAGAGTATAGACAGTGCCCTTGCTGCCATTGCTGCACAAAAGAATGTTGATGACCTCAAACCCATGAACAATGTCCTACTGATGGTGGAGTCCACCCTCAATGTCCTGGCTGACTCTGTACTTACAGAACAGCCGCCAGTCCGAAGAAAGAAACTAGAACATTTGGTGAGTCTTTAATGATGAATAGAATTGGATTACTCTGCTATGGTTATCTATCCAAATGTCAAAAACTTTTGAAACCAAGATAGACTTTGTAACTGATATAATTTCTCTAAATTTGTGGCATTAGATATGTGTGAATGTTATTGCTCAAAGTACAGATCAGTCCTTTTGTAGGAACAAACTTATCATCAATCAGGATGTTAAAAGAAGTTAGAAGTGTTTTATTTATGTTTTGCTATATATGGTAGTTATTGAGCTTTGGAACTTGTGAAGATGCTAAATTTAGGTAAAGAACATCCCATTTTAAATTGAATATTTTAGAATTAATTTACTTTCCTATTTGTCAACCTCAGATCACAGAGCTGGTGCACCAGAGAGGAGTCACTCGGAATCTCATCAAACAAAAAGTGAACAGTCCCAAAAACTTTGACTGGCTGTGTAACATGCGCTTCTACTTTGACCCAAAGAACCCAGAGGTTCTACAGCAGCTGTCTATTCAGATGGCCAATGCCAGGTTTAATTATGGCTTTGAGTACCTTGGGGTTCAGGACAAATTGGTACAAACCCCACTTACTGACCGCTGTTACCTCACCATGACACAGGCTCTAGAGGCTAGATTGGGAGGCTCCCCATTTGGTAGGTACTCATCCCCCTAAGTGGTTGAAGCACATGCCCCAAATATCCTTAGACATCCGTAGACATGATAAAATCATAGCATATGATGAGAATACAGGGTAATATAGACAGGCTTAAACAACCCGGTTCATAGAGCATTTTCCTACATTACCTCAGGTGAAGATCAGAAGTGAGTGATTTTAAGCTTCCTATCTGTGGCAGTTTGTGTTTCTCAGGAGGATGAAACCAGTCTTTGCTGCTATGGTTGTGTTCTTGGGTAAGACATGTTACCCAAATTGCTCTAGGAGATATTATGGGCCTCCCATATGCTGTTCATTGAGGTAGCCACCAACTATTACAAGGACACCCACCTCAAAACAACCATCTGTTTATGTGGCAATAAATCCAGCAAATGAACAAAATACAGAATTATCATAGACACTGCAATCACACCTGTTGTACTCTATTTTTGCAAATTGTATTTGTGTTACTGATGTCCTTGTTTCTGTGCAGGACCTGCTGGTACTGGTAAAACAGAATCTGTGAAAGCCCTTGGAAATCAGCTTGGAAGATTTGTGCTGGTGTTCAATTGTGATGAGACCTTTGACTTCCAGGTATGTATGGATGTACACTGTATCTTGTTTCTTTTTTCCTTATCTGATATTCATTCGTTACAGATTTCTTTCTTCAGCTAGTTTTTGTGTCACCTGCCAAAGGCAACATATAGGTAAAACTCATTGGCGTCATTGGTGCTGTCATTTATGAAGGGTTTTTTTGTGATAAATTGAGTGCACTTTGGCCAAAAGTGCTTGCTTAGAATTGCTTTTCATGAAGATGAAAGGTTAAGGTCACTGTTACTATGAATAGAAAATTAGTTTTTCTCAAAGTAACTTCAGTTCCCTTTGGACAATCAACCTGAAACTGTATACAGTACTTCTTTACCAAAAGTGCTACCTTGGGATTGATTTTCAAGTCCAAAGGTCAAAGTCTCTGCTACTATAAATGGAAAATTTTTTTTTTTTTTCATGATAACGTAGTAACCTTTGTCAGATTATCCTCACTACATACAATGCTTCCTTGCCAAAAGTGGTTGCTCGGGATTGGTTTTCAAGTCCAAAGGTCAAAGGACAAGGACAGTGTTACCATATATAGGAGATTGGTTTTCATGCAATACCTTAAGTTTTCTTTGGACAATTACACTCAAATTTTATGCAGTGCTTCTTTAACAGGTCCAAAGGTCAAGGTCATTGTAGCTGTAAAAAGAAAATTGGTTTTGTATAATTACTTGAGCTTTCTTTGATAATTAGACTCAAACTTCATACAATGCTTCTTAAACAAAGGGGCTTGTTTGAGATTGTTTTTCTTTGTCTGCTGGGTTGTCCCTGTTCCTGCCATATTTGGAGCAAATAGATTACAAAAATGGAATAAATACAATGAATATCTATGGCTGTTGTTCCTTAGAATTCATCTCCAGAAACCTTGCTGGGCAGGTGACACATCCACTTCTGTGGAATTCTTGTAACATCTGTTTGGTTTCTAACTTTATGAAACTTGCAAAATCCTGACTTTTTAAATTGTTTTACATTTTGTGCATCCATGAGCATTGGGTTTCAAGATTGATACTCGTAATAATGCTGCCAATGTTTGTCATTTTCCTGCCTAATCTGTTTGGAGGTATGGAACATTCAGGTGTCATAATAATCAATAATGTATATTTTACAGGCTATGGGCCGTATCTTTGTCGGTCTGTGTCAAGTAGGTGCCTGGGGATGTTTTGATGAGTTCAATCGACTGGAGGAAAGAATGTTGTCAGCTGTCTCCCAACAGATTCAGACAATCCAGGAGTCTCTTAAGGAACTAGCAATCACAAAGGGCAAGCAAGGTAAGAAATCTGCAGCAGTGACACAAAACCTGTCAATACTAGCAATTACAAAGGGCAAGCAAAATAGGAGAATTGGAGCATTTATTAAAAACCTTATCCCTATTATTATATTCTTATGAGATATCTACCGTTATTAATTGGTCATGGTAATTATTGGAAATATCTAATGTTGATTATTTTTCGTCATTTTAGCGTCCCATATCGTGGTGGAACTAATCGGTAAGCAAGTGAAGGTGAATGCTGACATGGCAGTGTTTATTACCATGAATCCTGGTTATGCTGGCCGATCCAATCTACCAGACAATCTGAAAAAACTGTTCCGTAGTTTAGCTATGACCAAACCAGACCGCCAGCTTATTGCTGAGGTGATGCTCTACTCTCAGGGCTTCCGAACGGCAGAAAAACTTGCCTGCAAGATTGTCCCCTTCTTCAAGTAGGTACCAATAGCATCATTGATTGATCAAACTGTAACATATACTTAAGTAGAATTTTTCTGTATTAAAAAACTTTTCTCTGAAAAAGAAAGTCATATTTATTCATTATGAAGGGGTTTCAACATTTGTGACAAACTGATTTCAAATTTTACAGACTCTGTGATGAGCAGCTTTCACCACAATCTCACTATGACTTTGGGCTGCGAGCCTTGAAGAGTGTACTGGTTAGTGCAGGAAACGTCAAGAGAGATCGCATAGCATGTTTGAAGCAAGGTTTACTGGACCGTGGAGAACCTGTAGATGAATCTGTCATTGCAGAGAACTTACCAGAACAGGAGGTAATTTATATATTGACCAGTGTTGTTGTGGTGATTTTGTACTGTTTGATGATGCTCCGATATTTACCAAAGTATTACAGTAGAATGTAATTGATGATAATTTAATGTTGTGTATGACTAGATCCTGATACAGAGTGTGATGGAGACCATGGTTCCTAAACTGGTAGCAGAAGATATTCCTCTCCTCAACAGCCTGTTGTCTGATGTGTTTCCTGGAGTCGATTACAACCCTGCTGAGATGTCAAACCTCCGCCAGGAAATTAAACGTGTGTGCCAGGAAATGTACCTTGTGTATGGCGAGCAAGATGAACAGGGTGCCCACTGGGTAGATAAGGTAAGGTCTGCAATTACAGTTAATCCTCTCTTTACTTGTTAATGATATAGGTTTTAACTGACCTGGTAATTGTCTCATTTTATTTGATAATGATATAGATTACAAATAAACTGTTAATTCTCTAATTTGAATTATTAATGATGTAGATTTATATGCCCTGTTATTCCTCAGATGGATGCTTGAATAAACAAGTTTTAAATTACAGGTGCTACAGCTGTACCAGATCACTCAGCTACATCACGGCCTCATGATGGTTGGTCCCAGTGGTAGTGGCAAGTCTACAGCATGGAGGGTTCTACTCCGAGCCTTGGAGCGACTTGAATCCACAGAGGGCGTTGTGCATGTCATTGACCCAAAGGTTTGTGGTTAAGAGCAGAAGTTTAATAGAAATTGATAAAAAAGGGACCATTATCTTTTATAACTTTCAATAGCCAAGAATTTTCAATTTTGCAATGCCTTTACCTTACACTAGTTATAGACATGTCCATCAAACTTAGATGTCACATTTTGATTGCTGTTTCACTCAATCATTATCAATAAATGTTTCACTTAATCGTTATCAATAGATTCTACTTTTCTATTTGGTCTAAATTTGATGATATGAAATGAATTTTTTCTTGTTGAACAAAAATCATTTTAAAGTTCAGTTTTTCAAATATTGTATTCTAATAACAAGTGATAATTTCATTAATCTAGGCAGATATTTTTATAGTGATGAAGTATTCAGTTGTATTCCAGGAACTTAAGATGTATTCTTTGTTTTGTGCAGTCTATTTCAAAACAAATCCTGTACGGTAGCCTGGACCCTAACACAAGGGAGTGGACAGACGGTCTCTTCACTCATATCCTCAGAAAGTAAGTATCAAACATAATGCCATGTCAATCTATCACGACAGCTGACAGGTGTTGGAGAGTCAGAAGAACATAACATAAAAAAATCAAGAAACCCATAAGACTTTCACCAGTAACTGTAGCAATGTCTCATTGATAAGTAATTGTCAATATATGTCAGTTCCTGGTCATTTTGCTTTTATTTCAAATGTGTTATTGTGAGAATTTGATGAGATATTTATTTACTTGCCTACCTCCCCAGGATCATAGACAATGTGAGAGGAGAATTACAGAAGAGACAGTGGATCATCTTTGATGGAGATGTTGACCCAGAATGGGTAGAAAATCTCAACTCGGTGCTTGATGACACCAAACTTCTGACACTTCCTAATGGAGAAAGATTGGCCATACCCCCTAATGTGAGTCCACCATTAATAAAAATGTGACTGTACACTATTGTCTTTACCTGGTTGTTCATTCTGAACAAAGTATGTGAAATTAGGATTAACTGTAAATGTTTGTTCTCTACAGGTGCGGATCATGTTTGAGGTACAGGACCTAAAGTATGCAACGCTGGCTACTGTCAGTCGCTGTGGGATGGTTTGGTTTAGTCAGGATGTCCTGTCAACAGAAATGCTGTTTGAGAACTACCTATTGCAGCTGAAGAACCTTCCAGTTGAGGAGGCTGAGGATGAGGGCTTCATGGGACTCGCCTCCAAATCTGAAACCAAAGATGAGACTCTCTCACCAAACATGCAGGTACAGTATTAGAGAAATAGCCTTTCTCCGATGACTCATTGCCTCACATCCTGTATACAAGTGTGTGTGGTTTGGACACAGCTTTTCTTCTAGGATTAACAGATTTTGCCTTTCTAAACCTATTTCTTTCATCATACAGGATTTTAAATCACTAGAAGAAAGTTGTGTATATCAAATCTTGATCTGTTGATCAGTCTGACTATTACCACTTTCGATGTTGTTCCCTGAGACACAGATATGTTTGTTGAATTTGCCAGATTAGGATCAGCAATTCAAGGATATTACCAAATCAGGTGTAGAAATTGGTATGATTGCATGATACTCATATGTGCTGGTATAGTCCTGTCAGTCTTGAAATGCTTTTTTCAGGTTCAGAATGATTGTGCTGCATTTCTGGCTCCTTATTTCTCCTCTGATGGGATCATTGTGCGCTCCCTTGAGTATGCCAAGGATCTTGACCATGTGATGGACTTCACCAGGATGCGGGCTGTCAGTTCTCTCTTTTCCCTCCTTAACCAAGGTGTAAGGAATGTGTTGACCTACAACCACAACCATTCAGACTTCCCCATGCCTGTAAGTTGACTGGAAAGCTAACTGATTTCAGAGCTGTGAAATGATTTTTAAGTGCTTTTTAAAACTTTTAGTTTTATGTAACCTTGCACTCAGGCCTGCCACCAATATGTTTTTCAGCAAGACCAGCTGGAGAAGTACATTAGCAAATACCTCATCTACAGCTTGGTATGGTCCATGACTGGAGATGGACCACTTAAGATGAGAAAGGACATGGGCGAGTTCATCCGCAGCTGTTCTACAATATCACTTCCCTCTACTCATCCCATTGTGGACTATGAAGTAGGTATTTACAATCCCATAGTAGTCTATTTGATAGTCTTTGCTATCCCATTATTGACCATAAGGTAGTGTTTGCTATCCCATTGTTGATAGCACTATGAGATAGTCTATCTATTCGATTGTTGACTTTGAGGTAGGACTTGTTCCATTCTGCTATTACAACCTCTGTGTTCCAATACTCATTTATTACTAGGTTCTGTTAACTTAATTCACTTACATATAATTTCACCTGGATGAAAACTGCATGATGTAAGGATGACCTTATTTTGTATAATAATAGTAAGGTGTAGAAAAGTTTCAACATTAATTGATATCACTAAGGTGTTATATTAATATATGATAATGCCTTGTAGGTGTCTATCACTGGAGAATGGGTACCATGGCAATCTCGTGTGCCACAAGTGGAAGTGGAGACCCACAAAGTTGCCTCTCCCGATGTCGTCATCCCAACTATTGACACTGTAAGACACGAGGCACTACTCTTCACTTGGCTTGCAGAACACAAGCCCCTTGTACTGTGTGGACCCCCTGGTTCTGGAAAAACCATGACATTGTTTAGTGCCCTACGCTCTCTTCCTGACATGGAGGTATGTTGTTAGTTTGTGAGGATCGATATTATAAAGACCTATGGATCACTAGAATGTTTGTACTGGATTACATGTGTTTTTATTAGCAGGTTTCCCACGTCTCAATCAACAATGTCTACCATTCTCAAGTTTTATGGACTAATATTGGTTTCCATACATTGTGTTGTTCTGAAAGCCTAGTTGTTAACTTGGATTAATATTGTCTCATGTATTATGTTGTATAGGTTGTCGGCCTGAACTTCTCCAGTGCGACAACTCCTGAACTGTTGCTGAAGACTTTTGACCACTACTGTGAGTACAGACGTACTCCTAATGGTGTGGTGCTATCCCCAGTCCAGATGAACAAATGGCTTGTCCTTTTCTGTGATGAAATCAACCTCCCCAATATGGACAAATATGGTAAGATAGATATTTTTCTTTTAGACTTCATAGTAATTAACACAAATTTTTTATATCATATTGTAGATTCATATTTTGTATCATTTTCATTTATTCTTTTTTTGATGGATAGGTACCCAGCGAGTGATATCCTTCCTCCGACAAATACTGGAGCATGGTGGATTCTACCGCACCACTGACCAGTGCTGGGTTAAGTTTGAAAGGATCCAGTTTGTTGGAGCTTGTAACCCTCCAACAGACCCAGGCAGGAAGCCCCTATCTCACAGGTAAATATAACACAGCGGCACTTCTGTGAGATTATTACATTTTTCAAAAATATTCATCGTTGAAGTCAGTTGTCCATGAAGTAGTAACATTTAAAAGAACCACAAAATTGAGCCCCAGAAAAATATATGATTATAAAGTAACTCTGTAACCAACCAGGAAAAGGCATTATACATGTAGAGTCATGTACACTATCTACAACACATTCATGCGCTGAAAAAGATTGTTATTGTTTTACATTCCTAAATCATTGAATATAATAGGAAACTGTTTTGCCTATCGCTAGGTTCCTGCGTCATGTGCCAATAGTGTATGTGGATTACCCTGGAAAGTTGTCCCTGACCCAGATCTATGGCACCTTCAACAGAGCCATGTTGAGATTGGTACCAAGTCTAAAACCCTATGCTGAACCTCTTACAAATGCTATGGTGGAGTTCTATCTCTTGTCACAGGTTAGTTATGATTTTTAATGTTAATATAAATATTTTCCTGATTGATCATATTGCTCAATTTTGGTTAATTACCTGCAATGTTTTACTAAAATTGTATGGCTCTACTGCTTTTTCTATGTTACACAGGAGCGGTTTACTCAGGACATGCAACCTCACTATGTATACAGTCCTCGTGAGATGACACGTTGGGTCCGAGGAATCTGTGAGGCCCTGCGGCCCCTTGATAACCTTTCTGTAGAGGGACTGGTCCGAATCTGGGCCCATGAAGCTCTCCGACTCTTCCAAGACAGGTAAGGATACAAGCAAGGATTACAAAAGCTGTTAGTGAAAAGCAGTGTACAAAGCCATTAAGTTGAAGGTCATATAGTGTTATCCATGTTGGTCTGTTCTGTCGCATCTCATTTGGAATCAGAAGGGTGGGAGCGAGGGCATTCATATCAAACAGACATTTTTCAGTTTCAGTGAGAATTTTTTTTATTTCTTTTATTTTCAAATTTCAGTAATAAATTTTATCAGAATTTTGTTATAAGGTAGCAATTTAAGTATGTATAGTTTGGAGATTATTTACTATTGTTGTTGTTTATAACTTTAGATATTGTTTTGAATAAAGATATATGTTAAAGAATTGAAAATCATTAACAGAAGCTGTCTGGTTTAGCATGTTGCAATTATTCAGCGAAATTTTATCATGTGAGTGATGATAAATATGATGTAAATGTGATTGGTCAGATTGATTGAGGATGAGGAACGAAGGTGGACAGATGAAAATGTTGACATGGTGGCTCTAAAACACTTCACTAACATCAACCGGGATGCTGCACTCGCACGGCCAATCCTCTTCAGCAACTGGATGTCCAAGGATTATGTGCCTGTTGATCGGGAGGATCTGAGGGAATACACCAAGGCTAGACTCAAGGTGTGTATCCTTTGTGATGATTGTACAAAAGACACACAATTGAACAGCATCTTTTAATTTAAATTTAGAGTTAACTATAGTAGAGCCAAACAGTGAATTAAACTGCATCGCACAGCTGCCTTGCCCCACTAGGACACATCAAAGATGCTAAGGGCCTAAATTTTGAAGCCTAGGAAGTGACTTAGGAAAATAAAAAAAAATTCAGTATTTCATAATTTATATATATCACAACCACTAGCCTATCTACACCCATCACAAACCATAGCCTCCCTACACCCCATCACAAACTCTTGCCCTTCTCATTGTTATTTCACTACATCTCCAAACATACCTGCTTCACCTCTATCTTAACCTTAACTGTGCTTCACCTTTAAATAACACCCCCTCGCCCTATATCCTGAAATCTCCCCAGTTTCAGTCTACTCCTTAAACAGCTATAGCTGTTTCAACACTGTCTTATAGCTATCATAGCGGTATATTGTTTCTGAAATATTTGAAATTCACAATCTCAGTTTCTTTGTGCAGGTGTTTTATGAGGAGGAGCTAGATGTGCCCTTGGTGCTCTTTGATGAGGTATTAGACCATGTCCTCAGAATCGACAGAATTTTCCGTCAGCCTCAAGGTCACGTCCTTTTGATAGGGGTTAGTGGAGCAGGAAAAACCACTCTGTCCAGGTTTGTGGCATGGATGAATGGCCTCAGCACTTACCAAATCAAAGTACACAACAAGTACACAGCATTGGACTTCGATGAGGACCTGAGAATTGTGCTGCGTCGGTCAGGTTGTAAGGTCTGTAGGACGTTAATCTTTCCATGTTGAAAAATATATTTCATATAGATCTTTCTGAAAAAGTTCAAAAGTAGATGGGAAATGGAAATAAGAAACTTTCTGTGATCATTCCTTACTCATGTTACAGTAAATGTAACCTAATATCCTGTATCCTGATAGATCTGCTTTGTAAATTCTGAAGTGAATTATGTGACTTAGATGTGTGCGATGTCCCTGGAGTGAGTTATGTGACTGAGATGTATGTGATGTTCCTGAAGTGAGTTATGTGACTTAGGTGTGTGTGATATGTCTCAGAAGTTAGTTATGTGACTTAGATGTGTGTGATATTTGTGTGATAGATAAACTGTATACATGAGATCTACAGTATACATGCTGGAGTGAGTTTTGTAACAAAGATGTGTATGATATCCCTGAAGTGAGGTTTGTGACTGAGATGTGTGTGATATATCCCTATTACAGGATGAAAAGATCGCTTTTATCATGGATGAGTCTAATGTGCTAGACTCCAGCTTCCTGGAGAGAATGAACACCCTGCTAGCCAACGGAGAGGTTCCAGGTCTGTTTGAGGGGGATGAGTACACTACCTTGATGACCCAGTGTAAGGAAGGAGCCCAGAGAGAAGGACTCATGTTAGACTCTGGGGAGGAACTGTACAAGTGGTTCACTGGACAGGTAAAACAGATTGTCCTCATATTTATGTATAAACCTGATAAACAAGGGGTGAATTTTTTACCTGTATATTAGATAATAGGTTTTTAAGGGATTTAATGTTCAGATTAAGCTATTGTAGTAACGATGGCCTTGTAAGTTAACACTATGTTTGTGGTTGACAGGTAATGAAGAATCTCCATGTAGTGTTTACCATGAATCCGTCATCAGAAGGTTTGAAGGACAAGTCCGCTACATCTCCTGCTCTCTTCAACAGGTAACTTCAGACTCTCATGATGTGTTGTCAGATTAACTGGCTGTAGGGATGTAGGAGAGAGAGTACCGAGTCAGCAGGTGGGAGTAGTCAAATTAGCTGGGTAAAGGGGTGTAGAGGAGGGAGTTCTGAAACAACAGGTGTGAATAGTCTGGTAAGCTGGTTGTAGGGATGTAGGAGAAAGAGTACTGAGTCAGCAGGTGGGAGTAGTCAAATTAGCTGGGTAAAGGGGTGTAGAGGAGGGAGTTCTGAAACAACAGGTGTGAATAGTCTGGTAAGCTGGCTGTAGAGGTGTGGGAGAGAGAGTATTGAGACAACGGGTGTGAGTAGTCAAATTAGCTGGGTAAAGGGGTGTGGGGGAAGGAGTTCTGAAACAACAGGTGAGAGTAGTCAAATTAGCAGGGTAAAGGGGTGTGGGGGAGGGAGTTCTGAAGCAACAGGTGGGAGTAGTCAAATTAGCAGGGTAAAGGGGTGTGGGGGAGGGAGTTCTAAAACAACAGGTGGGAGTAGTCAGGTTAGTATGCTGAAGAGGTTTAGGGGAGGGAGTATCGAGACAATGGGTGTGAGTAGTTGGGTAAACTGGCTGTTATTGGTGTGGAGGAGGGAGCATAAGACAACGAGGTGAGTAGTCATGTTAGCTGGCTTTAGAGGTGTGGAGGAGGGAGTATAAGGCAGTTGGGCGAGTAGTCATGTTAGCTGGCTGTTATTAGTGTGGAGGAGGGAGTATAAGACAATTGGGTGGGTAGTCATTATAGCTGGCTGTAGAGGTGTGGGGTATAGAGGGATTGTAGACACTGGATTATCATGGCTTGACTCTGCCCTTTGATTATAGGTGATGACAAATTATGTCAATATTTACCTTCCAGGTGTGTTTTGAATTGGTTTGGAGATTGGTCCAATGGAGCTTTGTTCCATGTTGGAAAGGAATTTACCAACAAGATTGATTTGGAGAAGTCTAATGTAAGTAACCAATAATATGATTTAGCTGCGTATAGTAGAAAATATTGAAGTTATCATAGTTATGTGTAAATCTTGGTCTTAACATGTGTAATTGTTGTATTATTTTGTTGTAGTACATTGCTCCTGACTATCTACCAGCTGCCTACGAGGGTCTGTCTGCATCACCATCCCACAGGGAGGCTGTGACCAATGCATTTGTCCATGTCCACCAGTCATTGCACCAGGCCAACGCTCGCGTAGCTAAGCGAGGGGGGCGTTGTATGGCCATCACACCTAGGCACTACTTGGACTTCATCAACCACTTTGTATGTACTTTACTATCTTAAACGATTGTATGGTTCATAATTCTTTTATAATGTATGTCTGTAAAGGGGATCAGAGGCATTCTTTTCCTTATTGGTGAAAATGTTATCATTACATTACTATTACATTATGATTTTAATTCTGAAGAGGTTTTGGTTTCATTTAAATTCTTGGATGTGTATTTTACCTGTCTTTCTCACAGGCTAAATTGTACAATGAGAAGCGATCTGACTTGGAAGAGCAGCAGCTTCACCTGAACATAGGTCTACAGAAGATCCGAGAGACAGTAGATCAGGTGGAGGAACTGCAGAAGTCTCTCTCTGTCAAACGCATCGAGCTGGAGGAGAAAAACGCTGCTGCTAATGCCAAACTCAAGCAAATGGTAAATTTAACTTCACTATGAGTTAGAGAATCATTGATAGGCTTCATGTATATTTGCTTACAGAGTATACACAATAAACCATGATGCCTTTTCTGCAAATTTTTATTTGAATTTTACTCTTTTTATGCATTACAAGGAATATTGCTTTCATGTAACATGTTTGAAACTACTAGAATGCATGATTTATTTATCAAAAAGGTCAAAGATCAACAGGAAGCTGAGAGGAAGAAAATGACATCACAAGAAATTCAGGTGGCACTTATTGAGCAAACCAAGATAATCGCAGAGAAGTCGGCTAGTGTGAAAGCTGACTTAGCTGGGGTAGAGCCAGCTGTCATAGAGGCACAGCAAGGTAGGCAACAGGGTCTTACTTTTCTCTACACATCATACTGCTGACAGAGTCAAAGTTCAAAGTGTTATTGCTCCTATCTATCAATCATGTACAGGCATAATGTGAAGGGCTAAAATGGTATAAAAATGAAATGTTTACCTTTGCTTTCTTCACCTGTCCATAGCTAAATTATGATTCCTGTGTTACAGTCTTTCATATCTAGGGTTTGAAAGTATAGATTTGGATAGACGTTATAAGTTTAACATTCATCATTTCTTATGACTGAATCATGCTGAATTTATTTTACAGAAGCTTGTGCTTATTATGTCAAGTTTGTCACATTTATTGCTGAATTTTGCATCTATTTCTGTTAATGATGAATTTGTTTTCTGACCTTCAAAAGTCTTGGGTAGTCCAATTACTAAAACTGGTTATGCTCAATGCTTTTGATAACAATAACATGCATTACCAGAAAAGGAGCCATTATGAAGGAAGGGCTTTATGTGATTTTGCTAACACTTTTACTAGGGTTGACCTTCAATTTATCTGGTCATTGATAGATGAACTGACCAAGCCGAGGTGTGACCTTGCCCTGCTCTCTGATAGATGGACAGCTGGGGATGTAGGAGATAGATGTAGTCCCGTGTACTAGTGTTGTGTAATCTGCTTATCTTCAGTTTTATTACCGTTTTAGTTCCGTCATTTCTGGTGTTCCTTTAGTATTAATAAACACTTGATATTGTGCCACTTTATGTAGCAATTATCATCAAAAATAATTTTCTGCATAAAATCTATGCTGAAGATTGATTTGATTTGGACAACAGATAGTATCCACCATATTACCACATGCACAATATCACATCACTTGGGTGAAAGGTCACCACACTTCAGTAAAACCAATGGCAACAAACGCCATTGAGGTATAAATGTTTAAAATGTTTCGAGAAAAGAAGGGAATCCTTGATTTATCAATTTTATTAGGAACGTAGGTATATTTACATTTGCTTCATATTACTGGCTTTATTGCTTTGCGTGGTTTTGTGATTGATGGATAGTGAACATCTGAATGTATATTTAGGACGTCATATTTGTATGTCATAGCAATATTTACTGGTATCATTTTTTATCAAGGAAACCTAGATACAAATTGCATGATGTGTGAAGTTGTATATAATCATATTAAAGTGAGAGTAGAAGTGCATGAAATCAAGATTGTTTATCAGAGAAATCATTCAGATTTGGATATCTCCCTTTAATAATCGGTCTGAAAATTTGGAAGAGAAAATGTTTTATCAAGATTGTGAAGGTTTTACAAGAATAATATGAAAACAAATTTTTAAAAACAAATTTTGACCAAAAAAAAGTTATATGTATGATTTTTTCCCCATTTCATCATTGCAGAGTGCTATTAAGGTTTGTTTCCAAGATTGTATTTCAGCTTTATTAAGGCTTACATCAATGTTTTGTACAAAGACATCAGAGTCCAGCTTTGTATTGAAAATTTTTATCAACACTAGTGGATTAATAGATACAAAGCTCTCTTATGTATACAGGACATGTTGGTTTACCCACACAAGTAGACACAAAGCTCTCTTGTGTATACAGGACATGTCTGTTTACCCACACTAGTAGATTTATAGACACAAAACTCTCTTATGTATACAGGACATGTCTGTTTACCTACACTTGTAGGTTAATAGACCCAAAGTTCTTGTGTATACAGGACATGTCTGTTTACCCACACTAGTAGATTTATAGACACAAAACTCTCTTGTGTATACAGGACATGTCTGTTTACCTACACTTGTAGGTTAATAGACCCAAAGTTCTTGTGTATACAGGACATGTCTGTTTACCCACACTAGTAGACACAAAGTTGTCTTGTGTATACAGGACATGTCTGTTTACCCACACTAGTAGACACAAAGTTGTCTTGTGTATACAGGACATGTCTGTTTACCTACACTTGTAGGTTAATAGACCCAAAGTTCTTGTATGTATACAGGACATGTCTGTTTACCCACACTAGTAGACACAAAGCTGTCTTGTGCTTACAGGACATGTCTGTTTACCTACACTTGTAGGTTAATAGACACAAAGTTCTTGTGTATACAGGACATGTCTGTTTACCTACACTTGTAGGTTAATAGACACAAAGTTCTTGTGTATACAGGACATGTCTGTTTACCTACACTTGTAGGTTAATAGACACAAAGTTCTTGTGTATACAGGACATGTCTGTTTACCCACACTAGTAGACACAAAGCTCTCTTGTGTATACAGGACATGTCTGTTTACCCACACTAGTAGACACAAAGTTGTCTTGTGCTTACAGGACATGTCTGTTTGCCCACACTTGTAGATTTATAGACACAAAGCTCTCTTGTGTATACAGGACATGTCTGTTTATGCACACAAATAGACGCAAGCTATATCTTGTGTGAACACTGTATACATTCTTGATACTCCAAGGGTCACAATCACTTTTACACTCCCTACAATCCCTGGAACAGATCAAGGCAAAATTGAAGGTGTAAGCAAAGTAATTTGATTGATGTAGAGCAGGTTTTAGGATGAAAACTGACCAATCACAGACTGATACTCAGGAGTGACAATCAACTTCAAAGCCAAAACAACACACAGTTACGCAATCTTGAGATTCAGTTGATGTACATCAAGCTTGTCTTCTCATCTTATCCACAAAGAGTTGGAACCATCCATTTTGTCGTGAAATGTTCTAGGGGTCCAGAGAGCGATATTGAGCGTAACCTATAGAGTATGAAGGATTCACTGTGTAGGATATTGTGTGTACAGAACATGTGTGTTTTCCCACCTTAGCAGAAACACACTCTTTTCTCTATGTAAAGGGCATTTTCTGTTGTTTATAGCACTCTCACGTGTGTACAGGATATTTGCTGTTGTATAAAATACTATTGTATGAGGCACTGTCATATGTGTAAAAGACATCGTCGTACATCTAAGGCAGTCTCTTGTGTGTACAGGACATTGGCTGTTGTGTAAGGCGGTCCTCCATGTGTACAGGATATTATAAGCTGTTGTATAAGGCAGTCTCCTGTATGTATAGGACATTGGCTGTTGTATAAGGTTTACTGTAAACAAATTTTCTTGCACTGGTGCTAGCTTTCAGAATTTCAGCAATACAGCAAGTCAACTTGTCAAACAAACCAGTCTTATTTATGTCCAAATAAGTTAGGTGTTTCACCTCTGTGCTTTTGTTTCAAGAGAAATGTGAAAGTCAATCAAAAAGCTTGTATGGCTGTGTTCAAAGACACTAACAAGAGATTTTTGAAAATCGTTATTGCTGTATGAAATGAGCACACAGAGTCAGGAAAAAGTCCTTTTTGTAAAGTAAATAGTCAGATGGTTTTAATTATAGAAGTTTAAGTATGGAATTTTTTCCTTATTATCATAATTTTAATTCATAGCAATGCATTTTTTCAATTTTTTTCTACGATGAAATTCTTGAAAACATACCGCACACGAAAGAAAGCTTGTTTACAGTATATGTTATCAGGTTGTGTTTCTTTGTCATACTACCAAGTGTAGCTGTATTTAGTTTCCTTAAGCATGCTCAATATATTTTGTTCATTTTGTTATGTTTTTGTATTGTGTTTTGCTTTCTTCAGCTGTCAAATCTATCAAGAAACAGCATCTTGTGGAGGTAAAGTCCCTCCCTAATCCTCCTAATGCTGTCAAAATGGCCATCGAGTCCATCTGTACCCTGCTCGGAGAACAGGATCTTGACTGGAAGTCGCTGAGAGGCATCATTATGAGAGAAAATTTCATTTCTACTATTGTGAACTTCAACACACTAATTATTCCGTGAGTTTATAGAAAATACAGCTGGCGGTACTAGGTGTAGTCAGATGTGTATGGGTTGGTAGATTTTCTTGTGTGTGTAGAAATGGCCCACCATACCTAATCAACTTGTTTTACAATGTTAAAACAGCCTTTTGGTCCTCATTGATATTTGGTCAGGAAAAGTTGTGTAAAGCAGTTGATGTCGAGGTGTAGTGGGCTTTTCTATATACCTGGATTCTTTGGGTATAATGGTGTGTGACCTGTATATTTCTCTCTCCTTGCCTTCCCACCTAAGCTGTGAAAGGAATAAAAAAGAAGGACCTTGTGGAGATCAGGACCATGTCCAACCCCCCACCCCCTGTCAAGCTAGCCCTTGAGGCCATCTGTCTCCTCATAGGGGAGAGTGCCTCTGACTGGCGAACCATCCGAACTGCAATTGTCAAGGACAACTTCATTTCCAACATTGTCAAAATGCACATTGAGGATATTAAGTAAGTATGTCAGGTTTTTCTAAGGGACAGGTAAGTCAAGCAACTCCCCTGTCATCGGGAATGTCTGATGAAAGGTTTTGTTCAGGGGCTGTTATTAAATAGGACTTTGTCATCATGTTTTACTGAACAATGGACAGCAGGTAGGTCAGAATGGTTTCTATACACAGGACAGAAAGTAGGTTTGAATGGTGTTTGGACACTGGACAACAGGTAGGTACGAAAGGTGACTAGTCACTGGACAACAGGTAGGTCAGAACGGTTTCTATACACAGGACAGCAAGTAGGTTTGAATGGTGTCGGGACACTGGACAACAGGTAGGTACGAAAGGTGACTAGTCACTGGACAACAGGTAGGTCAGAATGGTTTCTGTACGCAGAACAGCAAGTAGGTTTGAATGGTGTCGGGACACTGGACAACAGGTAGGTTTGAAAGGTGACTAGTTACTGGACAACAGGTCTGTCTGAAAGGTGACCTTAACTGATAAAACAAATCTGATGCCTCTTTACTAAAGAGGACTGTCCCTGATGTTATGTATATGTGTGTTCAATTTGTTTGATTGTTTAGAAGAAACAGGATCAGGAGATTGAAATAGCAAGAGATGTTCCTCTAGTTTCTTGTAAATATTACTCATACATATTACAAAGAATATACTTGATGTACCAATTTGAGTTGAAGATACAAAACATTTCGTTTTACCAGGTGCTGAATGTCACCATCTTTAGTTTGTAACATATTGGTAGATACATTGTCAGGTGATTTCATGCACAGGATTAAAGTCATCTGAAGTCTTTTACGATATGGGTAACAATGTAAAAATGTAATTTAAGAATTTATCATACACCTCAATCTCATCATCATACAGAAAAGGATATTAGCTATTGTTTGTAGAAGAAGTTGAAAACAATGTAAAATAATTGCATATAGAATATTTGATAATGATTTTTACAGAGATGACATCCGTCACAAGATGAAGACCAAGTATATGGCTAATCCAGAATACAATTATGAGAAAGTGAACCGTGCTAGCTTGGCCTGTGGTCCTATGGTGAAGTGGGCAATTGCACAGGTTAATTACATTTTTTTAAGCTTGTCACATTGAATTTTTTTACTGTAAATTAATTAACCTATTTTATGTTAACCAGTAGTATGAGTTTACCATTGCAGGTGGAAAATTATAAGCTTACCGTGTTTAATAGTAAGATGTTTATCTGAACGTGGCATATTTTTTCCAACCTTCACCGGCGCCTGATGTACAACTCTGTAATTCTGCCTCGTTGTGTGATGTTACAGCTGAACTATGCAGATATCCTAAAGAAGGTGGAACCTCTGAGAAATGAGTTAAAGGGACTGGAGAATCAGGCGGAGGAGAATCGTCTGAAGGGCGACGAGGTCAACAAACTGATCAGTGAGCTGGAACGTAGCATTGCCAAGTACAAGGAAGAATATGCTGTTCTCATCTCTCAGGCCCAGGCCATCAAGTCTTCCCTCTCTTCTGTGCAGGCCAAGGTCAGTAGGTCAATGTCCTTTGTCCAAAATCCATAAAACAAGGTCACTAGTTCATGACCTATATAGAGGGAGAGTCAGTAGGTCAAAATGTTTCCTCCATATTTGTGACATCAGAAAGTCTTTACTCTGATTCACTTTGCTTGTAATAAATAACTTTATATCAAATGAAACAGATTTGTGTTATACTGTTGTAGGTGGAAAGGAGTGTGGCCTTACTCAACAGTCTTGGGAATGAGAAACACCGCTGGGAGGCAGGAAGTGAGACCTTTAAGAGTCAGATGGCTACCATCATTGGTGATGTCCTCCTGTCATCTGCCTTTATGGCCTATGCAGGTAAGTGGTTGTCAGCAGATCATTTTGACAGTGCTATATTTGTGTGGATAACACCAGAGAGTTGCCAAACTCAGACCCCATTTATAAGTGTCTGTTAGAATCAAACACTCTAGGGAGTAAGTCATCTATAATACTAAATTACCAACAGATGTATGTATGAACCTTTCCATAGCAGTATGAATTAGACATGTAGATTTAGAATAAATTGCATGTAAGATGAATAGTCATGTTATATAAGTTAACAAAGTTTAACTTACAATATAGGTTTGGATCGTGAAATTTGCTAAAAAGAAAACCACAAACTTTTTTTTAAGAGTACATTAGGCAGCTTATAGAACTGATGGGGTTAAGTTACAAATATCACTTGGAAATATTTTTTAAATTCATTTAGTACAGTTTGTCCAAATACATCTTGCTTGTTGTTTAGGTTATTTTGACCAGCAGATGAGGAGGAATCTGTTCACCAGCTGGTCATCCCATCTCCAACAGGCACACATACAATTCAGATCAGACCTAGCCAGAGTCGAGGTAAGTCTGCTAAAATTTTTGGCTTTCAAACTAGAATAATTGTGACATCATGGAGTGCACTGAATAGCATTGGATTATATAAGTGTCATTGAACTTTTGAGTAACAAGCTATGGTACTATATCAACATGTTAGATAAAGGTCACTGTGGTGTGTGTTTGTGTGTATAACTTTACATAGACCACATACTGTGTAACACTGAGTCCTTGTTAACATTGCAGTACTTGTGTAGTGTTGAATATGAGGTTTTGTTTACATTGCAGTACCTGTGTAATGCTGATGAGAGACTGAGATGGCAGGCCAATACTTTGCCAGCTGATGACCTATGTGCTGAAAATGCCATCATGCTTAAACGCTTCAATCGTTACCCACTCATCATTGACCCATCTGGTCAAGCAACAGAGTTTATCATGAATGAGTACAAGGACAAGAAGGTGACCAAGACCAGGTAGGCATTTAGTGTTTATAATTTTTTATACCTGGTAGGATGACATGACCTTGATCACCAATGTCAAGGTCAGGTAGTGTTTGCTTATGAAGTAAGTGTTACAAGGAATCTGACATAGACAATTTACTGTAATAAGGCATACCAGTATATTAGCCGCGGAACAGATTTTTATGGATTTTTTTTTATTTGATCTACATGTAAACTGCACTGGAATATAAGCCACATCCTTTCTTACAATATGGTGACCACTTTTTTATGGTTGATATACCAGTAACAGATAATGGTAGGCAGATCTTGCAAAGCAGTAACCGTTGACCAAAGTTCATTGATATAACAGACTTCAGTGGGCAAATTAATAGTTTGCAAATGAATTATATACACAGATAATCCTTTATTTTATTGATGTAGTTCAAAAGGCGTGAAATAGCAAATATTGAACTTGTTTGGTTTGGGTACCTTCACATTCCTCTATGCACAGATAAAGGCCCTGACGTTATGTATGGTTTACTAAACAATCTATTCATCGATGAAATGATGTCATTTGTTTTGGTTATTTCAGTTTCCTGGATGATGCCTTCAGGAAGAATCTAGAGAGTGCACTTAGGTTTGGAAATCCATTGCTTGTCCAGGTAAGTGTCTTTGTGCAAAATTTTCTTTCTTACCTGTAAAAGAATAGATTGTCAGTCATGTTTTGAATAACAATTTAAGGCTTTTATATAAGGTAAAATTTTTGAAATACCTGATTTTTATTCTTAAATCTGCATGTATAAATAAATCATCAGTTTTTATTGGTTGTGTCCCATTTTACATTGGCTGTTACCTATTAACAGGATGTGGAAAGTTATGACCCTATCCTGAATCCTGTACTTAACCGTGAGCTGCGAAGGACAGGTGGACGTGTCCTCATCACTCTCGGAGACCAGGATATTGACTTGTCACCATCCTTCACCATCTTCTTGTCAACCCGGGATCCTAATGTAAGCTGTAGTATCTATTCTCAACGTCCAACCAGTGGAACTAATTTATAAAATTATTTTAACTAATTGTTTATTTATATTAAGGTTCCAACTTGACCTATAGATTATGACGATATATCATGATTGGTCGTTATATGGATTAATAATTACAGATTTTTTTTTTTACTTTGTAAATGATGATATATGTTATTAATGCTGGTTTATACCACAGGTGGATTTCTCTCCGGACCTCTGTTCCCGTGTAACCTTTGTAAACTTCACAGTGACCAGGAGCAGTCTGCAAGACCAGTGTCTGAACCAAGTGTTGAAAGCAGAGAGACCTGATGTGGATGCCAAGAGGTCTGACTTACTCAAGTTGCAAGGTCAGTATTGCTACACTATTATAAGGAATAGATCATAACAGATAGATTAGATATAATGAGATGTATTATGGCCAGAAAGGATGTTGATGTTGTGAGGATAATTAACAGACCCTGTTTTTATAATTTCAGCAATGACAAAGCATGCCTTATTTATCTATGTGATCAGTTATGTGATTTGAGTGATAATTTACTCTAAACAGGTGAATTCCAACTGCGACTCCGTCAATTGGAGAAATCTCTTTTGGGAGCTTTAAATGAATCTAAAGGGCGTATCCTTGACAACGACAGCATTATCACCCACTTAGAGACTCTGAAGAATGAGGCAGCAGAGGTGGCTAAGAAAGTGGAGGAGACGGACATTGTTATGGCAGAGGTCGAGACTGTGTCACAGCAGTATGTGCCTCTAGCTCAGTCCTGCAGTAGTATTTACTTTGCTCTGGAGGGTCTACAACAGGTGAATAGGCTACTATAGAACTAGCCATTGAGTTAGAAAACAATTATAGAAATTGGTTATATGGATATAAGAATAGATTGAAACTACACATAGATGTAAGCATTCGCACTTTCACGTTCCTAGGTATTCTATGACTCATAAGACTTCCATTCGTTTATCAGTATAGTTTCAAAATATCCTTTTTGGGATGTCCTGGCAGTGTAATGGTTAGGCAGTGGATTTGGAGTTTGAGGCCTGGACACATGAGCCAAGGATTGTCTTCTTTCATCAGTTGTGTCTCAATCTCCAAATATCTATATAATATATGTAGTGACTATAGGATTCAAAATTATGTAAGAGAACATTTCTAAAGTAAAATGTTTTTCTTGAGTTAATTTTGTGTGACTTTTACCCACGTTGTTTGTAGGTCCATTTCCTGTACCAGTATTCACTACAGTTTTTCCTGGAGATCTTCCACTCTGTCTTGAGCAATGACAATCTGAAAAGCATGAAGGAATACTCTGCACGTCTCTCATCCATCACCAACAACATCTTTACGGTCAGTACTTAGCTATAATATCCATAAAACCCAATTTTATTGATAAAGTATTAATGTGGTCAGTCTCCAGTCAGCTCATGCCCCAATATTTTCATCAGACTGTGTTATAAATGACAATCAGTTTTCATTCCGGCACTAATGTCACTTTACACATCTATGTTCTTGCAATACATTAAGATGCAACATATTGCAGCCCATAAATGGAGATTCTTATTGATCTGGTTCAGAAAACTCTAAATAAGATGTCATTTTGCAGTAAATTTTTAATGTCTATTTAACAGGAGACGTTTGGGAGAGTGGGACGTGGTATGCTCTACCAAGACAGGATTACATTTGCCATACAGATGTGTAGGATCTTCCTCAAGGGACAGAAAGGGTAAGATATTTTGTCATCTTGTCTTTCATTATAGTTAGATCCTGCTATTTCATAGGGGTGGGGGTATATGTACCCATGTCAGTTCTGTAAGGGATTTAGATCAAACTTGATACAAAGGACAATTATGACAGTATCTAGCATGAATTTGTGTTTCAAGGTTCAGATCACAATTATTACTATTTACAGAAAGTCATCAATCTAATCTGTTAATCAGTGTGGAGACTTCACTTCCGAAGGGATTTTCATCAAATTCCATGCACAAGCTTTGAATGTTGTTTAAGGGTTAAAGGTCAAGTTCACCTTTCGCTTTTCTTCAACGTCATCAACTTTGATATTAGACTTACATCTTCAGGAATTTTGCTGACATCTGACAAAGATCATGTATCCATGTATCAGGGATTCCAGGTCAACTGTGCTGTAACTATTCATAGATAATTATCAACCAGTTTGGGGACATCTTGTTAACGTCTGTATTCCTAATTGAATTTTGGTCAATCATTGTTATGAGAACATATGAGTTATTGGTACTACTAGTAACAATGATATTGTTAATTTTCTGAGGATATTTGGTGAATCAACATGATGAGAAAACATCATTGTTGCTATTTACCACAATGCTACTGATAAGTATAAGAGTGGTTCAGTCTTGCATACAATTACTCTTTGAATTATTGATAATGAATTATAAATATTCTTATTATAAGTAATGATAAATTTTTATCAATATTTCTTGAAAGTTAGTTTTATTGGTGAATGGCATGTCTGTTTCTTGACAATAACTCGGATTAGACATTGACCACATATGTAAAGTGTAGCATTTCAAGCGTGAACAGGTTTCTTGAGACTTTTCTTACTTTGGATGAGTATATTTATAAGATAGCAAATAAAGTTGAGTATACTTGATATCTTAATTTTTCTGTTGTAGTGAAAACACCTACGAAGATGAGTTCAACTATTTCCTGAGAAATCAGGAAGCAGTTTTAACTGAAAAACCAATGTCAACCATTCAAGGCCTCTCAGCACAACAGGTAAGTGTAGGCATTATCATCAAGGGCCCGTCATTCATGCCTTAAACAGGAAAGTGTAGCTACAATGTTCAATGCACCTTTTCATATTTTAAACACTAAAGAACATATGGATACAGATTTACAGTGGGTAAGGTTTGACAGTGTTTATCAATAAGATTGATGATATATGTTGATATATTGGAGCAATACAAATGTTAAAAATGGAATGTTTTTGTGTTATTAGCAAGCCTCAATGTTGAGACTGTCAAAGCTGAAGGCCTTTAAGTCACTGGAGCAGGAGATCAGAGGAAATGGTGTAAGTTACCAACTTTTTAATCCTTTTTTCTTAATAAATTAGTATGTTTTTTAAAAGATTTCACCAGACAGGTGTTGCCTAACTGCATAAAATCTTAATTGCCTTGACCTGAATAAGTAAAACAACATTACCAATGGGCTACTAATATCCCACCACTATATTCTCACCAGTTTCTCACCACAACCTTGTATAAAGTCAATGAGATTACAATGAAAGTATTTGTAAACTTCAGCAGTTCTAAACTCACTGTCTACTGTTTTATTATTTAGTAAGATATGGCTATTAAGGTTCCTAAAGTTTTGACTCCTTTATAATGATATCATGAAAATGTTCCTGTAATATTTCATGACTTAAGTGTTTGTTGTACTGTTGGTCTGTTACAGGAATTCCAAGCTTGGCTAGAGAGTTCCACTCCAGAAGAGGACATTCCGATACTATGGGATGAAAGCAAACCATTCAGTGAGTTGTTCTTGTTTGTATAGCCCATTGTTGACTTTGTTTATGGATAAAATGTGCAGAAAATAATTTGTTGTCAATGTATTATCTGAAAACTATTGTTTGGGATACATTGTTTAGGTCCTATTGGGAAAGCTGTACATGGACTTCTGTCAATCCAAGCGTTCCGACCAGACAGACTTATTGCTATGTCTCGTGTGTTTGTTGAGAAAGTACTTACCGCCAACTTCATGCACTGTGCCGAGAAGGAACTCAATCTGGCTGAGATTGTTGAACAGCAGGTAAGATGTTACTGACAATTAATGTCAGAATGGAGATGGAATTAACACTGATTATTCTTGTATACCATGTCACTATCCCCTAATGCCCTATTTCTTTAATGGAATTAACACTGATTATTCTTGTATACCATGTCATTATCCCCTAATGCCCTATTTCCTTAATGGAATTAACACTGATTATTCTTGTAAACCATGTCACTATCCCCTAATGCCCTATTTCTTTACTGTAATTCTAGTGATGGATTGTCAAATTATCTTTTCCGATGTTAAGTAATTTATATCTACCTCTGAAATGTTTTGGTATGTGTCCCTGGTATTGCTTTACAATGATATAACCCTGACTTTTGTCCTGTTCAATGCTATCTGCTCCTTTTTTTTGTATTTATTCATCAGTAATAATTTATCAGTTCAATACCCTCCTTTAAACTATCTTTGCCTCTTATGCTCCAGGACCGAAGTATTCTGCCTCTTCTGTTTTATGTACTGTTACCTATATATCTGTTCCTTAAGTGATTTACCCTTAATATTGTAGATAAAAGCCAGTACACCTGTCCTTATGTGTTCTGTTCCGGGATATGATGCCAGTGGCCGTGTTGATGACCTTGCTACAGAGCTCAGCAAGCAGATCACCTCTATTGCCATGGGTAGGTTTATGATTCTTGTCTCTGACAGGGATATTTTGATCAATGAATGTATGAAGTATTACTGCATTATTAAACCATACTCTGCATATTACGGATTAGAATTAATGGAGACAATTTTCTTTTTCTGTAATTCTTGAATAATTTCCAAAATTTAAAATTTAAAATTCAAGCTACTAATTAGGCTGTTCATGACACTGAATATCATAACTAATAATTTTGTATTTTGATTAACAGGGTCAGCAGAGGGCTTTACACTGGCAGAGAAAGTCATCAATTCATCCAGTAAGTCTGGCCGCTGGGTGATGCTGAAGAATGTGCACTTGGCTCCTTCATGGCTTGTACAACTGGAGAAAAAGCTGCACAACCTGACTCCACACCCAAGCTTCAGACTTTTCCTTACAATGGAAATTAATCCCAAGGTACCATGTGGTCTTTTAGGATTGCATTTCTTGTTAGGGTGCATATCCCCAAATTTATTTACTACAGTTGTGCAAAAAAAAGGTGTTATTGAAATTATCTATATAAAGAGACATTCATTGTCTATAAACTCTTGCTTATGAATTTGTAAAAACAAAGGTGTTTGTCTTTTTCCAGCTGCCAACCAACTTACTGCGTGCTGGTCGTGTGTTTGTATTTGAGCCACCCCCAGGTGTCTCTGCTAACCTGTTGCGAACCTTCAGTACTGTGCCAGCCTCACGAATGTGTAAGGTGAGTAATCTATGTAAGCAGTGAGCTTTCTGTTCCCCATTTTTGTGTGTCAACTTACTTACATTATATGTACACTATAATCCACTATATATATACACAGTATGCTGTCTTGCCTCTGTAAGTGACCAATGAACAATTTAGAACTTTACAGTGGTACTGCCAGTTAAGGTCTTAATAAGATTGATATCTCTCCTTCATTGATTAAGTAGAAATGTTGACTGCTTCTGTGTTCAGTATACAGATTAAATGATGTAAACTTAGTACACTAGTTTTAATGATATCCATTACTTTCCACAGACTCCTAACGAGCGTTCACGCCTGTACTTCCTTCTTGCCTGGCTTCATGCTATTGTCCAGGAGAGGATGAGATACACACCTCTTGGCTGGGCCAAGAAATACGAGTTTACAGAGTCGGACCTCAGGGTCGCTTGTGACATGCTGGATACTTGGATTGACTCGGTTGCTATGGTAAGTTCAACAATAAATGTTGTTTTCAGTTAATATGCTGTTGTACTTTGATTGTAAATATTGTTATAATTTGCTACAGTAAGTTGGCTGTAAAATATTGTTATTGGTAACAAACTTTTGGCTCTTTATTTTACATCGGTTTAGATCTGAGATTAGGTCTATGTAACCAGACATCAGTCTAAAAATGATATAAATTTTTTAATGGAGGATATTTGTGATATAAGTGATTTAATAACCAGGTATTTGCAATATTAGAGGGTGTTTGAAGAGAATTATTGAAAAACTTCTGTCAAGTGTTCATGTTTACTTAACAAGTTTCAGTTGGTAATATCACATTTTATATGAAATCCATCAGGCTATACATTAAATGGTTCTCTGTTTGATTCTGTGGAATGTTTGTAATTTGAGTGTCCTTTGTTTACAGGGACGTACCAATTTGCCTCCTAATAAGGTGCCATGGGATGCAATTAAGACCCTTCTATCACAGTGTATCTATGGAGGCAAGATTGACAATGAATTTGACCAGGTAAATATTGTCCCTATCATACAGCGTTTCACTAAACATAGAAAAAATGTCAAAATGTCACAGCCAGGTTAACTGTGAAGATTCCTTCAGTTTCATCTGGGTAGGTTTTGCTTTATAATAAAGAAGTATATTTTGTGTCTGTGGACTTAACTGACCTCTAATTTTGTAGCGCCTGTTGACCACTTTCATCAACAAGTTGTTCTCGCCCAAGAGTTTTGAAGCAGAGTTCAATTTGGTCAGTAACATAGACGGCCATGGCAAGAAAATCAGCATGCCAGACGGTGTTCAGTAAGTGTCCACAGATAATTGTAACATTACGGAATGTAAGAGAGTAACTGTCCATACTAATTCTTATTTTTGCTGAATGGATGTCAGTGTATGTAGATACTTTGAACTTTGCTGAATTTCGACAGACTTTGTGGGAAAACCTTAGTGTTCACTGCAATACAATGTCCAGTATTAAAGCAGTGTTAATTGTTCTGATGGTCTATTACTAGTGTGATAATTTCATCTTAGGTTAGAAATACTGACTTTGAGAGAAAGAGATCATTCTAACAAACTTAATACTTTATCAGTATCACAGTTAACTTTCTTTTTTTAAACAGGCGTGAACAGTTTGTTCAGTTTGCGGAGTTGTTGGAGGGAGGAAGACAAACTCCATCCTGGCTTGGTCTGCCCAATAATGCAGAGAAAGTCCTTCTTACTAACCGTGGTAAGTGATATAGTATGACCACATCACTGAGTGGTAAAGTATACCTCTAGTAATGTATGTTTAAGTCCAGTGGAAGCAAGGTATGACTCATTTACTGGTGTATCAGGGATGCCTTTTCAATCTTTTTTTTTTGTAAGGCTGACAAGATCCATCTCAGCTTATCAATGATTCTGGAGAATTCAATGTTTGTCAATGACTGATCTTATTTGGACAGCCCCTCTTAAACTATTTTTGATTTGGGAGAGGGTTGGGGACTATTTTTGATTGGGGAGAGGGTTGGGGACTATTTTTGATTGGGGAGAGGGTTGGGGACTATTTTTGATTGGGGAGAGGGTTGGGGACTATTTTTGATTGGGTAGAGGGTTGGGGACTATTTTTTATTGGGGAGAGGGTTGGGGACTATTTTTGATTGGGGAGAGGGTTGGGGACTATTTTTTATTGGGGAGAGGGTTGGGACTATTTTTGATTGGGGAGAGGGTTGGGGACTATTTTTGATTGGGGAGAGGGTTGGGGACTATTTTTGATTGGGGAGAGGGTTGGGGACTATCTTTTATTGGGGAGAGGGTTGGGGACTATTTTTGATTGGGGAGAGGGTTGGGGACTATTTTTGATTGGGAGAGGGAGACTATTTTTTATTGGGGAGAGGGTTGGGGACTATTTTTGATTGGGGAGAGGGTTGGGGACTATTTTTGATTGGGGAGAGGGTTGGGGACTATTTTTGATTGGGGAGAGGGTTGGGGACTATTTTTGATTGGGGAGAGGGTTGGGGACTATTTTTGATTGGGGAGAGGGTTGGGGGTTTTGAAGCAGTGGAAAGGTTATTATTCACCTGACAACAGTTCTAGTTTTAACAGTTGTGAGAAATATTGATTCATGGAACGATTTTTATCTTAATGAGAACAATAACAGCATAGATGATATAGTTAATACCACTATTATTGATGATTGTCTGATTTATCAGATTTTATCAGTAGAATCAGACTATTTCAGTTGGACTTTGAAATGCTTGTATGTCCTGTATCAGGCTCTGCAATGATTGCCAAGCTCCTCAAGATGGAAGTTTTGGAGGTTGATGATGATGAGTTAGCATATGGAGGAACCCCAGAGGATGAACAGAAACGACTGGCTGATGGCCGCCCAGCCTGGATGAGGACACTCTACTCCTCTGTGTCTACTTGGCTTAACCTTATACCCAAGGTCAGTACAGTATAGGAGAGGAATGGATTGGGATATCCAACACTTCTGGCTAAGATAATAGGCTAGTTAGAGTATTGCCTGTGTAAGTAAGTCTAATGAATGTCTGGTGATTCAGTAAGTTGGTATGTATTTCAAAATTGTTGAGAAATAAATAGTTTACAGTTATCTGCTACATTGGAAAGAAGTTAGGAATTGTAAGAGAAGAACAGGTGAGGGACTGTAAGGCTGAAGACTTGGGTTTGGGGACTTGTAAGACTGGATGGAGTTAGTACTAGTTAGGATTAGGGTTGTGGAAGATGAAGACAGAAGTTTTGGGAACCTTTAAGACTAGACTTTGTTCAGAAGGCTGGGATAAGGAGGATGAGGACTGGAGTTTAGAGACCTGCAAGTCTCGGTTGAGTTAAATCTACACATAGGCTGGGGGTAGAAGGGACGAGAACTGGGTTTCGGGTACCTGTAAGATTTGGACAAGTTAGGACTGGTAAAGCTTAGGGTTGGGAGGATGAGGACTGGGGTATTTTGGGATCGCTAAGACTAGGGCAGTTGAGGACTATTAAGGTAGGTCATTGTGCAAATGAGTAATGGGATTTGGATACCAGTAGGAGTGGGACATGTTCGGGTCTTTACAACAGTAGGTGATGGCAACAGAAAATTTGTGTAGTGGGTCACTATTTAAGGCTGTAAAGATGCATTAACATCAAGGGAAAAACTCCCTATTCCTACATAGATTTATGTTCGGTAGGTGGGGTAGCTATAGTTACATTGTTGAATAAATAAAATCATTTTTTATACAGGAGCAAGATGAGGCATTGCAACAATATTTCTCCCTTTTGCAAACTTCATATTAACCCTAATTAATAACAATAACAGAATTTCCTCTGACAGAAGTGCAACGAGAGGTGTGCATGGTTCACTGTGTATATCATACCTTATTAACACCACTGTATATATATATATATATATATATAGCATGCTGATTTGGTGTTCTCTGTGTAATTTTGTTTATAATCAAATACTTGAGTGTTTAACACAGTGCTCGTTATATAATCCTGTACTTTGTGTGTGACTCCAGTGTATTCTGCATGTATATATATCATGTACTGAGTGTTGACTAATATTAACCTAGGACCCAGAAGGCCTGTTGGTAAGTCATCATTTTCACCTTCTAACACATTATTTCTCACCATCTCTCCACATCAACCTTCCCTTTCCGACAACTCAATCTGATCATTTCACACCACTGAACCTCTAGACTCCCTGGACCCAAACTACTGGTTCATCATGTTTAATATTGTAGACAATAAATGATGATATAATCAACATTAATTTTGTACCTGTATTACAAGTTCATCAATAAGAGGGCAATGGGGAACCTGTTATTTCCTATCATTTAGTAGATTTATGGTGGGGTTTTTTTTCTTGTACAGGGGAATTTCATTGGTATTTCTTGTATCATTACAAAATGAGCTCTTCCAGGGTAATCATTGGTTGCTATTTCCAAATTTCCTAACCTCCTAACTTCCTTGCTTACAATTCATCCAGTGTTTCATCAGATGTGTGAAAAAAGTAATAAAAGCTTTTTAACACAGGAAAAGTTTGTATTTCAGTGGTGATAATACTGAATATAGACATGTTAACAGCTAGTATGCATGCTACCTGGATCAAACTTACTAAAACATTCATAAATGCTGATACTAATACACAGATGTAAGTAGGTGGAGGTGGTGGCTTTGTTACGACTTATACTGATTCTTTTCTCTCTTCATTGTGAAATAGATTAATCCATTCAGCATTTGGTATCTAACAAATTATCTTCTGAAATGTTTGGTTTGAATACATGTATATATGATATTCTGAATTAATTTGTTATGATAGTATTTTTCATGACTTTTTACTTGTTTTTTGATACATAAGTGAACATGTCAGAATGTTGAACAATTCTCTTGCTGTTTATAGACACTGGGCTCCATGAAGAGGACGTTTGACAACATTCGTGATCCACTGTTCCGTTTCTTTGAGCGTGAGGTGAATGCTGGAGCAACCCTTTTGATGGACATTCGCCAAGACCTAAATGATGTGTCATTGATTTGTCAGGGTGAAAAGAAACCGACAAATCACCACAGGGCTATGATGGCAGACTTAGCAAAAGGTAAGACGTGAAGCAACACACAAAATAAGATATTTCTGTATTATGTTTTCAGTAATAAACAAGCAGTGCTAGTTCTCAAAGGTCCAGGTCTAATTTTGAAATAATTAACTGGTAAATATTCAAAATTATTTGTCTTCAGGGCAACAATTCATGATTAATTCAGTGGTACCTTATAGCAATTTGGTTGTCTGTGTGTTTGTCCACATTCAAGTTTACAATATGACACAATGTTGGGCCCCATCTGACAGGTGTCAGTACTTAGTTTTTACTTTGTTGTAAAGGTTTTTGTACCTAGATTTTTATTTTGTCTTGGCTGTTTTTCTCTCAATTAAATGATTTATTTCATGTTGCTGCATTTTTCTCTGTAGGTATTATCCCCCAGAGTTGGCACCGTTACACTGTTCCTTCTGGAATCACCGTTATACAGTGGATCACTGACTTCTCCCTGCGAGTCAAACAGCTACAACACATTGTAGTCACTACCCAACAGGGTGGAGCAAAGGAACTCAAGGTATCATTTCACCTCATTCCTTACACAGGGTTGGTAGGGGGGGGGAGAGGATGGAATTAATAGTATCATTTCATCTCATTCTCTATACAGGGATGGGGGGATGGAATTAATAGTATCATTTCATCTCATTCTCTATACAGGGATGGGGGGATGGAATTAATAGTATCATTTCATCTCATTCTCTATACAGGGATGGGGGGATGGAATTAATAGTATCATTTTATCTCATTCTCTATACAGGGATGGGGGGATGGAATTAATAGTATCATTTTATCTCATTCTCTATACAGGGATGGGGGGATGGAATTAATAGTATCATTTCATCTCATTCTCTATACAGGGATGGGGGGATGGAATTAATAGTATCATTTCATCTCATTCTCTATACAGGGATGGGGGGATGGAATTAATGGTATTATTTCACCTCATTCTCTATACAGGGATGGGGGGATGGAATTAATGGTATCATTTCACCTCATTCTCTATACAGGGATGGGACAGGACCAAGGAACTCAGGTATCATTTCACCTCATTCTGTATTCAGTGACTTCTATGTTCAGGGACTAGAATTACTTTAATATGGGCAGGTATGAAACCCCAATAGAGAAGAGAAAGTACACAGAGAAAAAGCACTGTTAGTTCCCCCTGTAGTCACATGCAGTAAGATACAGTAAATCTTTTGCTTATTGGCGTTTTTGAAAAAGACATGGAACTAATGGCATTTTGGAAAAATCAACCCAGTCATATATTCACTTTACCCTTACAGAGCCTGAATGTATGGCTGGGAGGCCTATTTATCCCAGAGGCTTACATTACGGCCACACGTCAGTATGTAGCCCAGGCCAACAGTTGGTCATTGGAGGAACTCTACCTAGAGGTAAGTCTGTAATGTTTGTGGTCCATATACCGGTGTATATAACTCAGTTACCAACTACCATAATGCATTTATTCCTTAAGCCTGCAGACCTAATTCTGGTCCATAGTACTCTGTATGGATAATTTTTTTATTAGATATTTTGACTACATACCTTGTGAATCTTGCTACATTTACGTAATACATATGATGAATACTTTTTGCCCTTGAATCTACTCTATGTATACGATGCTGACACCGTTTTTTTTTCTTGTCAGGTGAAGGTGATAGAAGGCAAGAGTACAGCCTCTACAGATCCTTGTAGCTTTGCTATCACAGGTACTACCTGCTTACAGCTACTACAGACTATCAGAGTCAGCTTTGACTTTATCTTATATTAATAAGATCTGAGATGAGTTTGATATGGGTCAAAATCGACAGCGTTTGTCAGAGTGTAGGATTTGGGGAGGAAAAAATAGATAATTTCTTCAATTATGTCCAATTTTATGTTTACAGTAAGAAATGAACCAAATGTTGTATTGCTTTATATTAATGAGTTTTCAGATAGGTTCAATTATTGGTCACAATCCTTCAATATTTATCAGAGCCATGCTACTTTTGACAATGAGAATGATAGTAAGAAATATGGTAACAACAAGTCCACCACTTCATCTGGCAGACTATAAAAAAAATTCTTAAGTTACATTTCACTTTCCTTAATTTATAAAGTATGTCTCCTATACTCACAACCAATCAGTATCTTATTTAACACAAGCATCCCTAATGATATCTCACTCCATTATATCACACTTATACACCTAAACCTTCAGTGTATTGCAAAAACAATATTTCAGTTGAATGTACTAGCCTTCAGGTTTGCTTAGCCTTCATGAATGGATGCCCCTCAGGTACATAATGTTTCAAATCTTAATTCATAAAGGCTTGATAGGTTGTCCTTATCTTATAGAGTGCTGGGTGTAATACACATATTGTGACTGATGTGTATATATTGTGTTATAGGACTGAGACTCCAGGGTGCTGTCTGTAAAAATAATAAGCTGCAGCTCTCCACCACCATATCGACTGACCTACCCATCACCATGCTCTGCTGGATAAGGTAAATATTCATTATGTATGAAAAAGTCCCACTGTCCATCTATCTGTAAAAAGATTGGTTTCATTGGTGTCTCTCTCACATTATTTCAAAAGGCGGCAAAATTTCTGTGTGAGCTATCAAGGGGAAGAAACTTTGCATCATGTATCAGAAGTAGGTCACAGCAACTTGTGTTTTGACTCGATTTTCATATGATATTGGTAACATTGACTTTGATTAGGTAATATTGGGACATATCTCTCATTTCTTACAAGAAATACGGTAAATTTTCGCGTATAGTGCGGACTTTTTCAAGCTAAAACTGTCGTGTTAAAAAGGGGGTGCGCATTATACGCAGGAACATGTCATTCTTGGGGTTATCATTCCCGAGTTTTGTGTCTGCCATATTGGATTACCTCACTTCACATAGTTACATGTAAAAGTCGTCGGTCTTATATGATAGTTTGAAGATAAAAACAACCAAAAAAAAATAAAATAAAATAAATTTTGAATGTTTTAATCATCGATAGGTCATTATAACCTATATTCTTAACCTCAGAAGGAGAAAATTATTTCTGAAGCATATCTTCTGCTCCATTTTGCATGTGACAGAGTTACATCAAAAGGAGACAGTAGGAGGTATCTATTAAGTTCTACTGAAAACTACATATAATTAATGTTGTTCTTCCTTAGGTTGGATGGTGCAAAGAAGGAAGGGAAGGTTACTCTACCTGTATATCTAAATGCAACCAGAGGACAGCTCCTGTTTACCCTGGACTTCGACACAGAGGGTGAAGGATCAGGAGAGGGACATAGCTTTTATGAAAGGGGTGTGGCAATGATTTCTTCTGACCTGGGATAGAGACGATGGACGACAGTGTCAAACCCTGAATGGGTCATAGATATAGACTTTACTACAAGTGTTCTCTTATAAGGACAGTTCAAGTCCTGCTGTTTAGATTTAGTAAATGAAGCTTTGGAAAATAGTCATATAGAAGCTTGATTATTTGTTTTCACTGTTGATAACTAAGGTTTTTCACAGATAATATGTTGTATGATGAAAGCTTAATCTTAACATTTGCTGTAAGGCGATAGCTTAAATATTACAATACATGAATTATATGTTTGTGTGGCGATATATAGATTTTAAGTAGTTGAAAGAAGTATACAAGATAATCCTGCATCCTGCTACAGAATACAGGCTCCTATGTCGACGATGATGACACAAGTGAAACATGTTTCCAGGTGGTGACCTCCGAATACCATAGTATAGATATCAACCTTCAGTAAGTTCAGCTCACCACAACAGTTTGTTAGTATCCCTGCTTTTCTTTATCTCTGTCACTTTAATTCCATTAGAGTTGTAAAAGCTAAAATCAATAGGAAATAAAACTGTTAATTATTTTTAAAATAAACTTTGATGTTCTGTATTGGTATGCTTGTCCCTGATGGTCAAATTCTTTTAGTGCTTACTGTGTACCAGATATCCTTTGTAGTCCTGTACTGTTGTATCATAGGATCAAATAACATTTGGTTAGTCTCGAACACCTATCCCTGGTCCTTTGCTATTGATTACTAGTGTTTAACATGGTTTTGTGCTTTTCTGTATATGAATCTTAGGTATGTTAGGTGATGGTTTATAATTTGATTGTGACCTATTTAGAAAAAAAATTCAAATTTTTGAACTTTTCTTAAGGAACTGGAGTAACAAAATCTTTGATGTTTGTGGAGTAGGTTTTGATATGACTTCCCTCAGACTACCACTGTGGATTTCACTCAATGTTGTATTAATAAATAAAAAATTTTTCTTCTGAATTTCATATATGTCCTTTCTGTTTTTATTTAAACTTCGCATACATACTTACTATAAATGATTCCTTATATGATCCCATGTGATTGACCACATTTTTGTGGATCACTCGTTGGAATATTATTTATCAGAACACCATATGGCATCATTATGAGATGGTAAGCCAGTTAGTAAAATACCTTTATTCTATATTTTAAATAGGGAAAGTATTCTTTTCAAATACTTTGCATAATAAATTTTGAAATTGATGGAAGCAGGTGAGTATATTAACACTACAAATAAGTTCCTTTGATCAATAGTTATCAGGTTTAGATTTGTAACTGAAGGAATAAGATAGATGCCGTAGCTTCATTAGAAAATTAAGGTGCCTTTACAGGCTCAGATCTTATAGTGAAGGATTGGTGTAGATGTTGAGAATACAGGTCACCTTACTAGCCTCGGCTGGTGGAAATTTCCCTTTAGTCTAGCGGTAGAATGTCCAGCTAGGGACTTTTCAAGGTAAAAGGTCAAAGGACAATATGAAGTTAAAATCAGAAGTTAACACAAAATATAGAAGATCCATGGTGATGACATTCTAACAAAAATGTAATGGAGGCCATTGTTTTTGGAAAGGCTTCAAATGAATCGGGCACTTTTCTTTTCACGTCTTTTCAGTACCTACACAACATTATAGTGTTAAAGGAAATTGTCAAACAAAAGTCAAAACCAGCTTACTCTGAGCTTAAGAGAGAGAAGTTGAAGTAGCTGTATTTTTTTCAATATGACACTATCCCAGTATGACCTTATTGAATGCTATTTTATGAGTACTCCAGGTATGTTATTCTCCATCATAAACAACAAAACGGCATTTTTAAAAATACACATATTTTAATAGGAAAGGCACAATATTTGATCATAATAGCTGTGTATAAAATGGTTAGTTCAACTGTGTATATAATTAATACCCAAGATAAATAGGTAATCTGTTCAATAAATAATGTAAAACGTTAAAGTAAAAATCTAAATGAAGACGGTAAAGCATTGGGACATCTCATATGGCACACCCTCCAGTAACAAACAGTACCACAAAACAAGAAGAGTTTTAACACACAGTGGCAATTGTTGAACACATTATTAACTCTAAATATTTTACTGAAGATATTTTCTTAGTACTTAATTTTAATGTTTTTGACAAGAAAAACATTCTGAAAATCTTCCAGAATATTTCAGTTCTGCAAATGCACCAGGTTTTCACTTTTGACTTGAGGACGGAGCAGCAACGTATCAGTACATCAATGATGTTATAAATGTAGATAAATGGATTTCTGAGTCGTTTTAAAAAAATAAAATACAGTGGTACAATATTTATTCCATGAGAATTATTTCCCAATTCTGGACAGCTTGTTTTCTGCTGAATCTTCAAAAATTCAGCATCGTTGTCAGTGTGATATCTGGTACAAGACAAAACGACAACTATCAGGAATAACTATTAATCCTACCAGTACATTGAACTTGGCTAAACAGGGGGCTCATACCTAGCTGGGCATTCCACCCATACCTGACTGGGCAGGGGACACTTAAGTGGTTGGATAGGAAACGGGTGAATATTTGAACTGTTGTGCTATACAACATGCTGCCTTTATACTTGTTATATGTTGGGAGATAGATAACAATGAAGCTCTGTAAATGTGGACGGCATCAAAGCAATGACATGAGCATTAGATATACTGGTCAGTTCTTATGGTTATAACTGTCTATAGCAGTTGTATCAGGGCTACCCTCTGGTCAGTTCCCAGGGTTATAACTGTCTATGACAGTTGTATCGGGGCTACCCTCTGTCTGGTCAGTTCCCAGGGTTATAACTGTCTATAGCAGTTGTATCGGGGCTACCCTCTGTCTGGTCAGTTCCCAGGGTTATAACTGTCTATGACAGTTGTATCAGGGCTACCCTCTGTCTGGTCAGTTCCCAGGGTTATAACTGTCTATGACAGTTGTATCAGGGCTACCCTCTGTCTGGTCAGTTCCCAGGGTTATAACTGTCTATGACAGTTGTATCAGGGCTATCCTCTGTCTGGTCAGTTCCCAGGGTTATAACTGTCTATGGCAGTTGTATCAGGGCTACCCTCTGTCTGGTCAGTTCCCAGGGTTATAACTGTTTATGACAGTTGTATCAGGACTACCCTCTGGTCAGTTCCCAGGGCTATAACTGTTTATGACAGTTGTATCAGGGCTACCCTCTGTCTGGTCAGTTCCTAGGGTTATAACTATGGCAGTTGTATCAGGGCTACCCTCTGTCTGGTCAGTTCCTAGGGTTATAACTGTCTATGACAGTTGTATCAGGGCTACCCTCTGTCTGGTCAGTTCCTAGGGCTATAACTGTTTATGACAGTTGTATCAGGGCTACCCTCTGTCTGGTCAGTTCCCAGGCTTGTAACTGTCTATAGCAGTTGTATCGGGGCTACCCTCTGGTCAGTTCCCAGGGTTATAACTGTCTATAGCAGTTGTATCAGGGCTACCCTCTGTCTGGTCAGTTCCCAGGGTTATAACTGTCTATAGCAGTTGTATCAGGGCTACCCTCTGTCTGGTCAGTTCCTAGGGTTATAACTGTCTATGGCAGTTGTATCGGGGCTACCCTCTGGTCAGTTCCTAGGGTTATAACTGTCTATAGCAGTTGTATCGGGGCTACCCTTTGTCTGGTCAGTTCCCAGGGTTATAACTGTCTATGGCAGTTGTATCAGGGCTACCCTCTGGTCAGTTCCTAGGGTTATAACTGTCTATGGCAGTTGTATCGGGGCTACCCTCTGTCTGGTCAGTTCCCAGGCTTGTAACTGTCTATAGCAGTTGGATTTGGACTACCCTCTGTCTGGTCAGTTCCCAGGCTTGTAACTGTCTATAGCAGTTGTTTTCAGACTACCCTCTGTTTGGTCAGTTCTCACGGATATAATTGTCTATTGCAGTTGTAGCCCCAGAATGCTGTCTTGACAGTTCCTGGTGAACTGCTCATGACCTAGAAAATTCTAAGGAAATACTATGTGTCAATGGCAGCTGTACAATTAAGGATAGCCACCTACTGGCATTGTAACGAATATACAAAATGTTCCATGACAGTCAATATAAACCTGGATGTTTTTGAAGTTTGGTATATCCAAGGTCTTCTATCGCAATGTTTAGTCCACTCCAAAGGTCTGGCAGTAACAAAGTTCCAAAGATCTGGTAGAAAAACCGTTCTAAAGTTCTGGTAGAAACACAGTCCCGTAGGTCAGGCAAAAACACTTTTCGAATTGTCTTACGTAATTACAATCGTGAAGTATTAACCTTTTGATTGACTTGGCAATGCAGTGTGTCTGTATACTGTCAGATGTTCAAACAACATCCTATAACATGTTCAGTGTCAGCACATCATACTAGACACAGTAACCAATTCTATAGCATACTATTGTGTACATCTTCAATGGCTGACAGTTATTTTTATTGGTCATGATCTGCATTTGGGGTTTTCAAAATTTGACCAAGGAAGACACTGACCCTAATCTCCACGGATACTAAAGTGAATTGTAATGACAGCCACTGTCATACGATGTAGATGTTGAAGTTCTCTTGTCGGAAGCACATCTGTGCCTCCTGAAGGATGCGAAGGCGAGGCCCCATAGGTACACCGATCCTCTCGAGTCGATCTTCCGTCATGTAAGGCAGCTCTATCATGCCAATGTGTTCATTCTCAAAGTTGCCAGAATATTTCTGTTAGGAAAGGAAATCAAAAATATTTCAATTTATAATTACAAAATTCCTAGCCTTCATCCTCTAAACATAACAGATATTGTCCTGTGAGTTGATCAAGAACTATCTAAAATTGTTCAGCTTATATGTAGTTGAAGAAATCTGAGAGTGAATTTATATATATATCTAGTCTAAATGTTCAAAGCCAAATTACTTTCAGAAATATTTCTTATTAGTAGTAATTTTCAATATATCATATTTATAACTTCATTTTTAAGCGGTGTACCCGGAGCCTTCCTTGTTAATGAGGATTTTAGTTTTCACAGGTATATCTTCTTTATTAACGAGAATTACAGTTTTTAGTGATATAGTCCTTAATGAAAATATATACTTATGCTTTACCTCGTATCCTAATTTCTTCAGAAACAGCTGAAGAAGAGGTGGTTCCTGGCCGAAAAATCTGTAAAATAAAACTCTGTGATTAGGATAATCTCCAGTAATCTACACCTCTTAATCTACACCTCTTAATCTACATTGGAAAGTTGTATTAACATATTATAAAGAAACTTCACTATGGATTGTCAGGGTTAACCCTGTCTTCATAATGTGTCCTAGGAATAAGCTGTCCAATTATGTTGTATTTTTTTTATAAACTACTAATGAAATAAAAGAATGATGAACTAGAACACTGTCAGAATGAGCCACATCATGTAGCTATGCATCCCCTATAAGGCGTTTAATTGTGATCCATTTTGTCCTTGAGTTTAGACCCGAAGGTCAAACCCATTGATTTTGAACTTTGGTCATTTGACTTCTTGTATAAATCTTGACAATTTTGATGACATAACAAAATGTTCATTAGTGTTAAGCAATAATCAGTTTTATACACATCTTAATTTGGACCTACTTTGTTAATTTGTTGACCCGCTTTGGATTTGTAAGTGATGGCACCCATCCCCTGAACCTGTCTAGGTCATCCAATTCATGTAACATTGGTGTACGCTGTGCTGCAGACTGTCTGATTTCCCGCACTTCTCGTAACTCCTTGCGTAATGCCTCAAGCTCATGTGACATTGAACTGTGGGAACGCAGCTCGGATGAAAGATGGGCCACACTCCTAGCAAGTGTTACCACATGAGATTCAAGTCTTTGGAATCTTCGATTTATTGCTCTGCAATAGATAAGTAGATACAATCAACATTCATATCAGTCTTGCAGCTAAAGTAAAGAAAGACTGTCACAAAACCCAAAACAACAGATATCCCAGTAGCCCATCACTGACTTGATGTCCCTTTAATCCACAAATCCAACATCTCTTTAACTGCCATTAACTTATGTCCATGTAAACTCCTTTCCTATGCACACACTTACTTGATGTCCCTGTGACTGTAGTGATGATGGCGATGATGCCCACCCATATTTGTTGTAGTACTTGAGCCACGGCCTTTTTTCACAGGTCTCCGTAAAGAACTGGTGTCTGAGCTACCAATGCTCCACCGTCGTCTTGGTACACGGTTCATGACTGTAGTTACAGTCTCTTTGTCAACTCCCAACACTTTCATAATATCCTGATACATGCCCTCCAAATTGTCCATTTTGTTTTTCATTTTGTCAATATCTCCAGGGTGCTGTGGCAGATCACGGGGCCTTACTGGCTCAGTGTCATGAGATTCTACTGTTAAAATAGTGTCCTCTATATCAAAAGGCAGATCACTCTCATCACCAGCAGATTCTCGTAAATCATTTGGGAAACCACCTGAAATATATTTTTTTATCAATATTTATAATTTTGAAGTAGTATCTATAGAATATTAAAGTTAACACTCCTCAGTAGCATTTTTTTTATTGTGTAAGTTAAAAGTAACTAAATGCCACTCAAAAAATATGCAAACTGATACAATATGAAGTAAGGTACTCACCCTCCATACGACCATTGATGAGCACTCGTCCACTAGGAGGTTTTCCAAGTCTTTGGCCACGGGGATGTTTTTTATCTGAACGATAGTTTAAATGTGAGGCTGGTCCCCTTCGTGACCTGGGGTCGTTGTTTTGCCTTGTGTTACTAAGGAGATCAGGAGTCTTTTGAGTTGAGAATATGTCAGCACTAGCTGAGCGTGGTGGCCGTGGTGTCACATTGGGACTGGAGAGTTCTGACTCTGACTCTGAGTTAGACAAAGGAGGAAGAGGAGGGGTTACAGACCTGGATGAGGCCTCACTTGGGGTAACATAGTCAAATATACTGGCTTGAACCTCTCCTGTACCTTCGCTGCCCAGTGTACTGGTGGTAAAATCACCGTTAGTGAATGTCCGATTATAGTTACCATCATTTACAAATGGATCTGACATTGAGAATGGAGTGATGGACCTTCCTGTGGTCTTGGACTTCAGTCCCACAGGTGCAATATCCTCTCTGAAATCAGCACTGAAACTTGCAGGTGACTTGGTGCTACTGTCCCTGAGGTCATCACGACTGAATGGTTTTGGTGGCACCCCTGGCTTGTGCCGAACAATAGGTTTATTTCCACCGTTGTCAGGATATTTTGAAGCTGGCCCTATTGTTAGTCCTGACGGTGAGGTACTCTGAGAAGGAGAAGTTTGATTATCACTTTGGTCAGACGATTTTCCAAAGGTTTGAAATGTTGACACACCTGTGTCCACTTCCAATCCTGAATGACTAGAATTTGATCCCTGGCCTTGGGTACTTGAACTCTGACCCATAGGACTTGTCCTTGAACTTGTGATGGCAGGTGCACTGTACCGTCCAGGTAGATCACTACTAACGTGTGGGGATGGAGCAGCAGGTAGTATGACTTGCTGAAACATTAAGAAAAAATGGGATGGGTTAACTCCAGCTTTGGTCTTTTAGATAAAGTGAGGGAGAATTGTTGTAATCTTTCTGCAAGGTTTGTCTATGGAGCATTTCACTGGTCTAGTTAAATCAACATATTTAGTGGTATGTAAATAAAGAATATTTACCTGTAGGTTTGGGTACTGGTGCATTTTGGCTGGACTATTGTTGACTGGGCGAGACATCCCAGGGACTTCAGGTCGTCCTGAACGACCATACAGTTTGTTCCAGGCGTCTCTCAGTTCAGATCCTCCAGCTGGATTCCTATTAAAATCATTTACTGCATTTAATATCAACAAATGTATATTATTTTAGAAGGCAATCCAAAGCAGATTACATCTTTATCAGATGACTTCCTTTCCAAAAAATACCATATGTAGGGAATTTTTTGCGCATATCAAATTTTTGCAAATTTAGTGAAAAATAACATCACAAAATTTGCATGTTTTTTTCATTTTAATACTAATGTGTAAGTAATACATCTATGGTGTTGACATATCTACATGCACCTAAACACTCTCTAGTCATACTTTGGTAAATGAATACTAGTCAAGATGTAAATCTCTTCGTACGACTGGTCAGTTAGATCTCCAGTCAGAACCTACACTAGTATGACTGGTCATTTAGATCTCCAGTCAGAACCTACACTAGTATGTCTGGTCAGTTAGATCTCCAGTCAGAACCTACACTAGTACGACTGGTCAGTTAGATCTCCAGTCAGAACCTACACTAGTACGACTGGTCGGTTAGATCTCCAGTCAGAACCTACACTAGTACGACTGGTCGGTTAGATCTCCAGTCAGAACCTACACTAGTACGACTGGTCGGTTAGATCTCCAGTCAGAACCTACACTAGTACGACTGGTCGGTTAGATCTCCAGTCAGAACCTACACTAGTATGACTGGTCAATTAGATCTCCAGTCAGAACCTACACTAGTATGACTGGTCAGTTAGATCTCCAGTCAGAACCTACACTAGTATGACTGGTCAATTAGATCTCCAGTCAGAACCTACACTAGTATGACTGGTCAATTAGATCTCCAGTCAGAACCTACACTAGTATGACTGGTCAGTTAGATCTCCAGTCAGAACCTTCACTAGTACGACTGGTCAGTTAGATCTCCAGTCAGAACCTACACTAGTATGACTGGTCAGTTAGATCTCCAGTCAGAACCTACACCGGTACGACTGGTCAGTTAGATCTCCAGTCAGAACCTACACTGGTATGACTGGTCAGTTAGATCTCCAGTCAGAACCTACACTAGTACGACTGGTCAGTTAGATCTCCAGTCAGAACCTACACTAGTATGACTGGTCAGTTAGATCTCCAGTCAGAACCTACACTGGTATGACTGGTCAGTTAGATCTCTGATTGATGTTAGAATCTACACTAGTATGACTGGTCAGTTAGATCTCCAGTCAGAACCTACACCAGTACGACTGGTCAGTTAGATCTCCAGTCAGAACCTACACTGGTATGACTGGTCAGTTAGATCTCCAGTCAGAACCTACACTAGTATGACTGGTCAGTTAGATCTCCAGTCAGAACCTACACTGGTATGACTGGTCAGTTAGATCTCCAGTCAGAACCTACACTAGTACGACTGGTCAGTTAGATCTCCAGTCAGAACCTACACCAGTACGACTGGTCAGTTAGATCTCCAGTCAGAACCTACACTGGTATGACTGGTCAGTTAGATCTCTGATTGATGTTAGAATCTACACTAGTATGACTGGTCAGTTAGATCTCCAGTCAGAACCTACACCAGTACGACTGGTCAGTTAGATCTCCAGTCAGAACCTACACTGGTATGACTGGTCAGTTAGATCTCCAGTCAGAACCTACACTAGTACGACTGGTCAGTTAGATCTCCAGTCAGAACCTACACCAGTACGACTGGTCAGTTAGATCTCCAGTCAGAACCTACACTGGTATGACTGGTCAGTTAGATCTCCGATTGATGTTAGAATCTACACTAGTATATATGTAAGTTATATCCATTCTGAAGTATTCTTCTGAAATACATCACCTGATGAAAAAGGGCCAAATTTAAAAATGAATTACTCAGGAATAATAGTAGTCCTGCTTTACCTGTTAGGTCCTGGAGATTTATCTGTGGTGTTGGGTAGCTCAGAGAAAGCAGGGTTAGTATTAGCCCCAGGGTGGGGCCAGTACCTGACCCCCTCACCCTGGTCTGGGTTCTGTCCTATTTGCTGCCGATCTAGGATAGCCTCAGAACGGGATCCCTGCCATCGCTCATCAGGCTGGGAAGGCTAAAAACACACAATCACATTGTATTACAGACGTCCTTCCAGTTATCATAAACACAGTATCACAGGCTGCTCATCTTTGTTTCAGATAAAACTCCTATAAAAGATAGAATTTGTTTTCAGTTTTCTGGAATCTTGACTGACTGAACAAACAGCTGTTAACTGAATGTCATTCCTCTGTGTAACCTAACTATCATGAAGGTCTTTATACGATGAAGATGAATGACAAGAATGTGATAATAATGAGTCCTCCAGAATGAGATTAGCGCCAACAATGCAAAGTGATTTGTAAGTATACTTACGACATAAGAGTTGTTGTAATGACCTTCCCCAGGGTAACGGCCATATCCACCACCCCCCTGTACTGTCACACCCATCTTACTCTTGGGTTGTGGGGGTGGGGGCAAGAGTAATTCTCCATCATCAAATGACTTGGATGCCTGAAGTGATAAGATAGATCATTGTTGTGTCTCATTAAATCAAAGACATTTGTTGAGACAGGTTGTTGTTGTGTCTCATTAAATCATAGACATTTATTGAGAGAGATCATTGTTGTGTCTCATTAAATCAGAGACATTTATTGAGACAGGTCATTGTTGTGTCTCGTTAAATCACAAGTGTGTTGAGACAGATCATTGTTGTGTCTCGTTAAATCACATGTGTGTTGAGACAGATCATTGTTGTGTCTCGTTAAATCACATGTGTGTTGAGACAGATCGTTGTTGTGTCTCGTTAAATCACATGTGTGTTGAGACAGATCATTGTTGTGTCTCATTAACTCATGTGTGTTGAGACAGATCATTGTTGTGTCTCATTAACTCATGTGTGTTGAGACAGATCATTGTTGTGTCTCATTAACTCATGTGTGTTGAGACAGATCATTGGTGTGTCTCATTAACTCATGTGTGTTGAGACAGATCATTGTTGTGTCTCATTAACTCATGTGTGTTGAGACAGATCATTGGTGTGTCTCATTAACTCATGTGTGTTGAGACAGATCATTGTTGTGTCTCGTTAAATCACATGTGTGTTGAGACAGATCATTGTTGTGTCTCATTAAATCACATGTGTGTTGAGACAGATCATTGTTGTGTCTCACAGATGTGTATCTCTTCTCCCACTAACAAAACATTCTGTCACTAAGTTTTTACTGATGGAGGTTATACATCAAAGTTAGCTATTCCTTCACAAAATAGAAGGTTTTTATCCACAGAATCAGTAATAATAACATGAACATTATATCACATGACATCTGGAACAATAAGTAGTGACAACAGTAAAGGTAGGCAAAGTCCCACTTAATACAGGCTAGCAAAATCAAATACACAAAATAAAAGCCAACTACATTATTTTTAGATTTATAACTTTCTACCATCATTAAGAGCCTGTCAACCTAATGTTACAGTCTTTGTAATATGATAGGTATGTTTATATTAGTATCAGGCATGTCATACATTTTCTTGTTTCTATAATTTCTGCAAATTGTAAAGGGATGGAGATAATGTTAGGATAATAGACAAAGCTGTGATTAATAAATACTTTTGAAATTCCCTTACAAAAACAAAATCTAATCTCTATTTATACCGTTAATAACTAGCAGCTACATATTGGGTTAAGAGTTATGTCCCTTAGTCAACTGTGGCCCTCTTAGGCTAGATTACCTGTTGTAGTTTTTATACTCTAAGCTAAATTTTGCTTTGAAATAACAACAGGTCAGGGCTATTAATCCTGGAAGTTCCATTGGCAGATCTCTATATTTACCCTTAAGGTGTTCTTTTCCAAGATGGTGTCTGTTGGATTTCCACAAATAACATTCAAGTTTTGGTATGTAATCATTGTCATGATGTAGTCAAATATAATTTGTGGAGTACTATACAACATTGTTTTAAGTAAACACTTGATGAGCTAAGCTCTAATGTTCTGTTTCTAGGGGAATTCACTAATTTAGCAATACACATCAATAATATCACTTCTATACTCATGCAAAAATAGCAAACTGTCGCTAGCGATGTTCACTCACACGGTGGAGGGAGATGGGGGCCACTCGACGATGCTGTCGCAGGAGAGATGGGGCTGTCTGTTACATAAACACAGTAAGCTATCATCCTACCATAGACAGACATGACTTAGAACAAGGCTGTGCGTGCAAACATCAGTTTAATCTAAGCTTTTCACAGAAAGTCACAACGAAACAATGTCAGTCATTTCATTCATTCTTTCTGACTGCTTCAAGGGTTATTATGAGTTTGATGACAATGAATGTAAACTAAGTTTTCTGACAATCAGATATGGTTGTTAAGGTTAAAGGTCAAAATTAAGATAATAGTAAGTGACACTACCATACAATTCCCTGTATGTTTATCATAAGGGTTACACACTGCCTGTCTACCTCTTTCTGGAAAACAAAGGTTAAAGGTCAAGGTTTAAACCACCAATCTGTAGAGAAGTATGTAGAAAACAAAGGTAAAGTTCAAACCTCAAAATATCTCTGTACTTTTGGTATCACATGTACCAAAAAGGTTTAAGGTCAAAGTTCACACAACCAGACAATATACAGTGCCCTGTGCCAGACTTACATGGTGAAGATCTCGTGTAGAATTGGACGATGGTGACCCTATCAGTGACTTTAATCTATCTTCCACAGACAATGATGACTGGTCAACACCCTAAAGTGGACACAAAACAGTGATCAACAAAACTCTGTGTGACTTAACTGGACAACGGACTTCATTGTTTAAAAGTTTCTTAAAAACTGGGTATAAACAATAGTTTAAAAGGGGAAGGGATGGCACAATGGCACAAATAGGCAGGACAAGAGGGTGGGATATGGAGTGAGGGACTTGGGGCCTGACGATATATGGAGTTGGGGATAGGCAGACCTAAGGGTGGGATATTGAGTTAAAGTAGCATGTAGGTTCTGAAGGCAAGATAGGAAGTAAGGGACTGGCAGGACATGAGGGTGGGATGTGGAGTTATAGGCACAGGAAGGACTGGAGGTTGGGATATGGAGTTATAGGTACAGGAAGGACTGGAGGTTGGGATATGGAGTTATAGGTACAGGAAGGACTGGAGGTTGGGATATGGAGTTATGAACAAGTAGGTCCTGAAGATCAGATATGGAAGGTAGGGTATGGAGTTATAGGAACAGGTACTTGTAGGTGAAGAGGGTGGGATACAGAGTGATGGGAACAGGTAGGACTTTTGCTTAGGATATGGATTTAGGCACAAAAAGGGCCTGAGGTTCAGAGATAGGGTTAGGATCAGTGAGGACATAAGGGTTGGATATAGATTAAGAAACAGGTACATGAAGGGGATGAGGGTATGATACAGAATTATGGGAACAGGTAGGGCCTGAGGGTGAGATATGGAGCTATAGGATCATATAGAAAGTGGAGTCGGGATATGGAGTTATAGGAACAGGTACGGCCTGAGAGAGGATGTGGAGTTAGGTATAGGTAGGACCTGAGGGGGGATGTGGAGTGAGGAATAGGTAGGACCTAAGGAGGAATGTGGAGTGAGGAATAGGTAGGACCTGAGGGGAATGTGGAGTTAGGTATAGATAGGACCTGAGGGGGATGTGGAGTTAGGTATGGGTAAGACCTGAGGGGGATGTGGAGTGAGGAATAGGTAGGACCTGAGGGGGATGTGGAATTAGGTATAGGTAGGGCCTGAGGGGGGATCTGGAGTTAGGTATAGGTAGGACCTGAGGGGGGATGTTGAGTTAGGTATAGGTTGGACCTGAGGGGGGATGTGGAGTTATGAACTGGTAGGGATTAAGGGTTGGAGGTTGAGTTAGAACCATTGGACATGAAGATGGGATATGGAGTTAAGATATAAGGTATAGATATATCTATAACAGTGTTGTTGATAAGGACACATGGCTGAGTGACAGTAGATACAAAAACGTGATTTATTGTGAATGAATAAACTCAAACAAATCAATATAGCGTCTGAACAAATCATGCCATTACATGTGAACAATACATCAATGAAATTAATGACTTATGTAAGGTGGTTAAAGTAAAGACATAATGTGATGAACATAATCATGGAGTCCTTAAACTCCAAACATAAGGAAAATTACTAGGGTTTTTACATTTTGAACATGTCTTGTAGTACTCTCAACTGTCAATTAAAGTGAATAACCTGCCAGTGTTTGGTCACTTACCAGACATCAAACCTCAGGAACTTGACCCTTGTAAGTACCTACCTTTGACCTTTGACCATCAGCGGTCCATGCATTGGAGACTGTCCCTGGGATTGGCTGGGTGTTAGGTTTAGGGGTAGGTGGTCCTGGGGGTCTGGCCCCTGCACTTAGGGGACGGGACCGTCGTACATTGTTAATGGGAGTGTGGTCTTGTCGCCCATCAGCACCATGTTGTGATACACCATTAGATCCCAGCTCTGTCATCGACTGAAACCAGAATAACAAGGAATTCTAACTTCCAAAATTGAATCTACAATCATGAAATTATCATGTGTATAAATTACACACTATAAAACAGTTCTCCCCTGACCATCAGAATTGATGGGTTCCAGCTGCTGTTATGAGTGCTCCTAGACATGTGTTTGTGAAAACCAGACAGGAATCAAGTTGACCTACACTAGGCTGTGAACAATGTAAACAAAAGGCATATTTTCATGTGTGAATTTAAAACTGTCAGTAGGAAGGCTAATACCCCCATCCCTACCAACACTGACCAATACCTCCATCCCTACCAACACCCACCGATACCCCTATCCCTACCAACACCAACTGATACCCCCATCCCTACCAACACTGACCAATACCTCCATCCCTACCAACACCCACTGATACCTCCATCCCTACCAACACCAACTGATACCCCCATCCCTACCAACACTGACCAATACCTCCATTCCTACCAACACCAACTGATACCTCCATCCCTACCAACACTGACCAATATCCCCATCCCTACCAACACTGATTAATACCCCCATCCCTACCAACACTGACCAATACCTCCATCCCTACCAATACCGTCCAATACCTCCATCCTTACCAACACTGATTAATACCCCCATCCCTACCAACACTGACCAATACCTCCATCCCTACCAATACCGTCCAATACCTCCATCCTTACCAACACTGATTAATACCCCCATCCCTACCAACACTGACCAATACCTCCATCCCTACCAATACCGTCCAATACCTCCATCCCTACCAACACTGATTAATACCCCCATCCCTACCAACACTGACCAATACCTCCATCCCTACCAACACTGACCAATACCTCCATCCCTACCAACACTGATTAATACCTCCATCCCTACCAACACTGACCAATACCTCCATCCCTACCAACACTGACAAATACCCCCATCCCTACCAACACTGACAAATACCCCCATCCCTACCAACACTGACCAATACCTCCATCCCTACCAACACTGACAAATACCCCCATCCCTACCAACACTGACCAATACCTCCATCCCTACCACACTGACAAATACCTCCATCCCTACCAACACTGATTAATACCCCCATCCCTACCAACACTAACTGATACCTCCATCCCTACCAACACTGTCCAATATCCCCATCCCTACCAACACTGTCCAATATCCCCATCCCTACCAACACTGACCAATACCTCCATCCCTACCAACACTGACAAATACCCAATCCGTACCAACACTGACCAATACCCCCATCCCTACCACACTGACAAATACCTCCATCCCTACCAACACTGACCAATATCCCATCCCTACTTGAGCACCTACCAATTCCCTTTCTTCCTCAATGAAGTTGTTTATAATGTGTTTGAACAGAAATTAAAGAAGATGCAACCTGTGTGAAGCGCTGTTTGGGCATAATTCCAATAAAATAGACAAATAAAAATAGACATCAGTGAAATTGGGAGTTATTGGGAGTTGCCAAAAGAATAGGGGCATAATTACTGCAGTAGCATGAGACCCCAGTGGAACCTTGATACCCACCTTTATTTTACCTTTATTTATTCCTAAAAGTTGTGATTTTCCCTCCTTTTCCATTCTTTCCTTAGCATTTTCTGTTTATTTCATGAAGTCTAAAAATCCTCTTAAATGGTGATAGTTATCTTTAACTGTCTAATTCAAGATGAATGCCTATTAGTCATTTTGTTTGTCTGACCAAAGGGAGCCTACATATGAGATTTGAGAAAAAATCAACCCAGTGCTTCTCAAGAAATAACGATAACAAACTTTCATTGTCAAAATCCAAAATAGCTGTCTGTCAGCCATTTTGTTTTTCTGATCAGTCCTGAAATCAAAAGGGCACAATAAAGGGCTGAAGGAAACCTACACTCTTAAAATGTAATTTGCACAAGTTGGAACCAAGGTGAATTTGTAAATGAAATTTGAAAGTGATCATTCCAAAACATCTCATAAAAATCTATTACTGTCAAAATCCAAGATGGCCACTTGTTGGTCACTTTGTTTTTCAGATCAGTCCCAAAATGGGACATTGCACAACTAGCAAATGTACAGAGGGCTATTGAAACAGCCCATCATCTGCACAACTTTAGTGTGTGATGACTACATTCACAGGGTTTCTAAGAGTTCTGATCATAACTGTATAGGAGTAGGGATTATCAGGAAAAGATCCCATATATAGACAAAAATACACAGACAACCTTATTCCAGTATAAGGAGTGGGGTCTCATTAGACAGGTCTCATAGCTACCTGGTATATATATATAAACCTTTACTTGTTGGTTCAGTCAAAAATGAAATCATACTAGAATATTACATGATATTATCTACACTAAGATAGACCTGTATGGAATTTGAGTTTGTCTAAATGTTCAGTTTCCGATTTGTAATTTTCACACACTATCCCTATACTTAGCTCTGACAGAAATAAAAGTTGGTATCTACACTGCAGATCTTCCCCAGCAGTGTATGTGTTATTGGTATCAAATAACAAATCATTGCAATTTGGCTCTCTTACTCCTGTCAATAAATCTAAATCTATGTACATAATGTGTTCTCGTTCGCTAAAATGGCCTTGAACTGCTCAATACTGATCACCTTGTAGATACACAACTATGTTTCACTAAACTTTTATCACAGTGCTGACTTATTTCTACATTATGTCATTGTTTTATTTTCATTTTTAAATCTGTTGGTTTTGCTAATCTCAGATCACCATCAAACAGAATGCTTGGACATTCTCTCTAACAACAATAGGGTGCCATGACACACTCTGCGGTGACATACTCTAACAACAATAAGGTGCCCCAACACACTCTGCGGTGACATACTCTCTAACAACAATAGGGTGCCATGACACACTCTGCGGTGACATACTCTCTAACAACAATAGGGTGCCATGACACACTCTGCTGTGACATACTCTCTAACAACAATAGGGTGCCATGACATACTCTGCTGTAACCTACTCTCTAACAAAAATAGAGTGCCCCGACACAATCTGCTGTGACATACTCTCTAACAACAACAGGCTGCTCTGAAACACTTGCTCTAATACACTCTATAAGAACAGTACAGTTTTGACTTACAATGATAGTTTCATGCATGCCCTGTCGCTCATTGTTAGTGGACAGAGAGCCAGGCAACAGGTCCTCTGCCGAGGTGATAAATGTCCTCCTCACTGAATCAGATAAAATATTATAAACAATATTACATCGATGCTGACATATACATACCATGACATGGATATATCCTTACCAACAACCATCTACAATGAATACAACTCTGATTCAAAGCAACAACAACAAATACTTATCTGTGCAGATGCCTCAACACATTACAGAAATACATCTAGTTCTTCAAAAATATCTCATTAAATGAATATGTAGAAATACATGACAATCTCCATGGATATCTCACCATGTTAATACAGAAATATATCTTGTTCTCCATTGATATCCAACCATGTTAATATAAAATAAGTAATGAAGCACACCATGCTCCTTTCGGCTTGAATCAAAAAAGGAAAAAGAAATTTGAGATTTAAATCTCTTTGAACTCATGAGGCCCAGGTGACTTTTGTTACATATACAGCACTGCTTATCTGTAGATTAATTACTATTGGCTAATTACATGTAATGGACACCACCTCTGTATATTCATTTACCACCAATTACACAGGTATACTGAACATAACTTACAATCTCTACCTAGCCTTATCACACAGGTAATACTGAATATCTACCTCGCCGATTTACACAGATATACTGAACGTAACTTACAATCTCTATCTAGCCTAATTACACAGGTATACTGAACATAACTTGCGATCTCTATCTAGCCTAATTACACAGGTATACTGAACATAACTTACAATCTCTATCTTAACATAACTTACAATCTCTATCTAGCCTTATTACACATGTAATACTGAACATAACTTACAATCTCTATCTAGCCTTATTACACAGGTATACTTAACATAACTTACAATCTCTATCTAGCCTTATTACACAGGTAATACCGAACATAACTTACGATCTCTATCTAGCCTTATTACACAGGTATACTGAACATAACTTACGATCACTATCTAGCCTTATTACACAGGTATACTGAACATAACTTACAATCTCTACCTAGCCCAGTTACACAGGTAATACTTAACATAACTTACAATCTCTATCTAGCCTTATTACACAGGTATACTGAACATAACTTACGATCTCTATCTAGCCTTATTACACAGGTATACTGAACATAACTTACAATCTCTATCTAGCCTTATTACACAGGTATACTTAACATAACTTACAATCTCTATCTAGCCTTATTACACAGGTATACTTAACATAACTTACAATCTCTATCTAGCCTTATTACACAGGTATACTGAACATAACTTACAATCTCTATCTAGCCTTATTACACAGGTATACTGAACATAACTTACGATCTCTATCTAGCCTTATTACACAGGTATACTGAACATAACTTACAATCTCTATCTAGCCTTATTACACAGGTATACTTAACATAACTTACAATCTCTATCTAGCCTTATTACACAGGTATACTGAACATAACTTTCAATCTCTATCTAGCCTTATTACACAGGTAATACTTAACATAACTTACAATCTCTATCTAGCCTTATTACACAGGTAATACTGAACATAACTTACAATCTCTTTCTAGCCTTATTACACAGGTAATACTGAACATAACTTACAATCTCAATCTAGCCTAATTACATAGGTTTACTGAATATCTACCTCGCCGATTAACACAGGTATCTCTGAATGTGACTGCAAGTGCATTACCTGTCGTTCCGTTACTCGTGGCGTGAGCTCCTGGATGTTTGGTAACAGTACCAGGCATGGCTACCCCAGATGTGTCTGTTGGGGTGTAGTCTGGTACATCTCGCACAGTGGACTTGCTATCACTTTTCTGTTGCTGTAATAGCATATTTTGATTACTTTGAATTAATGCCAATCAAAACATCATGAAAGCTGGGCGAATTTTCACTAAATAAGTTGAAAATGACAGTATACTTTATATTATCAAAACATAAATATTATCATAATTTTCCGCATTTTACTTACATCCAAATGACTTCGAATGTTTCCAATCAGCAGCAAAGCAGATTTTAAATTTCCATCAGCTAAATCTGAAAAAAGGGTTGAGAAAGGCATAATTGATAATTCATCCAGTGTGACCTACCTGCTTTCCAGAATTCCAATAAAGATTAAAAACATTTATTGTTTCTCTATCAAACATAGGTGATGTCTGAACATTGAAATCAGAATATCGATGTAGGAGACAGCATTACTATCCTACCATCAGCATCAATTCCAGCGAGGTCCACACCCTGAGATTCCAGAACTGTCAAACAGTGGGAGATGTTTTCAGTTCTGTCTCCTTTACAAGTTATCTCCTCCTGGATGTCAGGAACAGTGCTGCCATCTGTTAACATACAAAAATAGGTTCCATTTAAACAAGCAGGTAACATGCTTTACTAAATCTACACTCTAACACCACTGTCCACACGGGGTTAACTCAGACCAGGAGGATTTAGAGAAAGTTTCAATGTTCTGTAATTCAAGCATTGATACAGAAATCTTTACAAATTGTACAAAATAACCAGAAACAATCTGAAAAGCCTCAAACCAGGAAAGACAATATTTATAAACTTTTCATCACATTGAAAATGTACAATCCAGCACCATATATCTGTACGAGTTATCGACTTCCTCACAATTAATTCTGTAGCAATCGTTTCTGTTGCCATAGTAACAGTATTATTAAGTCGACATACTTCCTCTGGTCATATCCTGATTACACATGGCACTGCTGGTGTATACCTACATCTGCCAATAGAGAAACATTCCTTTCCACGTAAAAGGCAACAACAGCCAATAACAATATAAAACCCATCTACACAATATGCAATGTCTATCACATGGTAAAGCTGTATGGTGACAGTCAATATCTCTACTGTTACCTCACCTTATTGAGTACTATGATACATAATGTCTATCACATGGTAAAGCTGTATGGTGACAGTCAATATCTCTACTGTTACCTCACCTTATTGAGTACTATGATACATAATGTCTATCACATGGTAAAGCTGTATGGTGACAGTCAATATCTCTACTGTTACCTCACCTTATTGAGTACTATGATACATAATGTCTATCACATGGTAAAGCTGTATGGTGACAGTCAATATCTCTACTGTTACCTCACCTTATTGAGTACTATGATACATAATGTCTATCACATGTAAAGCTGTATGGTGACAGTACCTCACCTTATACAATACGTAACATCTATTACATGGTAAAGCTGTATGTTGACAGCCAATATCTCTACTGTTACCTCACCTTATTGAGTACTACAATGTATGAAAGAAGGGTAATTGTATTTTTCAATATCCACGGGGTCAAAGTGATTCAGTTATCATACTCATTTGAATGGTCAGATAAAATAATTAATATACCAATAAGATGATCTCCTCTGACGTACTATTTTCTGTAAACATGGGAGAATTTGTCATATGAAGTAAACCTTTAGACATTTCCATCAACAGTCTTTGAATTCATCTCAAAGCCATATCATTATTTCAAATGCTATTTTTCTGTTAATGCACAATCAAATGATTGTATTTGGCACTGTATCAATTAAAGTATTTTATCATGGAAGAGGGGTCTCCTATACAGCTCACTGGTAAAGTGCATGTTTCATTGTTAGATTCCAGGTCTTTGGTGAAAATCAATTATTTCTTATTTGCATTAAATTCCGTTTTCATTTTTTTTATAATTACATTTTATTGAAAAAAAAAACAGTAATAGGAGTCATGAAATTGGCGATATATAAAATAATTAGAAAATCATTTCTACCTAGTGTGGTTTACTGGAGATAAATTTCAAGCAGCTAATTCGTATTATAGTTTCAAGTATTAAAATAATATCACAAAAGTATTTTTAGGGTGCGAAATCATTATGTATTTAGATTTAGATGAACACAATCCCATATGTGTATCTTAAAATGTTCAATCTTAGAAAACATCCAATTTTAGCTGCAATGTCATAATGCTCTTGGATTTGATACAGTACTTGTCTTAAGACTTAATTAAACACATTATTTACTGTCTTATATCAATGTAATTACGTTATTGGGATGGATATATCAAAGATTTAAGTGATAATCACTGAGAAACAGGGAACAGAGACATACTTATGACCAAGAACGAAATATTTAACCCCAGGATCCAACCGCCAGATCACTTGTAAGTGAGTCATAAGTGACTTTTTCATTCTTGTATATGGAATGTGCCTTTCTGCTATATATATTCTTTATTTCCTCCAGAAGGAAGATTCTAATAACAGAGTATCACAACACATTTGTTAAGGTATATATAAATTATTTGCTAGTAAGTCACAATGAGACTATGATATTAAAGTAAGGGCTTGGGATTCAAGTCCCAAGTAAGAATGTCAGACCCTTTTGATTATTTGGCGATATACGGTATAGATACCATAGTTGTAATGTTTCATTGTAATATGAGGTTATCATTTGAAAAATTAATTTTACAGACCTCACACAGAACTCTTCAAGATTGAACTTACACAAGTCAGAAGAAAAGTTACTTCCGATAAGAACATGAAGTAACTGCCAATCATTCAAGGGAGGCCAATATACACTGAACAGTATGTCACAAATATTAATGATTTCACACCATAATTTGTGCCTTAATTCGTCATCTTTATACATGTGACTACATATATGACACTATTGATTATGAGAAAACATCTCACAGTAACAATTAATTTCATTATATAATAAACAGCTTCCTAATTTTCAAGGAACTTTAACACACGATTTCCACAGCCGGTGTGGACTTCGCTTGTCTTGTAGTAAAACGAACCTAGAAAAGTCAGCATATCCTATTTAACTAGGCATTTTCCTCACAAGGAATTCGCCTTTTCTGCTATGCACAGAGACATATGATATTCATGTTTCTCATTTATGATGCATTTCCTGGCTGCAAGACGTTTTTACCACCAGTACTAGAAAACATATGTAAACTAGTTAATCTTACAATTACCTCCTTATATATTAAATCTGATCCTTCGTCAAATCAATATTTGATGTTCTATATAAGGCAACAGTTTCAATAATGTATCATAATAATAACATACACATATGTATATCAATTTAAAATCTACCTTTTGAGACAACCCCTATCTTAATTCACATTCACAATTCATTCTCACATTCCTTCAGTTGATTGAAATGCCTAGTAGTGATATCTCCTTTTTCCAAAACTACAGATATGTACTAGTTAGTATTTCAACATGACTACAGCAGAGAGTGTGCACAGAGTTCTGCAAAAAAGAATGCAAATTGTGTCACAGATCTGGAGCCGAACTAACCTATTTCATATATTCCCTGTAATTTGTGGCTGGTTTCTGAGTCACCTAGCTGGGCTGTTCAATCTTTGATCAAAGGCTGGGCTATATATTATTGAATGGCGTTATCACAAATATTTCATATTTCCTGCACTCCGTCTATAACCATAAATACTCTCTAATTTAGCTAGACTGCTTCTGTCGGAAGTTGAGATTTGTACCTGAGCATTGGATAAGCAATTACCTTGTGCTTAGTAGTAAACATCTCTGGCTGATTTTAACTATTTCCAGTATTTTTTTTCTCATATGGAAATCAATACACTGGCCATTACCAACCTCCATATACATCACACATCAAATATTGATAAAGTCAGATGACAGGAAGCTTGACATTCCAATAACAGCTTCCACTAGCAATGTTTTATATGATTTAAAATTGAAAAATTAACTTTAGCTACATCAGTCAGTTGTAGAATGATTATCACTAGATTTTGGCTGGATTTAGCACACTCAGTGTTTGCAATAGAAAATATTATGAACTAGATTTCACATCTGTTGAATTATCATCAACTCTAACATTATATCTGTCAAGACAATCTTGCACCTGTCAATAAAGTCCACACCTTTATTTAAAGGACCACATCTATCTATAACATGATCCTCATCAATACATGGTTCTCGGAAAAATTACCCTTATTATCACATGGTCCCCAAAACATGATCCCTTCAACAGGATCATAATTATCACTGGCCCCTAAAACATGGTCCTTATCAAAATCCCCTAAAACAATATCAGGGTCCTTATTATCACATGTTCCCCACAAAAGGGTCCTTATTGTCACATGTTCCCCACAACAGGTTCTTTATCATCACATGTTCCTCATAACAGGGTCCTTATTACCACATGTTCCTCACAACAGGGTCCTTATTATCACATGTTCCCCACAACAGAGTCCTTATTATCACGTTCCCCACAGCAGAGTCCTTATTATCACATTTTCCCCACAACAGGGTCCTTATTATCACATGTTCCCCACAACAGAGTCCTTATTATCACGTTCCCCATAACAGGGTCCTTATTATTACATGTTCCTCACAACAGTGTCCTTATTATCACATGTTCCCCTCAACAGAGTCCTTATTATCACGTTCCCCACAACAGGGTCCTTATTATCACATGTTCCCCACAACAGAGTCCTTATTATCACGTTCCCCACAACAGGGTCCTTATTATCACGTTCCTCACAACAGTGTCCTTATTATCACATGTTCCCCTCAACAGGGTCCTTATTATTACATGTTCCTCACAACAGTGTCCTTATTATCACATGTTCCCCTCAACAGGGTTCTTATTATCACATGTTCCCCACAACAGGGTGCTTATTATCACATGTTCTTCAAAAATAGGTTCTCACCATCATCTAGTCCTATATCACAGCTACATCATGGAGAATGCCTCACTTT